TTTTCATTCATATTTGAGCGCCTACAATTCCAAATATTTAGTCCCTGTATACACATGTGAATCACATACTTTTCTTTTTTTTTTCCTAGAAGAAAAAAGAAAAGAAAAATAAATTGAATGACATAATTATACATCTTGTTTATATTTTATGAAAGATTGATTCGTGTTATACAGTAAATCAAATAGTGTAAATTAATATTGATTCCTATATTCCTAACATTGCATGTCAAGTCCCTATTTCTGAAATGTTGAAATAGTTAATAAAAACAAAAACGTGGAGAATATAATAATTCGTAGATGGAAATTGATTGATGAGAAATAACGACAAATAATTAGAAAAGCATCGACATCAGTTTGCTACGTATATATGGTTAAAAGTGCCTTGTAAGGGGATGAATGAATAATGAATATTTTATTAGGGATAACAATATCCCACATTGGAAATTGAGTAGGATCTTAAATGATATATATAAGATATGGGCCTCTCCACTCATTGCCAATTGGTTTTAGGTTGGAAACCCACAATGTAATATATTTTTCATATATAGGATTCAGCAAAAACATTGAACATGATCATGTCCAATGTATGAGAGGTTTACAAGTCAAAGAGGGTCTATTCACTTACTTGCGCTGACCAGTTACAAAGCTCTGTGGCCCATAACTCACGGCTTCGCATATTCCAAACCCTAAATTACTTCAGCATACTCTTTTAATTTTCTAGATAGAAACGTTTTACAAAATTCTACATCACTCTTATATAGTTTTTTTCTTTTTGTAACAAGTTGTCTATATCTTCCCTTCAATGTAGACCAAATAAATATTCTTTATAGACATTAAACTGAAGATATTTTATTTGCTCGACTGGACTACACCGGAGTTTTTTTTTCAATATTTCAAATAAATCGGGCAAACGTAAACTGATTTGTTTAGGTTGTAAGATTTAATCTCCGACGTTAAGCAAATCTATCAAACACAAAAGCTATAAGAGACAAAAGCTGCCTGTTGTTGCCTACAATCACATATATTTGCTTTCTTTATTTATTTGGGCTTTCGGCTTTGCTTTTCTTGTTAGGCTTTCGTTTGTCATAGGAGTTCAACTCCTTTGTGCTTTCTGTTTTGCATGCTTCAGTTTGAATAAGAAGACTTAGAATTCATATTAGTGTTATACATATGTATAACTGTATAAGTATAATCCTCATGGACACTTATGAGATATAGTCAAAGATTCCATACGAAACACAAAACGAAATCAAACCATAGTGGTAAAGAACAAGAACCACCAAAAAAAAAAGGTAAAAAGAATTCATAAAAATTAAACTGTTTACGTAATGTTTCTATAACTACTTTTTACTATTTAATTCCTTTACCTCAGATTTATATATATATATATTATTTTATTTTTACTATTACAATTTAAAGGATCTCACTTTTTTTTTGCCTTCTTATTATTATACCAAATTAAAATATGTTTTTTTTTTTTTTTTTTTTTTTTTTTTTTTTTTTTTTAAACTTTTGATGATTCAAATGAGTAATGTCTTTAAACTAGTGGAGCCGCATAAAGTAGGAATCCTACGTAAAATGTTTCATGCTAAGGCGTCCAAGACAGTGGCCCCGATAGTCAATATATGATCATTGGTAGCTTTGTAAAAACTATATATCCTTTTTAGTTGATTTAATCAAACTAAACAATGAAAATGTAAAATAACAAAAAAAATTATGTTTTGTTGCAAGAGTAAAAGATTTGTACTTATGGAATCACGATATTGGGAGGACATTAACGTTTTGTGGGTAGCATCATTACCAACAGTACTACGTACGTCTATCGGCAATGGAAGCAAGTGATGCCATTCTCAATTCTCATCATCATAATTCTTAAACTGCTTCCAAAATGTATCTTTCACGTTTCTGCAACAACAACAGCAACAACAAAAATCTATATTTGACATCAAATTGTGAATCACATTAACATAAAATAAGACATTTGGATATTAAATATAGTTTTATTATGAATTTGCCAATACATTTCAATGTTTTGAAAAATTTAGTATTCTTATTCTTTTAATGCAAAACCCTTTGTAATCACACGTACTAACCAAACTCAAATACTATTTTGAGTTTTTTTTTTTACCAAAAGAGCAACATCTAAATCTATAATGCATTTTGAATTTTAAGTCATAACTCTGATTACAAAATTCAGAGGGACAGACTAATTGAAGAACACTCAACCTAAATGGATCAGATGCAAAATGGACCAATTGAACTAATCCCAAATGGGCTTTTAGTATTCAACCGCATTTACTCTCCATTTCAACTTTTGGGCTTTGTTATTTGATCAATTGACTTATCCGGCTAAACTCTGGAGATACTTGCTCATTCCACTTCCACTTCAATCTGCTTTGATTCTAGTGTTTTACCGGTGTTCATATTCATTTACGTAGAGGATCAAATAACTGAGAAGCATTACGAAGAACACTAAATAGAGAGAAAAATTGAATCAAAACCAAAGCGAAGCAGTCAATGGCAGCATTCAGACAGACAAGAACACGGTCTCTCAGGTTATATCTTAATTATAGGTTTCTCAACAAAAAAAAAGTAGACCATTCCTTTACGACCTTCGTGCATCCAAGGCAACAAACATAGGCGAAGAGCTTAGTACCGTCTGAAACTGCCATCATCTCACAAACCCTCTCTGCTTCGAAGAACCTGTTGCATTTCAGAACTCAGATAAATCAGTCATCACGTAAATAGCCCGTCTATGAATACAATAGTGTTGAGTCATACCCTCCAGAATATGCGTTTTTGAGAATAGGAAGCCATAGATCGGTGCTCAAAACTGGCGCCTTGGAGGCCTAGCCTCAGCTTCTGAGACTCTAATTTGTCTGCCGTCCAAATCCTGTAGGCCACAGTAAAAGTATATCAACACTCATAAGTTGTCTGATTTGATCACACTGTAAGTGCATATATTGGTATAAGAAAGAGTAAACGATACTTACAGCTCCATTCAAGGAATTGATGGCATTTTGCACCTCTTGAGAAGAGTTGTATGTCACGAACCCAAAACCCTTGGATCGACCACTATCCCTGTCATAGATGACTCTGGCCTCAACAACCTTTCCTTGCTCTGCGAACAAACTCTCAAGAGCCATGTCGTCAACTCCCCAGGAGAGATTTCCCACGTAAACACGGTTTCCTGAGCCAGCACCAGAACCTCCTCCATATCCAGAACCTCCAAAGCTGCTTCTTGGACCTCTGGAGAAACCATCTTCCCTCTTTGGTGGAGGGGGACCTGCGTTAACTCTCAAAGGTCTACCATCCAACTCCTGCAGTTTAACATAAACAGGATTAACTAAAGAACCAGAAGTTGTAGTTGTAGCAATGTGAACAACAACACTAAGGTTCAGATTTTATCTTTAGAAGCCACAAGTTTGAAGATTACATTCAATTCAACTAAGAAAAAGTTTTAATTTCCAAAACACTAACACTGGCAGTGTTACACTGCTTACCACAGGTATATCGAAAAACAATTAACTACAAACCAAAACACAAACGCATACCAAACAAGAAATGATAAAAGCAATTCCTCAGAGAATTCATATTCTACAATCAAAGATTAGAGTAAGGTGAATAGAAGAATCTTCTTACATAGCCATTGAACTGCTGAGCAGCTGCCTCAACTTCAGAGGCTGAAGACATAGTCACGAATCCGAAACCCCTGCTTCGTCCTGTGACTTTGTCATAAATTACCTACAAAACACAAAGATTCAAAAACGATTAATCTCAACAACACAAAACTAACTATCTTCATCTCTTCTCAGGTTCTCAGTGTTACCACACATTATTCAAAAATTGAGTAGAACCCTAAAGAACAGTTCTTTCTTCTATATCTAAAAAAATTGGGCAAAACCCAGAATTCATACCTCAACCATCTCAACATTTCCGGCGCTCTCGAAGAGCTGAGCGAGCTGAGCACTATCAACGTTGAAAGGAAGGTTACCAACGAAGAGTTTGAGGTCAGCAGAGAAGGATTGCTCCTGTGGTGCCGCGTCGTCAGAGAAACCGTCCTCTTCCACCTCGAATTCAGACGTGGCGACGTTACGGACAAAGCGAGAAGCGGGAGAGCTCCATTTGGCGGCGATGGAGACCGAAACGGAGTCGGAATTGAGTTTAAAGGAGAGGGAAGGAGGTAAGAGAGAAACGGAGGCTGGTCTGGAGACACAGAAAGGAAGGGATTTAGGGTTGAAGGAAGAGAGAGCGAGAGAAGAAGCTGAAGCAGCCATGGGAACTCGGGAGAGATAAGGTTTTTTTAGGGGTTTTCGGGAAAAGAAGGTTTGAGAGTGGAGATAAGATGCAGTGTGTTTGATATTTATGGGCAAATGAAAAATTATTAAGGTTTTGCACAAATATCTCAAACTTATTTTCTTTTTTCATTTTCACCTCAAACTTATTTTGGTGCCAAAAAGTCATATTTCTACTTTCTGCAAGAATTTTATTTTCTTTGATTAAAAATGATATTTCTTTGAATTGTACTCACTATAAAGTTCTAATAAATCAACTAGTTTCACATAAATTACAGGAATATATATTTATCATTATTTATTCATGTAATTTATTTTTTAATACATGTTAAAATTTTATTTATTTCAGTATGCTTTTGGTATTTACTTTTCCAAATAATTTTGGAGTTTATGTGATTTTCCTCAATTAAAGTATGTGTTTGGTTGTGGTTTTATTGGGACAGTCTACTAACTACTTGTCATAATTTGAAGTATGAGGCTGGATGAGATGAAATCTGGACCGTCGAATTTTGGATGGACAGTGGAGATGGCACGTCTCGTGCTAAGGCAAAAAAAAAATCTATGAGAAGATAAGATACTTTTACTAAAAGCCAATGGAAGAAGCAACTCTTGCTCCAGCTCAGATCTTTCAACTTGGTCCAGAGGAAAAAAATTGAAAAATCTCTTTCACGTATTTAAACGATTTCAGGAAAAAAAAAAAGAAGATTCACAGAAGACTGTAAGATCCTACCAAAAATAAAACCAGAAAACAAAAACAATACAGTTCTACCAAAAAGAACTGATTATACAAACGTCTCCTTCAAAACTCAAGTTTCAGAAAAGGATTTATTTGGATAACAGAAGACTGTAAGTTCTTGAACAAACACAAAAAAAAAAGAAGAGCTAAAGAAAGAATCAATCACTTGTTACGTCTCTATAAAGAAGCAGTGTTTTGTTTCTTGATTCCTTGTCCCTTTTTGATCATTCTAGAAAGAACATCAGCTTGCTTTGTGTTCCCTTCTTGGTTCAAGCTCTTGATAAGTTCATCAGAGCTCTTCCAGTCTGTTGCACTTCCTTTCTCCATGATCTTACACAGAACCGAGTACGCATTCAGTGTCTTCCCTGCTCCTAAAAGCGCATCCAAGACTTTTTCATAGCTCGAAAAATCTAAGCTGAGATCCCTCTCCAACCCGAAATCTAACAGCTTCAATGCTGCAATCGTCTTTCCTTTCTCACTAAGGACAGATAAGAGGCTATCCAGATCTGCTGCGTGTCCGTTTTGGTTCAGAAGATCTATACGTCCAAGGGCTTCTTCTACATGTCCTCTCATTAACAGAGCTTCCAAGATCTTGGCAATCAAATCCATGTTTTCTTCAATGCCAACGTTTTTATCTATCATGATCATCATCACACGGCTTGCTGTCTGCACTCTACCATCCTCAAACAAACTCTCAATAACTGACCTGAAAAGAGATGAATCTGGGACATGCCCGTCTTCGACCATGCTGTCTAGTGCGGTTTTTGCGTCTCCAGGCTCACCTTTGCTCATGTAGCTCTTGATGAGCAGCTCATATGCGTTTGCTTCTCTAGGGACACCTCTCCTCGACATAATCTTCAGAATCTCGTAACTAGAATCCGGGTTTCCTTCCTTTGCATGCCCACTGATTAGATTGTTTAAGGCATCTTGGTCTTGAACACCTCTTTTCATCAGCTGCCTGAAAAGCACTTCTGCTTTCGACGTTTGGCCATTGTTGCACAAATACTCGATGATTGGATTATAAGCACTGGGCTCCATTTCCAGAGTATCCTGATGCCTCAATATGATTTCTTTCTCAAGTAGCGTGTCTAAAAGCTTAATAGCACGATTGTATGCATTAGCCTTGCATTGATTCTCAATTAAGACACCGTAATGTCCTGCTTCTGCTGGAACATTCAGTGTAGCCATGGCTTTGAGCACCTCAGTGGCTGCTGCCATATCCCCAGCTTTGCTCTGAGAAACCAAAAGCTTAAGGAAGATCGAGTTATCTTTTGGAGCAATGTGTTTCGCCATCATATTCTTTAAAATGTTCTTTGCCTCCACCATTTTCCCTGCATCACACAGACCTGGTAACACCGTCGAATATGTAGTCGCATTGGGCTCAATACCAGAAGATCTCATCTCCTCAAAGATTCTCAGACCATCATCAACTCGGTCTACTGAAAGATATCCTTTAATCATCGTGGTGTAACTCACAACACTAGGCTCAATGTTATTCCCTTTCATCTCTACAAATAACTTCTCTGCCTCGTCCATCTTCTTAAACCGACAATACCCATTGATCATAGTATTGTACGTAACAGCATCAGGTGAGATCCCTCGAGTTTTCATATCTTCAAAGAACCTCAAAGCAGTCTCTAACCTCAACGACAAAAAGAACCCCCACAGCATTAGATTATAAGTGTGCCTAGTTGGCTCTACACCTTCACTTACCATCTTATTGAAATACCGTTTCGCCATCATATACCGACCACGCCTCATAATCACCTTAAACAGAGTATTATATGACTTAATCGTCCTCTCCACACCCAAATCCTTCATTTTCTGAAAGATCTTAACAGACTCTTGCACAATCCCAGCTTTGCCATAACTCTCAATGAGCACCACAAACATATCCTCATCCCAAGGAACACCCTTTTCAGGCATATCCAATAAAATACACCGAGCGTAATTAACCTTCTGAACCTCGCCAAGCATCTTAATCATTTTCATATGCGTATCTCTATCATGACGAATCAATCCAGACCTCTCCGTCCACCGGAAAAACTGAAGAGCGTGCTCAAGCTTCTTAGCACCGTGCAACACATTATACACTAAAGAATGATCCCATTCGGGTACAAGATCTCGAATCGAGTTCTGTAAACGTGTCGTCCAAGCACGATTATCCATCATTCTACAAATTGTATCCTCTAGCTTTTCATGGTTTTGACGCTTACCTCGTTGGAATCTCTCCCTGAGCGGCCTCGTCTCCGTTGAAGAACCCAGATTCTTAGTCTCGGGCTTTGCATCTGCGGATTGGGTTTCTGGGTTTGCGTCTCCTGAAGTTTGGATGTCTTCGACTGAGCTGAACAAACGGGGGAGTGAGAAGAGAGACGAGTCAGACGATCTGGGAAGCGAGAGATAAACCCTTGCTCTTGCCTGATAGGGTTTCGATCTGGAAATGAAAGCCATTACAGGAGATGAAATTCCCGTAATCTGAAATGGGAACCTTCGATTATAGAAATCTAATGTTTCTGAAAATTACAATCCACCATGAAATGAAAGAAAGAGCTTCGAAGGAAGAAGACAGCAAGAGTGTTTTAGTGATGAGTAGGGTTTAGGGACGACGAAATGGGAGAGTCCTGGATCCAAGATCTTTTTCCGGGTCGGGTCTGGTATTTCCTACCCGGCCTGTTAAGCCCGGTTTTGGCGCACAATTAATGGGCCCTTAACACTTTGGAGTGAACGAAAAAACAAAATTATGAAATTTGATTTTGGTTAGCGACGCACTCACATGCACACTATTAATAGAAGCTTAAAGTCTTGATTAAGGAAACAAACTTCAAAGCAGGATTGCCTAAATGATTATATACACATAGTGAACCTTTTATCTCCCACCACATACTCTCCCATATCATATGTCCCCAATCCCCATAGTGAACCTTTTATCAACAAATGTCTGCCATAGTTACCAACAACATGGTGCTTGAGAGAGACCAAAACATACCCGTGGTTGACTTAAGCGATCCGGATCAAGAGCTAGTAGCGCGAGCAGTGGTGAAGGCGAGCGAAGAGTGGGGGGTCTTTCAGGTGGTCAATCATGGGATACCCACGGAGGTGATACAACGTTTGAAGAATGTTGGTAGGCAATTCTTTGAACTATCCGAAGAAGAGAAGAAAGCCGTAGCGAAGCCAGCTGTTGACTCCCGTGAAGGATACAAGAGGAGGTACGAATTGAATCTAGAGACCAAAACAGGTACGGTTGATCAACTCTTTCACAATATCTGGCCACCCATGTCCGTGAACTACAAATTTTGGCCTAAGAATCCTCTAGATTACAGGTACTATATTTACTTATCAATCCATTCATGATCATTTCGTGAGCTTTGAGCTACTCATGGCATGCTCGTTTGTTTGTGAGAATTGAGAAGGGTATTTGCCCAAAGCCATACAAAATTAATTACAAGAACACTTTGCTATTTTTTTAAATTAGGCTTATATATTATGTATTTAGTTTGAAAGGTCTTCTATTTTAAAACTACATGATATTAATATTTTATGACACCTTTTATTTCTATGAATATATTTCTCCACATGTCTTGACCTTTTTTTTTTATCATACTATATATAGTAACTAACAAGGTATACTTTTTAATGACATAAAAACATTTTTTTTAACTAGAATTTCAAATCCAAGAGAGAGGTTTTGCCAAGAGACTAATTGAAGTGTTTTTAATTAATCTTTCAAACACAATGGAAATTTGTTAACCAAAACTCTGGGATCGCTTATTGGAAGTTAAAATTGATAAAAATAAATCATACTTTCAAATTTTTTGATATTCTCATTTTTATCATCAATTTATACTCTATGAATCAAGAGTCATTCATCCTATGCCTATGCAAGAATAAGCACGACAGTAGAGCTAATATGTGACAATACTGTATGAATTAAATAATTGTCAATTGGTTTCAAAAACTTTTGATATAGGGAAGCAAACGAGGAATACACAGGACATGTGAAGCTGCTATCTGAGAAGATCATGGAGTGGTTATCAAAAGGATTAGGATTAAGGGGTGAGGCTATTAAGGAAGTTACTGGCAGTGAGTATATGATTATTGTCAACTACTATCACCCTTGTCCACTTGCCGATTTGATCGAGGGACTGGATGCACACACCGATATTAGTGGAATCACACTCATCGTACCCAATGAGATTCCCGGACTTCAAGTGTTCAAGGACGATCACTGGTTCGACCTCGAGAGTATTGCATCTGCGGTTATAGTCATCATCGGCGATCAGATCCTAGTATGTTGTCACTTTATGTGTTTGTATCATAAAACACTTGATTTGTTTATAATTTATTTGTAATGTATTTGCAGAGGCTGAGCAATGGAAGGTACAAGAGCGTGTTGCATAAAACGATAGTGGATAAGGAGAGAACAAGAATGTCTTGGCCAGTTCTTGTGATGCCTACGAGCGATATGGTCGTAGGACCTTTCCCGGAGATTACCGGCCACAACGATCCTCCCAAGTTTAAGCCTATCTCATACAAGGACTACATATACCGCAAGCTCCGCCACTTATCCTTCGCTGATCACGACTCATAATGATCATCAAAAATCCTGGAGCAATCCTCATCAATTGCTTCTTCGTTGAACTGACGACTGGCTTTTATTTTCTTTCGGTCTGCTACTTGTCTTTTGCTATAATGGTGTTTTATGGATTTTAATGAGTATCCGGGCATAGAACGTTTTGTTTCTCAACTTGTACGGTTTTTTCATAAATAAAAAAAAAGACTACGTATCTACATTTTGATTGTGGTTCCTTCAAGCGCAACACGCTTTGAGGATCTCTTCAACAGGCGGATCATCTCCAGCTTCTTTGTCCTGAAATCCGCAAATAAATTGTTGAGAACGACAATGGTGTTTGAAAAGAGATCAGTTTCGCAAACTTGAGGCTAGTTTCACAATCAGTAATACATCCCACGGTGTAATCACTAAGATCAGTGTTCATGATTTAAATATTAACGCCCCAAAATTAAAGTAATCATAACAATAAGAAGAGATGTACCTTGCGTATGTAAGAGATGCTATCTTTTCCAGGGCCAGCAACTAGGATTCCGCCTTGTTGCCTGCACAAGGTTTAAACACATTGTTAAGAAAGTTGGAAAGTGATCTCATCTCTAACCAGAGTAGGAATGATTCAATACTCTCTTTAACTTACCAGCCGCCTCTTTCTACTGTATCTTTCATAAACGAGAGTTTCCAGTCTTGGCGGTATCCTTCCATGTAAGACTCCATTATCTTCATAGCAGCCTATAACAATACCACAGAAGCTACTGAGAGTCTGAGACCACAAAACCATAACATTTTGGTTACCTAATGCTAAGTAGAAGACACTCTACTTTGGGGGTGAATGTCACAGAAACTCCTGAAACAAATTCTAGCGCCTCGTATGATGCATGGTTTGGATCTGCATAGACCTCTGAGAGACAATATGATTACAGATTAGATGATTCTCTTAAAGAAAAAAAGAATGCACCTGATTCTTTTTAGCAATCAGAGGGTACTAAATGAGAAAACATACCTCCTTTAAACTTGGTCTGTTCCACAAAAGTGTTAGCCTGCATAAATGGTGGTTATAAACGTAAGAATCAGCAGCTGAAAAAACTGCTTCAAAGAATTGTGTATTCAAAAGAAAGTGTTACCTGATCGATACTTCCCGGTCCAATCAGAACAAGAGCAACACCAGATGCATCCATCACATCCTAACAAAAACCTCAAATGTATATAACTCAATGACTTCAATTTCACAAATGACCAATCTATTAGAAACAAAGATCAAGCAGTTACCTTCTTTTCTGCAAGATAAGCTGCTCGTTTCCGACAGAGCACGCATCTGAAGACATTAAACAATCAAATCTTAGATAGTTAATGAAAACCAAATTCATCAAATCTAATAAGAAAGTTCAAACACTAATCAAACCCAAAATGACGAGCAAATGCAACAACAGCCATCCTATCCTTCCATAAATCAGAAATCGGAATCTCATTTCCACTCAAATCCAAGACTTTCACTGTTTTTAACAAATCAGCTGTATCTTTCCCTATTCCAGCTCCTGTTGGATAAATCGTCATCACACAGTGAGAAAGCTAGAATCTAGAGACTCAGTTTCATCGGAATATAATTGAAAGAGAAGCACTTTAAAGCTCACCCGAAGCGCCAGTAATGGCCGACACAACCACGGTGTTACGCCGTAGAGAGACACTACGAAAGCGAGATTTGACCGAGTAACCAGGAAGTACTGTTCCTAACCCATGAATCGTCTTCAGTTTTGGCTGCAGAGTTATGGAATTGATCGTCGACGACGATGACGAGAGAGACAGCGCCATTGTTTCTAATGCTTCCTGGAGAAAGCTGAGAGGACAAAAAAAAAATCGCAAATTTTAATCGATTTCGGATTTTCTCGTACCGTTGGTTAATCTCGTGGAGTTGAGTTATTACACGTTGGGAGTGACGTAAGCTTGGTCTGTTAGAAAAAGTCCTGTGCCACGTCAGATAAGTTTAGGGCAAAATGGGAAAAGCATCTAAAGATCCTTTTAAAGAGCATATATGTTCGTGCACGTTCTTGTTTAGGGTAAAGCTCAAATCTCAAGCTCGAGCCGCTTCTATCTCTCTACATTTCTCTTTTAGCAATGGCGAGAATAGTGCGTGTGGCAAGATCCTCCTCCCTCTTTGGCTTCGGTAACCGATTCTACTCCACCTCCGCCGAAGCCAGCCACGCGTCGTCATCGCCTTCGCCGTTATTTCACGGCGGCGGAGCTAGCAGGGTTGCTGCGAAAGATAGAAATGTTCAGTGGGTGTTTCTGGGGTGTCCTGGTGTCGGAAAAGGCACTTACGCTAGTCGACTGTCGACCCTTCTCGGCGTTCCTCATATCGCCACCGGTGATCTCGTCCGCGAGGAGCTAGCTTCGTCTGGACCTCTCTCTCAAAAGGTGCGACCTTTCTTTCTTTTTGCTTTTACTTTTCTTATTGGTGTGATTGAGATTGTGATGAAGGATCTCTTCTATGTTCGAGTTTGAATCCAAATAGTTTGAAACTAACGTCTTTTTTTTTTTAATCAAATCAGACTTTCATTTTTTTCTTATCTTTCATTGGATCTGAAGAACTTAATCTATCTCTTGACAGATCTAGTGAATTAACTCCATTTTTAAAGTGTTTCTGATTACATTTGATCAGTATTATAATGGATCCTTTCGTATACATTAAAGTCAATGGCTTTGTAATCCGTATGCATTGAGAATTAAAGAATCTCTTGTAATGATCATTTGGATGTTTTTCTGAGTTTTGTGTTACTTGATGCAGCTATCGGAGATTGTAAACCAGGGAAAATTGGTTTCGGATGAGATTATTGTAGACTTATTGTCCAAGAGACTTGAGGCTGGTGAAGCCAAAGGTGAATCAGGGTTTATTCTTGATGGCTTTCCGAGGACCATGAGACAAGCTGTAAGTGTCATTTGTTTTACTTCTTTAAAGCATATTTGATCGAGTTTGATTATCAACGTCCATCAAATATTTCTAACACCCTGGATTGGCTTTTGTTTCAGGAAATACTGGGAGATGTAACTGACATCGATTTGGTGGTGAATTTAAAGCTACCTGAGGAAGTTTTGGTTGAGAAATGCCTTGGGAGGAGAACCTGTAATCAGTGTGGCAAGGGTTTTAATATCGCTCACATCAACTTAAAGGGTGAGAATGGAAGACCTGCAATTAGCATGGATCCACTTCTCCCTCCACCTCAGTGTATGTCAAAGCTCATCACTCGAGCAGATGATACTGAAGAGGTGGTGAAAGCAAGGCTTCGTATATACAGTGAAACGGTAAGTAGACCGTCTATTGTCCTTTCCATTTCTGGTGTATCTACTTGATGAACTTTCAAGTGTTGATTATTGTCTTTTTCTTTCTATATGCAGAGCCAGCCACTTGAAGAATACTACCGTAGCAAGGGAAAGCTAATGGAGTTTGACTTACCTGGAGGCATCCCGGAGTCTTGGCCAAGGCTATTAGAAGCCTTAAGGCTTGACGACTACGAAGAGAAACAGTCTGCTGTGGCATAGTTCACAATCGAATCCCGGTATTTAAATTCTTTGCATGTGGAAGACATATGCCTAATCAATTTTGTGTTGGAAATAAAAGTACAAGAAAAACCGTAGATTGTTTGTTTTTACTCTCAATAGAATAATCATACACACTTGCAAACTATTATCTTTCCATGAGCCTGGCGCTGCATGAGAGAAATTTTCTGTATCAATGATTGTTTGAGCTTGCTAGTGACACTATACAGGAATGTATCAATACATTTACTCTACTTGTTATGCATCTTGTTTAACCTTTATGCCCTTGTGATATGTTTGTTGGCGGATGTGATGATATTGCGGCTGGCCGAGCTGGCTGGTTAAAGAACTCAACCAGACAGTAAAGTAAAACAGCCGCATACAGTAAACGGGAACTTATAACCAGCTCTTGGCTGTCCTAGAATTGGCGGTGCGGGATAGAAATGTTCCTTACATCTTGGATTTGATGCCTAATTTGTCTATTATTTACTCTTTTACTGTACGGGGCTGCTGTCTTTTGGAAATTTTGGAAGGGTCTTTAAATTCTTCCGACGTCAGTACAAATTATTCTGATGGACGATGAAATCAGATTCAGTTGAAAAAGCTAAACCAGTCCTGGCTCGTTGCATTTTAAAACACTAGGACAAAGGTGTACTTTGTTCAACAGAAATACTCAGCTCGTTGCAGTTAAATCACAATGAATACACGCAAACCGTGTTCAAACTCTTTTTAACTGTAGGGATTGAGAACTTGGTTAAATAACATGAACGAAATAATTATATTAATTTCACTTTAAAATCATTGAAGAGTTGAAACTCATATAGAAAAATAACTATGGAGGAGAATCAGTGAATCATACAGCAAGACAATTTGAAGAAGTAGAGAAGAGAGTTAATATGAAAAGAGAATTCTCTATAACTGAAACTGTGCACAAGTGTGTTTGTATACATACATACTACATTGATGATTAAGCATCAACAATCGTCTTCACTAACCTAACAAATTAGTTAGACAATTAATAATATCAACTCTAATATTTGTTGAAACTCCAATATTGTTGGAAAATTGCAAGCTAACAAAGTAAACAACAATGGGTGGTTTTACATAAATATATTTATTTAAATGATCATTGGGTAGTGGTATTTAATGATAAGTAAATAATAATATTTTAGTTGCAGTTCCATATAGGTTGGTGAATTTACCTCATCCCTGAGTCTAGAGGTGAAACCGAAATAAACCGGATTTGATTTGGTTCGGTTTAATTTAACATAAAAAATAAGAGAAACTAGTATGGTTCTTCTGTTCACGTGTTTGCTTGGAACAAAACAAGCTGGCGCGCGTGCCAACAACCAATAAAAGACCTTTTCTGGTCGCTGGAGCTTTCAACTAAATACGGAAACGACGTCGTTTACTTCAGGCCGCGTTTCCAACTAACTTTCCAAACTCAACTAACGTTCAACGAGTGAGTCGTGGTGACTCGTGACCATCCTTCTCCTCTCTATCTCTCTTTCCTTTTCATCAGCTTCTACATCAGTATAGACTAAACAGACCTTGATCCATCCGACGTTCCCTAAAGTGACACGTGTATCCGTTACAGTGTCGGCCAAAGCTCAACGAACTCTCATCCGATATGTATATCATGGTGCAATCATCAAAACCGGATTCGGATAAGCTTCTTGGATCCTAAACTCCTAAAAAAGGGTTTCCTCTTAGTCCTTTTCACAAGGTTGATCAGTGTTTGTTTGCATTTACCGTGAGTACCTTACTACTTCGATTCCTCTCTCTCCTTTGAGGTTTGTGTTCTTGGTCTGATGATTTCACGATAGTGTTTATTTTATGTGGCACATGTGTATCAACAAGTTTCTTTTTATTTATTTATGCTATAGTTTGCAACTACTTTTCAAGATTTTGTAGATCGAGATATCTTATTTGGATATAGTTGATATTGTTTCTCCAATCATTTTGTTTGATCTTTCTCCACCTTTTATCTTTTCCTAAATTGGGCAAATGAGTTTTGTCTATTTTAGATTATCTTAGTTGTTCATCGTGACCTAGAATCTGAGAAACATCTCATACAGAATTGATTGTAATGTGGAATACATGTTTTTTCAGTCAGGCTGATAGAAACGGTGCCTTTGCAAGATTTTTGACTTTGGCACTGATTAAGGTCGAGTAATGGAGGGTGAAAGAGTGGTAATAGCTAAACCGGTGGCCTCAAGGCCTTCTTCAAGTTCTAGCTTCAGGACATTCACTGAGCTTCTCACTGATACAGTTACCGTATCTCCTCAATCTAATTGCCATGACATTGTTGACGCTGCTATTAGACCAAAGACTTTGAGATTCAACCAGCCTGTTGCAGCTTCGGTCTCATGTCCACGGGTATGGAGTTGTCTATTTAAAATTTGGCATTGCTATCTTCTTTCTGAAATCTTCTGCATCGTGGTCTTGACTCAACTCTTTCTGATAATCATAGGTTGAAGGAAATAGTAATGGAAATGGAAAGTCTTGTGATGATTCAGATAGCAGAAGCTACGTCGTTTATAAACCGAAAGCAAAGCTTGTCTCCAAAGCAACAGTCTCTGCATTGGCTAATATGGTAAGTTGCTTTCAAAGCTAAAATATCACTGACAACAGACTTTTAGAAGTCGTTTTAACACTCTTTCCTTCTTAAGCTTCAGGGGAACCGGCAACAGATTTGGAGACAAACGGAAGCAGTAGGCTACGGGAAGAGTGTGAGCCAAGGTACATATCGAGCGGGTCCTAATCCAATCCAGAAAGTTCCATCCTTTTCGGAATCAGAATCATCTATTGGGGATAGATCTTCAGTAGACGGATACAACTGGAGGAAATACGGACAGAAGCAAGTTAAAGGAAGTGAGTGTCCAAGGAGTTACTACAAATGCACACATCCTAAATGTCCGGTGAAGAAGAAAGTAGAGAGATCAGCGGAAGGTCAAGTTTCAGAGATTGTGTATCAAGGTGAGCATAATCACTCAAAGCCATCATGTCCTCTTCCACGGCGCGCTTCATCATCAACCTCTTCAGGGTTTCAGAAACCACCAAAAGGGCTTGCTTCTGAAGGATCAATGGGACAAGACCATAACAATAACCTCTACCGTCCTCTTTGGAGCAACCAAAGCAATGACTCTTCTAAAACCAGAACAGAGAAGATGAACGAGGGTTGCGTTATTACACCTTTTGAGTTTGCTGTTCCAAGATCGACAAATTCAAATGCCGGAACTTCAGATTCGGGTTGCAGAAGTAGCCAATGTGATGAAGGCAGCATCGGAGGAGAGCTTGATGATCCAAACAGAACCAAAAGAAGGTAAAAGACTAGGGATTGTTTCAAACTCTAATCTATGCGTGTGTGTTTGCATTTCTTGTATCGACTTTGTTGTGTTTGACAACAGGAAGAACGAGAAGCAATCAAGTGAAGCAGGAGTATCGCAAGGCTCAGTTGAATCAGACAGTCTTGAAGATGGATTCAGGTGGAGGAAGTACGGACAAAAAGTGGTGGGAGGCAATGCGTATCCAAGAAGTTATTACAGATGCACGAGTGCTAATTGCAGAGCAAGGAAACATGTTGAAAGAGCGAGTGATGATCCAAGAGCATTCATTACAACCTACGAGGGTAAACATAATCATCATTTGATCTTGAACCCTCCAGCTTCCTCTACTCTTCCTTTTAACTCCCAACAGCTTTCTAAGTAAGACCATTTTGATCCCTTCTTGCTTTCTCTTTTTTTCAATTTCTTATTTGTTAAGAAAGAGAAAAAAAGAGAAAGCAAATGGTAAAACACTAAACACAATCACCATTAGCTCTTTTACCCCTACCAACTTCCTTAAGATCACCACAGCTCTCTAAGAAAGGCATTTGATCCATTGGTGTCTTGTTCTTCAATTTTTATACCACATTAATTAATTAATTAATTAATCGTGTGAATTTATTTTGTTTACATCAAGATTGTAAGGATAAGGAGACTGATGTTATTTGACAAAACCAAATAAAAAAAGGAGTGTTATATTCTTAAGTGTACTCATGATAGAATCAGGAAATTGATGTTTTAACTTTCTATATGGTTAATTGGTTTATTGGACTTGAGTTTCATAAGACCATTTCTTTTCTGCTCTCTTTTTGCTAAACACAATGCACCTTTACATTGGTGATTTATAACGTTGGTATCGTACTACTTATCCAAGGAACAAAAGATAAGCTCATAAGATTGATTAGTTGAACATATCTGCTAGATGATTGTATTTTTTACACGGCCTGATTTGAAGAGAGAGAGTAATAAACAAATACCGAGATCATTCCTTGTATACCTTGCCGATGGAGGATTGAGAGGTCGGCCATGTCTCTGAATTAAGAAGCCCTTAACCGCCTCACTGAGTCTGATACATAACATTCTCACAGCCATGAGTTTGATTCGTAACACATGATTGACACCATCCGAATTAAGAAGTCCTTACATCTAGTCAAGCAGCAACAGATCAAGAAACATCTCCATTATCTTCGAAATATTGGTCGAGACACAATAAAGATCTTTTGTTGGGTATGAAATTACAACTAATCTGCACGGAGTGTTCAGAAGAAATTTCATGGCACCATTAACATTCTCTATTTTGAAGAATAGAGGTGATGGATATTGGATACCATAAAAATATCATAATTTATAGAACTTTAAAATCAGAAATATATAGATGAAATAATATTAAATATAAAACTGTTTAACTGATCAAGATCCCAAGTCGTTTCAAGCGTCAAAACTTCATTAAAGATAGAGAGATCATCTGAAACATATCCAAAGCTAATGGAAACAGCACAAAAACTCTTTGATATAATGCAAACATAAAGGAAAGGAACATCCCTTAACGATTGGCCTTGGCAACTCTCTCAATCTCATCTTTCTTCTTGATGGCATAGCTGCAAGACAAGAGCAGATACTAATATTAGCTTCTAACTAATCATACAAATGCAAAGCCATGAAGAGACAGACAATGTAGATGTTTACCTGTTGGAAGATCCCTTTGCAGCATTGATGAGTTCATCAGCAAGGCACTCAGCGATTGTCTTGATGTTTCTAAAGGCAGCTTCACGTGCACCTGTGGTGAGCAAGAAGATCGCTTGGTTCACACGTCTTAAAGGAGAGATATCAACGGCCTGCCTCCTAACCACACCAGCAGATCCAATCCTGGTAGCATCTTCACGTGGACCACTGGTTCACACAAAATAACATACCTCATCAGAAAAGACGTTCAATAGTAGCGCACAAACAAGAAAATACAGGTTGTTCAATATCAGAATCTTCATTTACCTGTTGACAATGGCATCAATGATAACTTGAATCGGGTTCAAGTCAGACAAGAGGTGGATGATCTCCATGGCATGCTTGACAATCCTGACAGCCATCAACTTCTTACCGTTGTTCCTTCCGTGCATCATGAGAGAGTTTGTAAGCCTCTCAACAATTGGGCACTGAGCCTTTCTGAACCTCTTCACAGAGTATCTTCCAGCAGTGTGGGGAACAAAGGTTGCGTGTTTCGCTGGCTGAACCCCAATGTAGTCAACAAGACTAATGTCTGTGACCTACATCCACAAATACGCAGATCAAACAACAAATATTTGACTAATGCAACACACAAATAAAAACATGAACTTTAAAGTCAATTTAGAGATCCAAAAGTGTTAATACAAAAAAAACAACCAACATCGCAAGTCCCAAATGAGTTTTATTATCAAAACAAACACTATGTCAAGACAACATGACATATAGTGAAAGATGGACAAAGACAGTGATTGAACAATTTTCAGACAGTACGAGACGGCCGGATTGGAAACAGTTTGAACTAATTAACACAATGAAGCCAATGTAAAGCCTCATATCACAATAGAGCAGTCATTTCAATGCCTATCACATTTCGACATCAACAAGGCTAGATTACAGCTAAATCTAGTAAGTGAAAGTGAGGAACTAAAGTGATTTAGATTTCAGAAGAAAGAACAAATGAGCAGATCGGTTGGAACAGAACCAAAGAGTAGCACAATCAACGAGTTCAAAAGAGAGAAATGGTAAGAGGAATAAAAAGAGAAAGGATCGATGAGGAAAAAGTACCGAAACGTCATCAAAGCTCCAACGGTTGAAGAGCTTGACCTCGTTAGTAAGCTGTTGTTGAATCTCAGCGTCGATTTCTGCGGTGGCGGCCATGGCTGCAAGTGTAGGAGGAGGAGACAAGTAGGGATCTTTTTTAGCCGCGGCTTGAAGAAGAAGAGGAAGGAAGCTCACACGAATGAAAAACCCTAGATACGAGTGATAGTAATGTGTCTGTTTATAAAATGGGTTTTATTGGGCCTAGACTTGTTCTGATGTTGGCCTATTGGGTTTCTTTTTACTTTAATAAGTTTCTTTTGGTGAAGCAGAGAGAGTTTAGAAGATTTAGCTTTGATGTTAAGTTAGATGGAGATGTTAAGCCTAACCAGAAAAGCCTAGCATATATAATTACTATATAATATTTCGTTAGTCATATATATAATTCACAATTTTGAATATAAATTATAGATGGGATAATAAGAATAAAATCTAGAATGTCTAATATAATTGTGTAAAGATACCAACTAGTTAAGGTTGATCCACTAATCTAAAGTTTAAAAGCTCCTTTTTTATGCTAATTTAAAGAGCTCTTTTCTTGAACAGTTTTATTCTTGTCTACTTGATCATCCATCATAGGTTGCATTGAATAAGTTCTCACAATTGCCCACCAACCAAGTTTATAAGTTTTAAAATTATTATTCTTTGATACGAACAATACATTCTTCTTATTTGTAATGATGAGTGATGACCCATTCATACAAATTGTAATCTTCTTTTGCCTTTTGTCTTACCATACATCATATCTTATTAGCACTAATTTTTATATTACCATCGGCAGAAAGAAAAAAAAGATGCATCATTTTTTTTTTTTTTTTGTCGTCAAAAAAGATGCATCATTTAAGCCATATATATTTGCCATATTGGCTTTTGACGTGAGTGTATTAGCGACAAGTCAAAGCATGATCATGTTTATGATAATTATTGATACTCCTTAACTATTAGTACGTAGTAGTAACTTTTTTACTCTAAATTTTTATAAACTAATTTTATCAAATCTATTCGCCCAGCATGTCTATCCAAAGGAAACTAAAATGTGATACACATCTTCTACCTACTAATATTACGACTAGTATGCGAGGTCACATCTCCCTAACCTTTAGACTAAAGCAATCGTCGTTTATGATTCAATGTAATTTGTTAAAAAAAAAAAACTTGGTAAAGTAGAAGAAAAGTCCAAGAATCAACTATTGATAAAACCACTTGATCAATAAAATTTCTTTGACCTGAACGATATCAAATACTTGTATAGAGACTAAAGAGTACGTACATGTGTTATCAAGTGGGTTACAACATATCCTTAATTTTAATTTTGATGACCAAAGAACCTCTCTACCTAACAATATCTAGAACTCAACACTTGAAACACAAACCAGTCACTACAATTACTCCACAACACAGCACTCATTCTCTACAGCCATAGTCTTATAATCTATTATATATTATTTTGTCTCCCTAAGCAAAATGTGTGAACACACAATATAATACTACAAAGTAATAAAATAAAGTGATTGTTTATTTTTCTTCAACAAAAGTGACCATTAAGTCACAAAGTATATACACATTTCCACTTTGTTACCCTACTTTTTAAATATACTAACTCATTTGGTTGATTTCTAATTAATGTCATGTGGCCCTTTAACTAACTCGAGTTTTTTTTCTTCCACTTTTATTTTCTTTGGACTACAAATCAAACTTGCTGAATTGTTCAGACATATACAAATCTTTAAAAAGAAAATTCCCAAAGAAAACACGATAATGTTGTGGAGAATTTTTGAGTATGTAATCTTTTACCTTCTACCACCTAACTTTTTGAAAAAAAAAAACAAAACACATTTTACATAATCATATATTATACACGTACATTTAAAGAAGACAAATGCATATCTCATAATTTATTTGTTGAGCGTCCCACCAGAGAATCTAGGTTGAGGCATGACTCAGCTGGGTGGAGAACCAGAGGAAGAGTCACGGAGAATAGAGCTTGCAGAGACTGGAAAAAGCAACGGAACGAGTTCTAAGAGCAGCTCTTCAAGAAATGAGCATGATGATGGTGTTGATGAGGCAGAGCATGCTCTGCAGTGGGGTGAAATCCAGAGATTGCCCACTTTTAAACGGCTGCGATCGTCTCTGCTGGACAACCATGGCGAGTTTGGGGAGAAAGGAAAAAAGGTTGTTGATGTCACCAAGCTTGGAGCCTTGGAACGTCATCTGATGATTGAGAAGATGATCAAACACATTGAGAATGATAATCTCAAGCTGCTCAACAAAATCAGAACAAGAATGGACAAGTAAAATATATTTATATGATTATGAATATGCTTTTTGAAAGTATGAGACTTGAGCTTAAAAAACCTGCAGGGTCGGTGTGAAGTTTCCGACCATAGAGGTGAGGTATGAGCATTTAGGTGTAGAAGCAGAATGTGAGGTTGTTGAAGGGAAGGCTCTTCCGACTTTATGGAACTCCTTGAAGCGCATTTTCTTAGTGAGTATACATTCAAGAATGTAATGCACTAATGCAGAATTCAACTATTGTAGTGGCTGGGGTTGAATTATACTTTTTTTTTTCCTTCAGGACTTGTTGAAGTTGACTGGCGTAAGAACACGTGAAGCCAAGATAAACATACTTAACGATGTTAGTGGCATCATTAAACCAGGAAGGTTAGTTGCAGGAGGAGCTTTCTTTTGATGAGAATTGTGTAATGCACTCAACTAAATGTCTCTTTTTGTTTCTCAAGGTTAACATTGTTGCTTGGTCCTCCTGGATGTGGAAAAACTACTTTTCTTAAGGCCTTGTCTGGAAATTTAGAAAAGAATCTAAAGGTTTCAGATTTTTTTTTCCTCTTTGGATGCTTTTGCTGCAAATGTGTGAACTCCTGTCTCTTTTTTTTTTTCTCCTTTTATCTTCCATAGGTTTATGGTGAAATCTCATACAATGAACATGGACTAAACGACATTGTTCCTCAGAAGACATCAGCGTACATAAGTCAGCATGATCTGCACATAGCAGAGATGACTGTGAGGGAAACAATTGACTTCTCAGCTCGTTGTCAAGATGTCGGTGGCCGAACAGGTAGACATCGTCATGAACCAACGGTCTTTTCGAAACATATCTCTAAACAGTTTAGCGTAACACATATCTTCTCTGCTGAAACAGATATCATGATGGAGGTCAGTAAAAGAGAAAAGGATGGTGGAATCATTCCTGATGCAGATATAGATGCTTACATGAAGGTAGCTTACTCCTGAGGCTAATGTTGAAACTGATCTTTGAACTTTAGTTTCTTATTTTAATTCGTTTGGTAATCTCATTGTGCAGGCAATATCTGTTAAAGGAATTAAAAGAAGCCTCCAAACAGATTACATTTTGAAGGTAGTTGTTTTCTATGATACTGTTCAGATTTCTAGTCCTTGATTAGCTAATTAATTATGTCTTGTATGAAATCTTCAGATCCTCGGGCTTGACATTTGTGCAGAAACATTAGTTGGAAATGCGATGAAAAGAGGCATCTCCGGCGGGCAAAAGAAGCGTCTTACCACAGGTCAGTTCATAGCTAAGATCCTGCAAAAACAGTCATCTTTTTGTTGGCATGGCATGTTTTCTAAGAGAATCAGTGTTTACAGCTGAGATGATGGTTGGTCCAACCAAAGCTCTGTTTATGGATGAAATAACAAACGGCCTAGATAGTTCCACGGCATTCCAAATTGTCAAGTCTCTTCAGCAACTAGCTCACATTACCAACGCAACTGTGTTTGTTTCCCTTCTACAACCTGCTCCAGAATCATATGACCTCTTTGACGATATTGTGCTGATGGCTGAAGGAAAAATTGTGTACCAAGGTCCACGAGATGAGGTATTGAAATTCTTTGAGGAATGTGGATTTCAGTGTCCAGAAAGGAAAGGTGTTTCAGACTTTCTCCAGGAGGTAAAAAGCCAAAACTATGATCCTTGACATTGAACCTTTGTTCCCATGGTCCTGACTTGTTTTGCTTTGCAGGTTATATCTAGGAAGGACCAAGGACAGTACTGGCTGCACCATGACTTACCCCATAGTTTTGTCTCAGTAGACACATTTTTAAGAAGATTCAAGGACTTAGGGACTGGAAGAAAAATTGAGGAATCCCTCTCTAAGCCATATGATAAATCAAAAACTCACAAGGATGATTTTTCAGTCAGTGTGTATTCTCTCCCAAAATGGGAGCTGTTCAAAGCATGCATCTCAAGAGAGTTTCTTCTCATGAAGAGAAACTATTTCGTCTACCTCTTCAAAACATTTCAGGTTACATTCTTTCTTTCTGCAGATGTTTCTCTCCTTTTGTTTTCTTTCAAGATCCTATACTGTTAAATTCTGAAGAATCCTTATGTCTTTTTTCTTATGTTGTTGTACAGCTTGTTGTATCGGCAATCCTCACCATGACTGTGTTTATTCGAACACGGATGGACATAGACGTCATACATGGGAATTCTTACCTGAGTTGTCTCTTTTTTGCAACTGTTGTGCTTCTGGTTGATGGTGTTCCAGAGCTGTCTATGACTGTTCAACGCCTTTCCGTGTTCTACAAGCAGAAGCAACTGTGTTTCTATCCAGCTTGGGCTTATGCAATCCCTGCAACTGTATTAAAAGTGCCACTATCGTTCATTGAATCTCTTGTTTGGACCTGTCTCACTTACTATGTCATCGGATACACTCCTGAAGCCTACCGGTGAGAGCTTGATATCCTCTCTTTGCTTGTTCCCTAGTCACATCCAAGCCTGAGAATGACACACAAATGTAATGTAATGATTTTTTGATGTTTCAGGTTCTTCCGACAATTCATTATGCTCTTTGCTGTTCACTTCACATCGGTTTCTATGTTTCGGTGTATAGCTGCAATCTTTCAGACAGGAGTTGCTTCAATGACAGCTGGTAGCTTTGTCATGTTAATGACCTTTGTATTCGCCGGTTTCGCCATTCCCTATAGTAAGATTTTTACTCTCTTTATTTATTTTCAATCCTGTTTCCAAACTTCCGTTTACAATGTACATGACGTTGGTTGGTGCAGCCGATATGCCGGGGTGGCTGAAATGGGGTTTTTGGGTAAATCCTATAAGCTACGCCGAGATTGGACTCTCTGTAAACGAGTTTCTTGCACCGCGGTGGCAGCAAGTGATTCTCTCTACCCTTACTCTTTTCTCTTAATCATCCAATATCTCTTCATTTGATCTCCAAGACTTAAATAGGCTTTCCTGTTATGTTTGTAGATGCAACCTACGAATGTCACCTTGGGTAGAACCATACTTGAAAGCAGAGGACTGAACTATGATGATTACATGTATTGGGTCTCATTATGTGCCTTGTTTGGTCTCACTGTTATCTTCAACACCATTTTCACTCTGGCTCTGACTTTCTTGAAATGTAAGTTTCAAAATATCCATAGATTGCCACGGACAAGACCAACTAAATCTGAACTGCTTTCTTTAATACATGACAGCTCCCACATCATCTCGTGCCATGATTTCCCAAGACAAGCTTTATGAGCTGCAAGGTACCAAAGATTCATCAGTCAAGAAGAACAAGGCGATAGTAAAACCAAATGAGGATTCAGGTGTTTTACGTCTTCTTCTTTCAACTCGCACAAACTTTTTTTTTTCCATTTCCATCAACCTAATAATGCCTTTGTTGATACCAACAGAGAATATGATCTTACCTTTTAAGCCCCTCACCATAACATTTCAAGACTTGAACTATTACGTCGATGTCCCTGTGGTAAAAGCTTCTGTTCACTTTTTAGTTACTAATAATAAAATCAACTCCAGCGATCATCAAAGAGAATAATCCATGGATGTTTGCATCTCAGGAGATGAAAGGTCAAGGGTACAGTGAGAAGAAGTTACAGCTTCTCTCAGACATTACCGGAGCTTTCAGGCCCGGCGTTCTGACAGCGTTGATGGGAGTCAGCGGAGCTGGAAAAACCACTTTACTTGACGTTCTAGCTGGAAGAAAAACAAGCGGATACATCGAAGGAGAGATCAAAATCAGCGGTTACCTTAAAGTCCAAGAAACGTTCGCAAGAGTCTCAGGCTACTGTGAACAAACAGATATACACTCACCAAACATCACAGTCGAGGAATCCCTAATTTACTCAGCTTGGCTCCGTCTAGTTCCTGACATCAATCCCAAAACCAAAATCGTAAGCCCTAATTTTACAGGGCATCAACACACATTTGTGACCTAGAAATCGAAATAAACAAATCACCTGAAAATTGTGCAGAGATTTGTGAAGCAAGTTCTGGAGACAATCGAGCTTGAGGAGATCAAGGATGCGTTGGTGGGAGTGGCTGGAGTTAGCGGGTTGTCGACGGAGCAGAGGAAGCGGTTGACTGTAGCGGTGGAGTTGGTGGCGAATCCGTCGATCATATTCATGGACGAGCCGACAACGGGGCTGGACGCAAGAGCAGCCGCCATTGTAATGAGAGCTGTGAAGAACGTAGCTGAGACTGGACGAACCATTGTTTGCACTATTCATCAGCCTAGCATCCACATCTTTGAAGCCTTCGACGAGGTCAATGTTTCTAATTTTTTTTGTGTGTTAAAGCTTGTAATAACTAATAAGTCTTTTTACCTTTTTTTGCTAATTTTTATAATTTTCTACGTTCAGTTGGTTCTTCTGAAGACAGGTGGTCGCATGATATACACTGGACCTCTAGGACAACATTCATCTTCGGTCATTGAGTATTTTCAGGTTTGCTTTCTGCACAAGTAACAAAAGTAAATTAATCTAGATTTTGGTTGTTTGTAAGTAATCTTTTCAGTTTTTTTGGGGGTAAATAAACAGAGTATCCCTGGAGTTGCTAAGATTAAAGACAAGTACAATCCAGCAACATGGATGCTAGAGGTCACTTCACAGTCTGTAGAGACTGAACTCGACATTGATTTCGCAAAAATCTACAATGAATCGGATCTTTCCAAGTGAGTAGAGTATAGATCCCAGTTATGGCGCCTAGATTTTTGTTTCCTTAGATGTGACTAATTAATGAGCTCATGGTGTTATTGTTTCTATAGGAGAAACTCTGAGCTTGCTAAAGAGCTGAGCAAACCTGATCTTGGATCAAGCGATTTGCATTTCAATAGAACTTTTGCACAAAACTGGTGGGGGCAGTTTAAATCTTGTCTATGGAAGATGAGTTTGTCTTACTGGAGAAGCCCTTCTTACAATTTGATGCGTATCGGTCACACTTTAATCTCTTCTCTCATCTTTGGTTTACTCTTCTTGAATCAAGGGAAAAAGATGTAAGTTAAATAAAAATCCCTTTGAAATCATTCCAAGTTTCACTATACTAGTGTTTTAGTAATTCACTTTCTTTTTGTATGTTTTGGCAGAGACACTCAACAGAACCTGTTCACAGTTCTAGGTGCGATTTATGGTCTAGTCCTCTTCGTGGGGATAAACAACTGCACTTCAGCTTTGCAGTATTTTGAGACAGAGCGTAATGTTATGTACCGAGAAAGATTTGCAGGAATGTACTCTGCGTTTGCCTATGCATTAGCTCAAGTTGTGACTGAGATACCTTACATATTCATCCAAAGCGCAGAGTTTGTGATCATAATATATCCTATGATTGGTTTCTATGCGTCTTTCTCTAAAATGTTTTGGAGTCTCTATGCAATGTTCTGCAACTTACTCTGCTTCAATTACCTTGCATTGCTCCTCATCTCCATCACTCCAAACTTTATGGTCGCAGCTGTTCTCCAGTCACTTTTCTTCGTTACTTTCAACCTTTTCGCAGGATTCTTGATCCCAAAAACAGTAAGATCTTTTGTCCTGATTGACATAATCTTCGATCTTTACCTTATTTAATAGTGTTTTCTTCATGTTGAAAAATGCAGCAAATCCCAAAGTGGTGGGTCTGGTTATACTATATAACCCCGACTTCTTGGACACTCAACCTGTTTTTCTCGTCTCAGTATGGCGATATTCATGAAGAAATCAATGCATTTGGGAAAACCACGACGGTTGCGATATTCTTAGAGGACTATTTTGGATTCCATCATGATCGTTTGATGATTACAGCCATTGTTCTCATTGCATTTCCAGTTGCATTGGCTACTATGTTTGCTTTCTTTGTTGCCAAACTCAACTTTCAAAAACGATGATCAAAAACTTGTATATCCAAGACCACAAGCTATGATAAACAATGTACGTAACAACCACAAGAAAAGATATATCAAATGTTTTTAACATGAATTCAATTGAGTTAATTGTAAAATGTACTTAAATATGAATTGGCCTTTTGTAACAGTTTTAAACTATTTCTACTTATAACTGATCAAGAAAATTGAGCAAAACTTTACTTGATTGTTTCAGAGTTTGCAGGTATCAAGCTCCTGAAGATGAAAGCCTTGAGAAAAACAAAGCCTTAGCCTCTTACTCTGTAGTTCGATCCCCCAGCTTTTCTTTATGACAGAGAGACAATGAGAAATCTTTAGCAGCTTCAAGATACTAAGACCATCGATACATTTTTCATCAATCTGGAAAGGCGGTTTAAGACTCTATAGACGCCCTATGGCTAGTTGCAGAGAACTCATAGGGATGTGGATGTGATGCTAGAAAGCTTTGAAAATTACCTAAATGTTTTGCAGTTATGACTCTTTCTCGGTTAGCGTCTTGTCTCCGGATTTAAAAGATCTTCAGTTTTGCTTTCTTTTGATGGAGATTTGACTTCAGATGTTGCATTACTAGTGTTAATACTATTTGATTCTTCAGGCTGTTTTGCCTGTTACCAAAAAACATTACATTGATAGTAAGCTTAGTTCATTTCACTAAAGAACGTAACATATATATATCAAAATGATATAATATCATGCATATTCCCTAAATTTGTGGAAATGTAAAGATAGAGAGGAAAAAAAATGCTAAGTATAAGCATAATATTTCATCAGCTCCATAGCATTAAGTACTTCACCTTGTTCCTGTCGCGCCAGCCTAACCCAAATGATAAGAAGCCTGTCTTCTTTTTAGGGCTCTCCGGTGCAGGACGAGGAAACCTATACAACGTTGAAGAGGTAACAATGTAAGAACAGTCTTCTTAAACAGCATGACTTGAGAAGTAGTACCGAACACATCAAAAATGTTATAAATAGAAGAAGGAAAAAGAAAGAGTTGTGTCATTGTGTGGTTTCCCCACACTAAATTCAAAACAAATGTAAAACTGAGTAATGTGTATCTATAGAAACGGGTAGAATCTGTTTTCAGTATGTTGCCAAGTTTTAGAAAAATTTTAACAGATCAAAGCAGCCAAAAAAAACAGATAGGAAGCTGATGTTTGAAGTACCTTGGAGAAGATAATGCTTTATTTTGACCTGATTCATATTGCAGAGTAGCTTCTAGAGTTGTTTCTGCAGTAACTAGTTTCTTCTCCATTTGAGCTAGTTGAGTCACAAGCTTTTCATTTTTTTCCTACATTTCCATGAAGACATTGTGCATATAAGATTCTTTGTTGGGGTATACAAATAATCATCAAGCTAAGATAAAAGATGATGTACTTTTGATTAATTTTTTAAATCTTATTATTTCATGAAAAGGAAACATTTTAGAAGATACAAAGTGAGATGACCAAAGCAAGCACCTGAAGCACGTGTGCTGCGTATCTTTGTGCAGCTGCATCCTGCTCTGCACTTATCCGAGCATCTTCTGTAAGTTTTTGGTCTTGCTCAACTTTCATCAAGACCTGAAGCACACATCACAAGTTAGATTAAAAAACCGACAAGTGCAGCGCTTTGCCACTCGCAGAAAACCAAATATATGAATTAAACAGACCTGAAGCATTGCTGTTTCTTGTTCTTTTTTGTCAGAAAGGACTTGCTTTAGTTCTCTCACTTCTTTTTCAAGTTGTTCAATCTGTAAAATTAAGGTGTACGTTTTAGTTCAATCGGTTTTAAGAGATACAGTCCCCACTCATTAGATCCCAAAATAGCATTCCAGTCTTTTCACTGACCGAGAAACATATTTGTCAGTATTTGATATTCATCAACTTAAGATCATATAGAGCCTAATGTCTGGAACCTACAGTTTCATACTGAATGCAATATAGGACAAATGAAACAATATTCTCAAGATACAGTAAAACAATCAGTGATACTTCCTCTAGCTCTTATTAATAGCACTGTTTTAAGGAAGTCTAAATTTTACCTTTGCACTTAATTCCAGTCTGTTATCTTCTTTGACCATCTCCATCAAAGCTATCTCTAGTTCCTCAGCTCTGGAGATATATGCAATACATATTAGGATTGGTTCTTAAGAGCAAACAGCAAAAATTTCTAAAACCAACTAGTAACAAAGAAAACTAAGTTTAAACTCCTTGAATAACGAGAAAGAGAATGTGAAGTAGAGTGAAAATAACCTCATCACAGCTGATCTTTTCTCCTCCAATAGTCTGCATAGTTCAACCTTCATCCATACCACCTGCACAATAACTGTTATGGATGAAATTTAAAAGGAGTTGCATATTGTTCATACTTCCCTAGAAGTTTACTACCAAGAACAAGAAATAGTATATGTATGAAGCTATGATTATCATGAATTTCGATGATTGGCTCTAAAGGAAAATATCAATGACAGTAGTTATTATCCACAAAACATTAAAAAAAAAAAAGCATGTTACCAAAAGGTCACCTGTTCTTGAAGATCTGGTAAAGAGTCTACTTCAGAATCAACATTTGCGCCATCAAGATTCATAGAAAAGTTAGGCGAACGAGATTCATCATCATCTGGATTCTCACCATCAGTCCTTTGAGGAGGCTTCTGTTCATCTAGTATAGAACCTTCATGTTTAAAACTATATAGTTTAGAAGCCAATCCTTTTTTATCCTTCCAGACTCGACCCTTCTGTATTCTTTCCTCCACAATCTCTAGTACTGCCGGTCTATGTATTTTCCTCAGCTCTTCTAGTCTAGCTTCATTTGTCGATATATAACCCATGCATGCAGTCAAAACAAGTTGGCTGCTATCAAATGTTGAACTAGCAAGGCTTTGTAGTGAAGTAATAGCATCTCCTGCATCTTGTGTGGCAACAATTGCAGGACCTAAGGAAAACAAACAGTGACTGAAACTTATTTCCTTCAAACATAGAACTAGTTCAATCATCACATCACAAATTGATACATAAAAAAGTATACCAGCCATACCATAAAGTTCCATTAAAGCAAACGCTGTTCGAAACAACACTACACGGTTTCCTTCAAAGAGAAGCACATCCCACATCCGCAGAACTGGGACCAAAAAACATTAAAGATGAAATACAACTTCATTCCTTTGACATAACATGAAAGCAGAAACTTTTCTATAAAGAACTCACCACATTCCCATGGGATTATATTCACAAAAATAGATAGAAACCATGGCCCAGAGATCCAAGCTACCTGCACTCCCAAGTAATCCAGATGATTAACTGCATCAGGAGGAGTATTGGAATAGAAGAAACGATCACATTGCTCTGTATAAGGTGGAAATAAAAAGATATATGAAGAGAAATTTGAATATAAGATGAGAAAACGAACCGAGTTTTGGAAATCTTTCTCGCATCAACTCTTCAAAGACTAATTGGTCAACCTAAGAGTAGATTCACGATGGTCAAAATAAATATACTTTCTAGAGATGTTGTAAGAAGACATATTCAAAAGCCTTTTGGATGAAACCTGAGATTCTATCATCTCTTCTGTATAGTAGCCATCAAAATAATCATCAATAATCCCAACCAAAGTCCTGAAATTTTTTAGTATAGTAGCCCATCAAAAATCATTCATACCAATGCATGCCAGGATTCAAATACAGAGAAAAAATCTTTATCACTCTACCAAAATGCATTTTCTTCTGGCATCAGTAGAAGCAACAGTCCAGCAAAAAAGTTCATAGCCTGCAATTTTACTGGATCATTGTTAGCTTAGCCTAGAAACAACTGTAACAACTAATAATGAACAAATGTTATTATGCACAATTCCACCACCACAGATTCATTGTTCTTTTATGACCCAACAAAGCAAAATGTGTTACATAACTGTTTTATAAGCATTTAAATTCATCCACTGTATAAAAGCTAGATGCCAAAGCAACCAAAAGAAAGAGGATATTAGAGTAAAAATGACTAGAACTAAAACTTATTTTTCAAATTATGTACTCAGATATGCTTTCCTAGCTCAAGTCACCTGACAGTAGCCAACAGATGGGTTGTGACAAGCATAAGCTAGAAGTATCCGCCTTAAGGAATCTCGACCGTTTTCATTCAAAGCAGGGTGGCCTGGGAATGTCCGAGGTATATCCTGTATAGTGATCATGATGAAGATAAGAAAACTTCTAGATATTCAAAAGACTGAGTAGCCAAAGTCCAATATGGATTTATCTAACCAAACCTTTTCAATTTGTTTTTTCCACTTTCTTTGGACATCAGATGAGCTTTCATCAGAGTCAGTTATTTGTGCCAACAAATCCTGATAGTACCTCTCAACTCGTCTTGCTTTTACACCTACAAAGGCTTGCCAGACCTGTGAGTGTAAAAGTTAAGAAAGAAAAGTAAACATTAATATTAATGAGATGGTCAAAATGAATGAGATGGTTAGTATAAACTTTACCTCCCCTCTGAGATCCTTTGGCACTCCCAAACGAACAAGTACCTCAAGTTCTTCATACCAAGGGAAAAATGGCTCTGGAGAAACATTACTCTGAGCATCATGTTCTTCCTTTATTGAATGGGATCTACTCGTGAAAGTTTCACTGTCGCGGTCATTTTCCATAGAGTTTTGCTCAGATTCTTCAATGGAAGCTAATGACGAAGCATGGTCCCCTGCTATAGTCTGCTGCTTGTTTTGCATATACTTGACATTCTTAACACGAGAACACATCATAGCCTCTATGGACTTAAGACAAGGTCTAATATGAGCCCATTCGATAACTGAACGGGACTTCGTTTCTTTTTGTGTTTTTTCATCATCTACTCCACATTTTTCTGCTTCTGGCACAGGCTCTTCTGTCTCATTTTCTTGTTGAATCTCTACATGATTAAGATCAATAGCTTCTTTTACTGGTTGAGATTGTTTCTCTTCATCAGATTCACTTTCAACTGAAGACTCCTTCTCTTTATCAGTGTCAGATTGCTCAGCCTCATCTTTCACAGATTCACTCTTTTCTCCAAGACTCGTCTCCCTCAAAATTTGGTGCTCGTCAAGAACATGTGCCTCCTCAGCTACTTCTTTCTCTTTTGAAAGCTCACCAACAGTCTCATTGCTATCTTTTTCAAGATGCTGCACTTCTAAACCATCAAGTTTACTAGAACCAGAGTCTTGTTTTTCATTTCTTGAATCCTCTTCTGAAGCACTCTCCTCTCCAGAGTCCGAACCATCAGCCTGAAATGTATCCTGAAACTCCTCTTCTGAGGAACAAGGCTCAGCGACGCTCTCTTGCCTGTCAAGAAAGTTTTGCCATTTCTCTGCCCTCTCTGTCTCTTCCTCCTATTACAGTAGTACTCAATTTAGTGAAGGTCAACACAAAAAGTCCCAATACATTTGATTTGATACAAATGACACACAAGAATTCTAGTAAATGAACAAAATTTCAACTACTAATTAATGATCTGAGAAAGCAAATGAAGCATGAGGAAGAAGAAGGAACCCAACTGTATAAATGCTAACGTATTCTTGATATCTCTGAACGTGTTGAGGTCTCAAGGCAAATCCATAGGCGTCCCTGCAGCACCAATAAAAACTCTTCAAACAAACGTATCATCTAAATCACAAAACCACGAAAATGATATAAGAAAAATTTACCTGGAATCTACCTCCAGTGAGCGCTTGCTCACCAAAGATAACAACATAATAATATTTCACAAAGAAGCCTATTTCTAATTCCCATAGCTTTACTTAACATTACAACACCGCACACTCACAACTCTCAAATCCATACACATGGTTTTAATGGTTAATTCTAAAGATTAACAACAACATTAAACGATGGATAAAGATCAAAAGAAACTGAAAAGAAGAGCTAGGATGATCTCATCGGTTTGTTTTGTACTGAGATCGAGAAAACGTCAACGAGAGATTACCGATTAATCAGGGGATTATTAATAAAACAAATATATGGATTTAAATAATTCACCTGTCTCTTGCTATATAGTTGTGGACTACAAACAAGTGTTGCTCCGTCATGATCGGTCATGCACGATCAAATTGTTGTTTTATTTTTTTTGTTTTCCAGCAAAAACACAAAAAAAAAAAATTTACAAGAAAATAAAATAAAAAGATGAATTTTCTAAACGATTATAGAAATAAATCTTCATAATGCAGTAATATCAAAACGTTAATTCCATATTTAATTTCAAACAAAGTTTTCTGTCTGTTCTTTAATTAGGCAGTAATATTTACTTTTATCTACGTGGCGTATTATTATTGGATTTTAGTTAAGTTTGTAAGTCCACTTACAAAGAACGCGGACAATGTTTTTTTTTCAAAAAAAAAAATAACGTGGACAATGTAGAAAAAGAATAATGTAAATCCATAAAATTATGAACAATATGCAATTATGCATGATGTGGATTTTGATTGCAGATGATGATAGATTAGACCTTAATTTGAACTCATTTTTGCTTTGACCATTGAGAAATTTTTACATACTATAGTCCGAGTTTTAGAACCGAAATGAAGAAAAAAAAAAAGATAAAAGGACAAGGTCAATCCCTGCAATTGCAATGCAAAAAGATATACTGCTTCCTTCGTTCGGTCTCATGATCACTAGTTTCCAAGAAACGTCACTTTCGTTCTTTGGTAACAAAAACACCAAACAAGAAGGAAAGAGACAGAACATTATGTCATGTGTGTCGTGTCGTCCTTCCCATCTCTACTAACACTGAGAATTTATTACTATAGAACTCAAAATGTGTCCGAAAGCCTAATCAATCCCTTTATTCACATGGCCTCTCTCTCTTTCCATTGCCTCTTCTATCCATCAATTTGTCTTTGATCTTGGCTTCTCTCTTCTTTTTCCTGTTAATTACTATCTCCATTACCACCAATCTCCTCTATTGAGCTCGTTCTTGTACTGGTGTAGTATATACTATAGTATTTAGTAACTTTATGATCCACCATGAGAAACGGTTCTGATTCAAAGTTGTTTAGGGGTGGAGAAATGGATATTCTTGATTCTTGAACTCTTAAGTTGCATCTGAGCACCAAGAGAACTCATTACCAGCCTGTGGTTCTTCTTCACGACTTGAGGTTGAAGTAACAACACTGGCTTCACCAAAAGAAACATCTTTGAGCTTTGAACATGCTGAATCCTCTTCCATAGAGGCAACACTTTCAGTTGCATGATTATTTTTCTTTTCCTCCACAGCTCCCTTTTCATGAGTTTCTTCTTCTTCTTCCTTGGATGCTGAAGTGCAAACAGATGACACACAAGAAACTTCAGATGAACTCAATTGCTGATCTGATCCCTCCGAACTGCCTGACCCTTTAATGAATTTAAGTTTCTTCACCAGATACTTTAGTCTCTTTTCTGCTTTTTCCCTTAATCTGATCTCTTCTTTCAGATTACGCTCCAACTCTTCCATCTGTTTTCCAAGAGATCAGTAAACAAAGAAAAAAACAGCTTTTAACAAAAGCCAGATCAAACCTAACCACATTTAAACAACACCTTTTTTGGTCCTTAAAACTAGAACAGAGTAAACTAGTGATAATACTCTCTTGGTAGTTTGAGTAACTAGAATGACTCTTTCTTGATTCTTGATCAAACCCAGATTATCTTTAAAAAGGAATGAGACTTAGGATTCTATGAAGTTACCTTTTTAGTAATAAGCTCAGCTTCTTCTTTAGCAGATCTTGAAACTTGCCTCTCTGCAAGTAGTCTCCCTCTTAAACACTCCACAGTTCTGAGACCTTCCTTATCTTCTTCTTCTTCCATTTTCTTACTCGCAAAACTTGTTCTAAACCGAAAAGAAAAGTAAAAAAGCACAAAAGCAAATTCCTCAATCTCTATATAAAAGTTCTTAAATCACATATCTATAGAAGTAGAAAGAGAGAGAGAGAGACTCACCTGCATTTTAAGTTGTAACTGGAGGGATCGGTGGTAATACTCATACTGTTTTAAAGAGTTCAACTTCACAACTAACTGCAAGAAAAGAAGAAGACCAATTTGTTGTTAGATCATGTCATTTAATGTTTCATTCATTCAATAAGGAACAAATCAACATCATACTTTTTAAAATCAACTTACCCCGACGACACACTCTCCGAAGGAAAGTGTTTCCAAGTTCAAATTAAAGAATGAAATAAACAGATCCAGATTCAAAACCAAATCCACCCTGAGACTTGATTGAAGGGAGGAGGAGGAGGGACTTTTAAACTTTTGAACTTTTAGTTTGAATTACAAAAACAGAACCTGTCGTGTAGGGACAAATAAATAAGTTGATTTGTAAACAAAACGACACTGTGGGCTTTGGACTTTTGTTGCCTGTGCAGTTCCCCCGTGAGTTCGTAAAATCTCTCTCTCACTCCAATACCCCTTTTTAAAAATATATCACTGTATTTGTTATACATTTTTCACTGCATATATTATCTTACATGTGCACATTGCACAAGAGGAATCAATCCTGATAAAGATTATATAAATCCATAAATCACCATAATCTTGTTCTTTGACGTTAATTCCAAAGAAAAAACAAATCACATATCATTTATAAAAGTCTTCACTGTTTTGGTGACACGATTCTGGTTTTCCCAAGTGTTGCAAAAACTCTTTGTCAGAATAAATAAAAATAACTTTTTTTTGTTTTTGTTTTTCATGAAACTTGCTTTCATCGGTTGCATTTATATTTGCATACCACTTCTTGTGTTGTGTGCGGCATTGCACTATTTGTTGATGTAAAATATACTAGTATAAAGGAAATATAAAATAACTAAGACAGTACTGTAATCGAATAAAATTAAGGATATGGGAAAATTCTTGTGACCCTCCATAGATCTAGAGTAACCATTAGAGGTGGTCACGCTGAAATATTAATGCTCCCAACCTCACACTATATGATTTGTTTGGTTTACTTTTAGAATTAGATATGCTTAGCAGTTATCAACACGCAAAGACAAATTGAGTGATTACTGATTAGTAAGTTAGCATAGAGCATGCGTGTACTTTACTCCGAGACCAAAAAATTAACTACCAGAACACACCATTAATCATATAATGCGTTACTTTGTGAACCAAACTATAATGAATCATATAAAAAAAAAGAGATTCTTATCTTATTTGCAACCCCACCACTTCAATCAAAATCACTTCATTTACTCTGTAGTTGAAGCTTGGGCTTACGCTGCTTCCATCATTTATTCAACGCCATGTTCGTTCAATCACAACTACACAAAAAGGGAACATGGAAAACAAAATCATTAAATAATTAACTCTTTGAAAAGCACCCAAAAACATAACAAATCATCACTTACTGTAGAAGCCCCCCAAAATATAAACTTTGAACTTCATGGCAAGAAAATGCATAGGAGATGTTATCAATAAGCTTCATCAAGCTCTTGTTTCATGATATACTCTTTGTCGCTCATTGACTCAAGCAAACCCTCTATCACATCATACATCTCTTTGCTTCTCTCACATGAACTGTCTTTCGCAATGAAACTACGTAGTCCTTTATCTGTTTCGATCCAGCTAGTTCCGGGGATTTTCTTCAATCCGATTCTGGTCATCTTATCCCTTACAAACTCAGCTTCTTCCCATTTCCCTGCTTGAGTGTACAAATTCGCCATGATAGTGTAATTCCCAGTATTTTCAGGTTCCATCTCAAACAAGCGATCACAAGCAAACTTAGCAATCTCCACATCACCAAGAACTGAAGCTCCATTCAACAATGCACCCCACACTTTAGCAATTGGTTCGATTGGCATCCTAGCAATGTACTCCATTGCATCCGAAAGTTTCCCAGCCCGGCTAAGAACACTAACCATACAAGCATAGTGCTCAACTCCAGGCTCGATGTCATACTTTGTTACCATAGAATCAAATATGTGCTGCGCCTTATCAGATTCTCCAGAGTGTGCAAAAGCTGAAAGAACAGCTGTTAGTGTAACATTGTCTGGCCTAGTTCCAAGACATTGCATTTGGTCAAACAGTCTACAGGCAGAATCAGAGTCCCCATGAACAGCATATGCTGTTATAATTGCAGTCAAAACGATCAAGCTCCTCTCTTTACAGTTATCGAAAACCTTTTGAGCTCCTAAAATAAATCCTAATTTGGCATAGTTATCTATGATGGAGGTGGTAACATAAATATTGCTGTCAGCGCCATTACGGATAGCAAAAGCGTGGATTTCCTTACCCCCTTTCAGATTTGAACTATATGTCAACGAAGGAAGAAGGCTTGAAAGAGTCACTGTATTTGGCCTCGAGCCACATCTTATCATCTCCCTAAATGAGCTAATAACCTCCTCATGGTGATTATTCTGCATAAGACCCGAAATCACAGCATTCCACGTACTCAGACCAATGCTTTCCATTTCACTAAATAAAGCCATTGCTTCTTTAACAAGTCCGTGAGACATATAGCCTGAGATAATAGCCCCGTATGTAACAGAATCTTTCTCATTCATCTCATCAAACAATGCTCTTGCATAATCCAAGCTACCACATTTAGCGTAAAAACCAATCAGAGCATTACACAAGGATAAATCCATCTGAATATGATTCTCAAGCATTTGCTTGTGAACTTCCATCCCGAAAACAAGATCACTTGATTGTCCGCAGGCCTGCAATACGCTTATTACAGTGACTCCATTAGGCTTCAACTCAGGGCAAACCAACATCGCTTTATACATCTCTTTACAGTCCTCAAAAGACCCACTTTGAGAATACCCCGAAATCATAGAATTCCATGAAACGACATCTCTCTCAGACATTTCATCAAACACTTTCCTCGCAGATTCGATGTTATCACACTTTGTATAGTACGTGATCATCCCATTGCCCACGAAGACATCGGAATCAAACCCACCTCTAAAAACAAACCCGTGAACTTGTCGAGCCAGTGAACCAAACAAAAAATCATCATAACCCGACAGGGCCTTCAACACACAAGAGATACTAACAGAATCTGGTCTGGCGGCACCGGAAGAAGAAGAAGAGCCAATCCAAGACAAGAACAACGAAAAGGCATCGAAATACATCTCACGGGAAGTGTACGCGATGAGAAGTGCGTTGTAAGAGAAGGCATTTCTAACGGCAATTTCGTCGAACACATGGAGTGCTTGGCGGAAGCGATTCTCCCTGGTGTAAAAGTTGATGAGCTTGGAAGCGAGGAAGTTGTCAGGCGTGATAGAGAACACGACAATGCGCGCATGGAGCTGAAGCGCGTGGAGAGGTAGTCGGTGACGAGTGAAGTGCTGAATGAGGTGACCGTACGCGCCGCCGTCGACCGCCGCTTTGTTTAGCAAGCCTAGCAAGGCTCGTTGAATTTCGAATCCCAGCTTCATTCATAATTTCATATCTAACCAAAAGCTTAACCGGAAAAATAAACATTATAGTAATATTCTTTTTTTTTTTTTTTGTCATCAACATTATGAATATCTCAAAACAAGTTAATGGGCCTATTAATGGGACTTAAGCCCATATATAGCCTTAGAAGTGTTCCATACATATTGACCGATGGAATCTACTGTCTTTTTCAGCTTCATGTCTTGTCTGAGAAAATATCATTGTAGAGCTTTCAGTTATATTCAATCGCGATCTAGCTATAGTCGATCACTGAATCCTGATATAACTAACGAAGCAACTGAACTCGAGAGACGAGCTCGTGCTCTGAGAGTTTTAGATATCATATCTTCGAAATCTGGTGGAGCGTCGAATCGCCAGAATCATTTTGGTTTCGTTCAGGAATTTCTACAAACAGATTCGAGGCAATTCATAGGTTCAGCAATTTCCAATGATTTTGATCTTTCAAGAACAAAAAATGGCGTTTCAAGCGTTCTGGAAGAAGTTCTGTTGGAGGATTTTACAAGCTTTGTGAATGGTGGTATGCATCAGCGTGATGGGTGGAGTTTCGATGCTTATGGTTTATCGTCCGCCGTGAGATCATGTGGGTCGAGTGGAGACTTTAGAACAGGTTCTGGGTTTCACTGTTTGGCGTTTAAAGGTGGGCATATCTCAGATGTCTACGTTGGAAATTCTTTGGTTGTGTTATACAGGGATTCTGGTGACTTAGACAGTGCACATAAAGTGTTTGAAGAAATGCCTGAGAAGGACGTGGTTTCATGGGCGGCTATGATTTCAGGGTTTGCGCAGAAATGGCGTGTTGATTTCTGTTTGAAGCTTTATTCGAAGATGAGAAATTCAAACTCTGATCCGAATGATTATACATTCACTGCTCTCTTGAGCGCTTGTACGGGAAGTGGAGCTCTAGGGCAAGGAAGAAGCGTTCATTGCCAGACACTCCAAACGGGTTTCAAGACGTATCTTCATATATCAAATGCTCTCATATCGATGTACTGCAAAAGCGGTGATTTGAAGGATGCTCTCCGTATCTTTGACCAGTTTACGAACAAAGATGTTGTCTCTTGGAACTCTATGATTGCTGGTTACGCGCAGCACGGCCTTGCAACTCAAGCATTCGAACTCTTTGAAATAATGATGCCCAAAAGCGGAACAAAGCCTGATGCAATCACGTATCTAGGAGTCCTGTCATCGTGCAGACATGCGGGTCTTGTGAAAGAAGGAAGAAAGTTCTTCAATTTGATGGAGGAACAAGGGCTGAAACCAGAACTCAACCATTACTCTTGTCTGGTAGATCTTCTCGGCAGATTTGGTCTGTTGCAAGAAGCCCTGAAGCTGATCGAGGGCATGCCAATGGAACCAAACTCAGTCATATGGGGATCTCTGCTTTTCTCTTGCCGTGTTCACGGCGACGTGTGGACCGGAATCAGAGCTGCAGAGGAACGGTTGATGCTTGAACCTGAATGTGCAGCCACGCACGTTCAGCTGGCGAATCTTTACGCCAGTGTCCAATACTGGAAAGAGGCGGCGACTGTGAGGAAACTGATGAAAGATAAAGGACTGAGGACAAATCCAGGTCGTAGTTGGATAGAAATCAATAACAATGTTTTCATGTTTAAAGCCGAAGATGGTAGCAACTGTAGAATGCCAGAGATTGTTCATGTTCTTCATTGTCTCGTAGATCACATGGACATCCTCTAACTAGATTTTACTTTTTTGTTTTAAGGTTCTCTCATAGTTAGCCTTACATTGTTTTGTAGGGTATACCAGATCCAGATATATTTTTACATTCATTTTTGCTTTGAACTTTTCCAAGAAAACCTAGTACAAAGACTTTAAAAGTTAAGTAGTGAGCTCACGTTAGTTAATTAACCAACTAGGTAATGAAATGAATATAGCTGTATAATGCGGTAAAATGCACCTAAGAGTTCTCTACATCTTAAACCCTCTCAACTCTTTGACTTTGTTCTACAAGACGTGTTTTCTTGAATTATTATAATAAGAAGATATGAGTTTCTTAAAACTTTCTTTCGTTTAGAATTAAATTTATATGGTATGAGTCTGCACGATTGATAAAGGAATATAGAAAAAATGAATCTTGAACATGAGCTGAAGAAATAAAGAAAAAAGTGATACTCCTTCCAAACTGGTCCTCTTTTAAATACCCCTTCTCCACTAGTACCGCACTCATAAGACGACGACAAAACAAAAGTAGAGGGACACAACAGAGAGAGATGGATCTGGACTGGGAAGATTTTTTCAAGGATTACGAATGGCTCATCGTGTTTCTGAAAGGCATGGTGAAGCCTGCCGCGGCGCTCGCGGTTGTGCTATTGGCTGTGGTCCTTTCCTACTCGCAGAACCTCTCCTTGGAAGGAGAAATGATATACTCTGTTTTCAGATCGTTTCTTCAGCTCTCTGTTATCGGATTTGTTCTTCAGTTCATCTTCAACCAAGAAAACTCCGGCTGGATCATCCTCGCTTACCTCTTCATGGTCAGCAAATTCAGGATCTCCTATGTTTTTCGATCTTTTTTTTTTGTTTATTTTAAATGTTGTAGATTCCGTACAGGTCTCTGTCGCCGGTTACACTGCCGGACAACGTGCTAAGCACGTGCCACGTGGAAAATACGTGGCCGGAGTATCTATCCTCGCCGGAACTTCGATCACAATGTTCTTGCTCGTTGTCCTCAACGTGTTTCCTTTCACTCCGAGGTATATGATCCCAGTTGCTGGAATGATGGTCGGAAACGCCATGACGGTCACCGGAGTTACAATGAAACAGCTACGAGATGACATCAAGATGCAACTCAACCTGGTAATAAAAAAAAAATCATTTTACAACTTAAACCGAACCAAAATTCTCTGTTTAATTGGATTTTATCGTAAACCGTAGGTGGAGACGGCATTGGCACTAGGAGCAACGCCAAGACAAGCGACGTTGCAACAGGTGAAGAGAGCATTGGTGATCTCTCTATCACCGGTTTTGGATAGCTGCAAAACCGTTGGGTTAATTTCTCTACCAGGTGCAATGACTGGTATGATAATGGGTGGTGCGTCGCCTCTTGAAGCTATTCAGCTTCAGATCGTAGTCATGAACATGATGGTTGGAGCAGCCACGGTTAGTAGCATCACGTCTACGTATCTTTGTTGGCCAGCTTTCTTCACTAAAGCTTACCAGTTACAAACTCCTGTCTTCTCCTCAGATTGAAATGTTATAAATATCCATATTTTTAACTATCTTCGAAAACTCGTTTGAAACAGAAGAGTCAACATGTGTCCTATATAGAAAAACTCTCGATAACATGAACTTAAACGGGTCCAAAGCAAACACACTTAAACGAGAAAGGAAGTATCCAGCAGTCGATTCAATAGTACACATGCTACAACGCCTGCAACCTGAGTCCATGAGCGAGCCATCAAAGTTATGGGGACTCACTTCCTCTAGGGGAAGAGCGGTTTGGCTCGTAATCATCTTCAACGGGGCTACGGTCCTCTCTCGGGCTGTCACCGCCAGCTCCTACAGCGGGACTGACAACAGAGTTTCTGCCATTCCCATTGTCTTGGGGGCTACCACCATCACGGTCTGATCCATCTTCCTTTTGAAGCTTTGGAGATTGTGGCGGGCTCCCATCAATGATCTTTGGGCTGCCTTCTTCATCAACAATCGGACTACGATCTCTGCCTCTTGGTGATAGAGAGTCATCCATTCGCTTTGGACTGCGTGATCTCTCCTCGACACTCCTCTCTCTTCTTCTCACTGGGGATCTTGATCGGCTGAGCATAGAGAAAATAAGAAGTCAATCAGAGTGCTAAAAAATTTAAACCATACACGAAGCTAGAGAATAGCAGTTATTTGGATACATACTATTAAAAAATCTAGTGCCTGCAAACATCTAAACACACTAAGAAGTTGACAATAACAAGCATTTATGAGGGAAAACACTAACCTGTAGCTTCTGCTAAGACTCCGGCTTGGGCTTCTTCTACGACGCGGAGGAGAACGGGATCTTACAGGTGACCTGGAGTAGCTTCCACTCCGCCTGCATACAATCCAGAAAGAGTGATGAGAAACTGGAAGGGTAAAAAAATTTCATCTTTTTATAAGCAATATTAAGTACCTTAGCTTCTTGGGGCTGTTTTTGCAGTTTCTCTCAATGTGTCCTCTCTCTCCACAACGGTAACACTTGTTCTTCCAGTCCCCGGCTGTGCAATCTCGAGCCCAATGACCGTCAACACCACAGTTAAAACAGCGACCAGATCCAGGAGGTGGGCCTCTGCTATCATACTCCCGAGAACCACGAGGTGCCTATCACACAAACATGATATCCATGACATTAGCATTCATCATACATATAAACCAAACAATAAATCCTGACCATAGAGAGCCAAAAATACTCACCCCTCTTGAAAACTCCACAGTGATGCGACTTCCATCAAAGTCACGTCCGTCCAAGTAATGTCTCGCATCATCAGCATCACGGGGATCACTAAATTCCTGTTTCAAATTCGTGAGGACGAAAACCGCATCCACAGCGTGACTTTTCCCAAATAATACATAGTTCACAGTAATAAACAAGCAGCACAACTTTTTTTTAACCAACGAAAACCTCAGGGTAAAAAGAGATTTCACTTACAACGAAAGCATAATCTCGCTTCATATCCACATCCCGAACTCTGCGGAAGAAATTGTTGGCAGAAAAGTAAGGCCATCATAACTTTAAGGTACTTGTAAACACCATTTTGAGACTGAGTCTCCATTTCCATCAAAACAACACACACAAAAAATTCAACAAACAGAATCACCGAGGCGCCCCCGCCCCCTATACACTTGGCGAGAAATTCCACCAAGTCCACCCATTCATCAAACACCTCCAGGTTAGGCAAAATCCCAGAGACCTTCAATAAGATCATTCAGGTTAAAAACATACACTAAACCTAGATTCACAATCTCCCCTCAAAGATTCAAATGCCAAGTTACAGCAAATCATATCTCACTGGATACTTAAGGCGTTCAACTTTCTGCATTTCGTTCCTCACGCAATAGCAAACAAATTCTCATTATTTGCGAAGAAAACTAGAAAAATCACACCCTCATTGAACCCCCAACACAGAGAATTTTCACAATGCATAACATTTATAATAATAAATAGTGATAAAGAAGAGTCAATAATTACCTTCCATATCTGTTGAAAAGACGTTCAAGGTCTCGGGTACGAGTTCGAGATGATAAGCGGCCAACATAGAGACGAGTGTTCCCATAGCGATCATCGTAGCGAGGCATTTTCAAACTACAAAACATAAAGGACAAAGACGCCATAAATTTTTTTTTTTTTTTTGAATTTAAGACGCCATAAATTTTTATCATAACCACTATATGAAAAGAACGTATTCAATAACTCAATACCAAAACGCTCAGAATGAGAAGATTATTTTTTTTCTTTTCTGGAACAGTGAAGAAATTTAATCGGAAAGATAGAACCATTCACCGCAGATTCATCAAACCAAAAATAAAACGTAAAAATCGAGCTCAGAAATCACTAAATCTCAATTCGAATCATCAAATTCAACACAGATTTTGGATACCTGGGGATTGAAGGAGAGCACTGCGTAACCCGGAAACCCTAATTTCGAAACGAAAGGGGGAAGAACAGCTTTTGGTAAGCAAACTAAAAGTCTGGTTTGCATAAGAGTTTATTAATGGGCTTCCGACAGAACCGACTAGGATCCAACAACGGTCGTGAACTTTTCTATGGTAACCACCAACGGTAAAGGTGTTAACCGATATTTACCATTTTACTATATATTGGGCCTAAACTTGCATTAAGCCCATATAGAATAATAATTTTCTGAAATCATAAAATAAGTTTTTTTTTTTTTTTTAACACATAAAGCTTTATTGAAAATCAAATGTTATCATTGTACAAAGGCTGAATCAAAAAATGAGGAACATAAGAATAGTAATAAACAGAAAGAACATAAAATAAGTTATTATTCATATTCATTACAAATTTTATACGAAGAAATACAAATATTTAGCTGGTAAAAAGAAAACAGATACAACATACCTCTTGTCTTTTCTTTCCGAATTTTCACAAACAACCCGGCCAAAAAAAAAAAAAAAACTGTGTAAAATCACCTCCGTTTGTTCTTGCTCCCAATCAAGAGTGTAAAATAAAACAAAACCCTAAAGAAGAAACCCCAAGCAACAGTGATCCACAAGCAATTCCATTTACTAATATCCGTAATCCCTTGCTGCTTCAATATATCAATCCCCGTCGTCACACACGTCTCCGCCGTCACATTGATCCCTAAAACACCGCTCATACTCTTCAACAAAGTCAGTTTCATCGCCTCCGGTACTTGCCCCAACGGCGAGTTGTCAAATATCTGAACTCCTCTGACGAAGCATTTCGTCGGATCTTCGAATTCGTTCTGCAACACTCCTTCGTAAGGGTATTTCACTAAGGAGAGGTAATGGAACCAGATCCAGTAGAGTGGGATCCGATCTCTGGAGATGAAGAATCCGGAGAAGAGGAGGAAGTAGGCGAGGATCGCGACTACGACTGTGAATCCGAGCATTACGTTGGAGACTACGCCGGAGAGGAATGTTACGAAGGAGCTTCCGGCCCAGAATGAGGCGAGGATTGTGAGGAAGAAGAAGAGGAAACCGCTGGAGCCACCGGCGAGACCAACGGCCCAGAATGTTGTGGCGGCGAAGCTTGCGGAGAGGAAGATTAAGGCTGGGATTGAGATTATGGATTGGGAGAGGACGTAGGAGGATCTTCGGTAAGCGTTGTAAGCTGTTTCTCTCATGAATATGTAGCGTTCTTGTAGAAACACTGGGATTGCTTCTGCACATGTGTAGAATGTTGTGGACATTGCGAATGCGAAGAATCCTAGGCGCTCTTGGACTCCTTTTGGGGAATTGTCTAGGTTAGTGAACATTGTTGCTAGGATGATTCCTGTGACCATTACTGCTCCTAGTCGCATTCCCAGGAGCTCTGGTTGTCTTCTTGAGTTTAGTATAGCACGTTTGCCTATGACGATCATTTCGATCCAGAAAGGGTTGGCGAAAGTTTGGAATGAGTTTGTTAGGTTTGATGAGTTGTTTGTTGCTCCGGAGACCAGTTTCCCTCTGGAGATACTTGCGGTTATCGCTTCTTTGAGGGATACGTTTGTGTTTCTGTTGTTACCATTGTTGTTTCTTGGTGCTTGCTTTGCTCGCCATTGCTTGTGGAACTCGACGAGCGACTTGGTTCCTTCTGCTGAATTTTCAAGCTCCCGGATGAGATCCAGCGCAAACTCTGTTTTGTTCTCGTTTTCAGGAATCGGGTGCTCGAATTCTGAGAAGAACTGTGGGAGATGTGCTGGGGAGCCGCTGTAGACCGTGTTTCCTCTGGAAAGGAAGATTAACCGATCTAGCAAACCCATGATTCTGTAACTAGGCTGATGGATTGACATAATAACTATGCTGCCACTCTGTGCGATTCTCTGAAGCACTTTGATAACCATGTAGGCACTCGTAGAGTCAAGCCCCGAGGTAGGCTCGTCGAGAAAGAGGATAATCGGGTCATGGATTATGTCTATTCCAATTGAAACCCGTCTCCTTTCTCCTCCAGACACGCCTCTGTGGCCTTCGTCACCAATCACGGTTTTTGCAGCACTTCTCAGGCCCAGTTGGTCAATCAGAGCTTGAACTCTTGTCTTTTTTTTCTTCTTGGAGAGAGAACGCGGGAGCCTGAACTCTGCAGAGAACATTAAAGTTTCCTCTACGGTAAGCATCGGGAAGAGAAGGTCATCTTGCATCACGTAAGCCGATATGACTTTCTGCAGCCTCGATTCAAGAACTTCTCCGTTCAAGGTGATAGAGCCTCTGAGGCTATCTTTAGCGATCCGGTTGGCTAATGCATCGATCAGTGTTGATTTACCAGACCCACTAGCTCCAAGAACTGCCATCATCTCCCCTTCATGGGCTTCACCTGAAATACTATTCAGTAGTATCTTAGTGTTCACCGAGGAACCATTTCGTGACTTCCCGCAGCAAGCGAGGGGATTAAACTTCTTTTGGATCTTCACGCTGTAGGTCAAGTCGTTGAAAGAAAGAACAAACGGGGAAGATGATATTGAAGAAGCGGGAGCCGAGGTCCATGTATCGAAAGATGATGCAGAAGAAGTGATAGGTGAGACCATTTCCAGTCCCCGGCGAGTTGTACTTTGGTCATTCCTTGCATCCTCCACATTCATAAGAAGCTCGGCGAATGTGACAGAGGCTCTAGGCGTGTCTCGTGGACATCTTTGAGGCTCCATGGACGTCTGGTTCACATAAAACAGAGGAAGATCATTGTTGCCAGCTACACGTTTGGCTGGAGATAATTTACCAAGCAAGCCAGACATTTTCTATGTTTTTGGTTTCTTCTTTTTCTTATCGGGTTAAATGGGTTTTACATCCCACAAAGAAGATAAGGAATATGAATGAGAAGAGACTATATAAGGCAATAACTTTCGTTAGAAGAATGGAAAGAGATGCGAAATTGTCAATTAAGTTGGTAATCTCTAAGTATCTAACGAAGGCTTTTTGGTTTTTGTATATTTTGATGTAATGTGTTAATCTAAAAGTATTTGGGTTGGTGAGAAGTTGTGCGAAAACCCCTTCTTAACTTTTCGTCCTCATTGTGTTTATGTCTATTAGCTTAAGGTACTTTGAAAAATTTGCTATTTTTAGTTGGAGTTATATATTGAACAGTGAGTGTATTTTAGTGGGAATTAGATGTAGTTTAAAGTCACGGTGAAATCTATCATAATTTAGTTATGTATTTGATAAAATACAATCTAATGTTATTAAATATCCATTTGATTTTGGGATTTTATATGGTGTTGGATATTGTATATATTAGTAGAATTAGGTGTATTTATTTGTGGTCCAAACAAAAAAAATGGTGTATTTAAACTCATGATAAAATCCACTGTTACTCAAAATATCTACATGATTTTGTTGTATTTTAGCTAGAGAATTGATTTTAAAGTTTATTTGACAATTTGGGTTTTAGTTACACGGGTTTCATGTGATTGAAAGGAAAAAGATAGAACATATGGTGTTGTTGATGGTTGAGAATTATGTACACGGACATTTTTAAATTAACTGCTAGTTAATAAGTTAGTAGATGTCCAAATCGTGTTTAACAGGCAAACCCTTGTACCTATCTTATGTTAATAACGATTTAAAAATTGTATTGCTTCATTTTATCTTATGTTCTAGAAAACTGTCTTATGTTCTCCTTTTTAGCTGACATTCGAAAACTATATCATATATTTGAGATATGAGAAATTGGTTCATTTTGTTTTTTATTTTAGCCAAAGTCACATTCCTTTTCTCAATCAAAAGACCGTATAATAACATGTTATAATTTGCTTGACCTATTTTATTTTTGAAACATAAAATACTATCATTACTTATTTTTAGTTTAGTTTTGTAATAAGGTAACATTTATTGTATTAAAATCTATGTATTTCATTACATGTTCAGTTTCGATCGCAAACATGCGTGGCAAGATATTTTATTAAAGAAGGCAAAAAAAAAAAAAATTAGACATGTCCTTCAAATTTAAAAATGTTCCAAAGAGTGAGGAAAAAAACTGATTTAAAAGCAACAAAATTTACAAGTCAAAACTGGATTTAACCAAATATGGATACTCTTCTCATTAGTCGTTACTAGTCGGCTGTATATGAAAATTCCATAAAATTTTACGTATACCAGGTCGATTTAGACATTAAAAAACATGCCAATACAACTAAAATTATGAGAGGATTCTCAAAAAAAAAAAAACAGTAAGCTTAATGTCTAACAATATTACAGTAGGTGCCCTCATCTGTAACATGGGCATAGTCATCAGTATTATTTGAGAAGATACCAAAAAGGACTCAAAAAGAAAAAGAAAAAAAAAAGTCATTGGTACAAAAATGTGGATACGACTTCAATAGTATGTATGATGAAGTGGGCTACACGAAAACCCCAAAATTCTAGTTATAAACATAATATAAGTTCTAATGTGACGAAGTTAGGCATTAGAATAATAAGTTAATAACCCCCAAAAAAAATGCGTAATATAAGCCTAACGTGGAGAAGTAGGCATATAATTACGTTTGGTATGGCTGTTATATCTGTTTTTCCAAGACTTTATACTATACGCTTCATTCATATATTGACCTAAACGATGAGTACATACATGATTTCATTTACCTATTCTTACAAGAAATCTCATCATGACCCACGTAAAACTAAATATCTGATGATACTATACATTATTTGTTTTATTTATGACGCTTGTCCCGTTCCATTTTCTTATGTACTAGTTGTTGAATGGATTCTTATGAACAAATGTTTCAAATGAGAGTCAATGCGTTGGTCGTCGAACTGTAATGTTCTTAATTAGAAAGATTGAGGCTGCAAGATTATTGTAATCCAGGTTTGATAAAAGTTAAAATCGTACGTTGATGTTATAAAAGCTCAAGGAAAAAGTTCAGTTTGATAAAAAGATTTTGATATATTCTCTCGATATGAAAAAATCAGAGATATACGATCGGTCTCTTCATGCGAGTTTCTAGAATTGGATGTTTAAGTTAAAAGTCAATTATGCTAAGAAGTTGGATCAATCACACAATTACCGAAAAGACAAACATGTGATAACCATTCTACTTAGCAAAGTGTTTGTGTGTACATGCTTGAGTCTTTTATTTAGAAACTGATCGAATTTTTGATATTGTCATTTTGACTTACGAGGGATAGAATAGATCTAGAACTTTATCAAGAGACAAGGGTTATCAACCTTACAAAACAATACACCTACACGTACGCAAACATTTTTCGACTTTATTTAGTTTATCTCTTTTGATTGGTCTTCAGTCTTCTCTCGACCCAAATTCTAATTTTCAAGTGGTACTACAAATTTTCACGAGTCAAGACCAAACCACATGCATGCATTACAGTTACTTCCTTTTTTTTTCCTTCATTTACAGTTACTTCTAAGCGTTGCTAAGAGCCTAAGACAAGACTAAGACAATACGATTAGAGCTAGAGACTTGTCATTATGCAATGTATCATAATTCATATACCGGTTCGATATGCTACAAAATAATTAATTGGCGGAAATATATACCTTAAACAAATACATTACTAATACTGTGATCTCTCTTCGACGACATCTAATAACATTGGAACGATATAGCTAATCTCCAACAGACCAACACCAATCTATATGTCTCATTTTTTAAAGCTTCCAACATCAATATACAATACACAGACATGTTACGGTAGACAATTATAATATGGAGGCTATAATTTTTTATCAGACTTTCGAATTGTACGTGTAATGAGAACGCAGACGTACGTAGAAACATATATATTACTTGTGCTATGAGTACGACAAACTTGCTTGATTCTTCTAATTTAATTTAGGTGGACTTTACGTTCAATGACTACGAAATACTTAAATACTCTTTGACGACTACATCGGTCGACATCGATCAAACCATGTGAGGAGTTATAGCATTTTTTTTTTTGGGTGCTATATCCCACATATAGTTTCGTGGTTAGATATCAACACGTAAGGTATAGTATGTGATCATTCGTGAATAACATACACAACCTACATCTATAGCCATGCATGACAAACAAAAGCCGGCCACCAAAATATAATTAACCATGATGAGTTTTGTTGTAATTAGTAAGTAGAATACTTGGGATTTTTTTGTTGGAAAACAAAACTATAAAGTTTATTTGTCTGAGAAATTTTTTGATGGGTTTAATTTGTCTTCAGATTTTGTATATTTTGCTTTAACTATTTTAAAAAAATGAAAGAAAATGTATTTATCAAAAAAAACAAATATATGGTAAGTGAATAATTATAAAATTTAGTCCTAAATAAAAATAAAAGACCCCCAATTAAGAATGTGGAAAAGAACACGCACGTCTTGACTTGTTCTCTCAATCTCTCTTCCGTTGCACTCTGTTTTGTTTTGTTTTTTTCTTTTTTTTTCTTCCATGCGATCTTATTTTTTGCTCCAACCAAGTAAAAATATATATCGTTAGAAACCAGAAGGAGACCCTAATTTTAGCCAAATTCAAAAGAAAATCCGATCATTGATCGAAATTTTGTCGGAAGAAAGAAACGGAATTCAAAATAAGAACCTGTCGGCGATGTCGTGGTTGAGATCGGCGGTGAACAAAGCAGTAGAAGTCGGCGGGAAGAACAATCTCACCCGCACCGTTCGCAATTACGCCGATTCCGTCGTCCTTACCGCCGGCAATGCCGTTTCCGAAGGCGCCAAACTTATCCAAGATCGCATCGTACGTTGTTAAATTTCTCGTTTTCCAAAATTTTTAAGATTGCGATGATTCTAATCTCAGATGATGTGTTTTGTTTGTGTTTGATCGCACTCAGGGATCGAGGAACGTGAAGAGCTTTAGTCTCGCGGTGAAGAGGTTAGAAGAGGTTTCGGTTTCTTCGAGAGGCGGCGAGAGAGTGCAGTTGTTGAGAAGATGGCTTGTTGCTCTCAAAGAGATCGAGAGATTGTCTTATTCTTGTTTCGAGCATAGCGAACGTAACGTTCACAAAACTGATGATCACAATCAATCTTTTTCTGAAGAAGCCAAGGATTCTCCCAAAAATTTCAGCACCGTGAGTTATAATAATGCACTTTGTTTCATTGACCTCTCAAGGCTCATCAGTTTTTGTTCATTGATGTTTGGTTTTTTGAAACTGGATAGGTTTATTACGTTGATCCTGGTCTATCTGGTGAGCCAATGACTTTTCGTGATGTGTTTCTTCATAGTGAGGCACTTGAAGGGATGGTATTATCTATGGTAAGTTAGAATTATGCAGTGTAAGGCAAGCTACATTGTATTGCTTCTGCTGTTTTAGCATTGTAATAATGATCATAAAGACTTTTTATTCCTGATACACTGAGTTTAACCGCAGGTTTAATTCTTTTTGTGTGAATTAGATTTTGGAAGCACCTAATGAGGAAGAAGTCCAGCTGCTTCTTGAACTGTTTGGGTGATGTTTTCCCTACCGTTGAAGCTTTGTATCAGTTTATTTTAGACTGAACGTGAAACCTTTGAATCTCAACTCAAAATGTTCATGGTTTATACGTACAGGCTTTGTTTGTCAGGAGAGAAGGAAGCTCACGAAGCTGTGATTCAAAATGTGCAGGACTTAGCAACAGTGTTTTCAAAATACAAGGATGAAGTTCTGGTAAGGATGTGCTGAATTGTGCAAAATAAAGTGTTCTGTCTCCTATAGACTCTGTTTCTTTCAGTCTTGGATTATTAGACCAGATAATCTCATAGCACACATATTCTTGTCTTGCAAGATGATGAGCAAGCTCAATGGATTGTTGAAGGTCTTGCACCTTGTAATGCCTTTTTCTGTCTTTTTCTAGGCAAAGCGAGAGGAACTTCTTCAATATGTTCAAGGTGCTATTGGAGGACTAAAAATCAGTGCTGATCTTGCTAGGTATTCTAATGCAGAACCTTTTTTTATAAGCTACACAAATGTTCATTTGTTGAAGCTTTTTATGGTCGTTTAAGAATGTTTCAGTCTTAAAATTTTACTTCTGTTGTTTTGGTTCTCGTTTGTAACTGGCTCAGAATAGACACTGAAGCCCATACTTTGATAGAGAAACTCGATAAGACGAAGCTCAAGGTTCTGGAGAAGGCTTCAAGTGAAGATGCTTTAAAAACCAGTGGAAGCACTGCTGCATCAACAGAGGTGAGATATTCTCTCCTGCTCTCCACTGCCATATTTCTCACTCAAGGCCTTTGTCACATTAGATTTGGTCTTAGATTTCAAACTATTGTTTTTTTTTTTTTTTGTAAACCTTCCAACTTTTGTTTCAATTAATCTTGTATAGAAGAGTTCTTAAGCTGTAATACTCACAGATTAGATTTTACGAATATGATCACTGGAAGGAAGTACCATGAGGTTTCTAGGATATCTTCTATTGCATTGTTTAGTTTTCCCAGTATTTTCATAATTTGTTGACACATCATCCCTGGATCAATCCCTATGATGAGATGTACTGAAAGGCTTGGGTCTCTACAGGCTCTCCGAGAAATTCTTGAGCAAGTTCGCACTTTTTCAAAGCTAGAAGCACTCTTGTTTAGGAAGAAATCATTAGGGAATGGTGATTCCCTTCAAAGCCACAGTGACAAGGTGAGAAACTGCAGCAATCCAGAACATTCACCTTTTTTATTGGTTTGTTCTTAAGAGTTTCCTAGATTCTGTCTTGCAGTATATAAGATTATTAGCATCTTGTTTTCTCGAAATGTTGGAAATACAGAGATCTATATCACAAAACCTAACTACGCTAATTCTTGCAGATCGATAAACTGAAAGTTCTGTCGGAATCCTTACTCAATTCTACCTCGAAAGCCGAAAAACGAATCGTGGATCATAGGTGAGAAAATGTAACATGAAAATTTGATCTGTTATCTTTACTACCATAGTTCACACCTATCTTTTTCCATATGACAAAGTAGAAGCCAAAAAGAAGAAGCTCTTAGCTACAGGGTTTCAAAAACTAATGAAGTTAGTCAGCTGGAAAAGGTTTGCATCCCATAATCAAATCTCTTTGTCTGCCTTTATTAGATACTAGCTCAGTACTTTGGACTTATGTTTCAATATTTCTTATCATGGGCTGAGCACAAATGTGATTCCCAGGATGTAGCGGGAGAACTAAAGAAACTTGAGATTCTGAAGGATGATCTTGAAGCTGAGCTGAAAAGGGTAACTTTCACAAGAAGTTTATTTCAAAGAAATTTACTGAACTGGTAGATATTTAGATTTATGGGTCATATTACAGAGTTCACATATATTTTGAAGGTCAACACCTCAATAACATCTGCCCGGGCTCGCCTTCGCAATGCTCAAGAAGAAAGAGAGCAGTTTGATAATGCAAGTAATGAAATTCTTATGCACCTGAAGTCAAAGGTAACTAACTACTTGTCCTTCCCACCTTGCATTAGCTCGATGGAACGTAAGCAGGGGCATAGTTTTGTGATGTTTGGATGGCATACGTTGTAGGAAGAAGAGCTGACTCGTTCCATAACCTCATGCCGAGTAGAAGCAGAGGTTGTAAATAAGTGGATCAAATTTTTGGAAGATACCTATATTCTCCAGTCTAAATTTTCTCAACAAAAAGAAAAACAAGTGAGGTATGTCTTCTCTCAACTATGCTAAGATCTCAGCAATTATATATGTTGCTTCCCTAATTACTTTGCATTTGATCCGTCTGTTGTCATTCCTTCCACCATGGTTCAATACTCAAGTGGTGAGATGGAGAGATATAGTGACCATTTCATCGACCTGATTGTTCAACTCCTCTCTTTCTACAAGGTAATTCAAATTTTTTACTTTCTTATGATACAGTAATTGCCTAAAAAAATCCAAAGAGTAAAAATATCTCATAATCATAAATTTTTAATATCAATTCAGGAACAATTGGATCCTTCTATACCCAAGATCCGTAGAGTCGTGGAAAGCTTGGAGCCAAGTAAAGGGTAATAGCTCTAGTTTGATCACTTCTCTGTTCTTGTAAATTTTATTTAACACTAAGTTAGGCTAATAGCTCTAGTTGATCTGCTTATGGGGAAATATATTAGGTTAGAAGCAGAGAAAATCACAGACAATAAGGACACCAAGCCAATGGATACTAGAAAACAGCTTGAGAAGGAGTATTTGGACCTCGAAGCTAAGGTAAATGGCTTTATTAAATAGAGACATCTAGACATCTAGAACGTTCCTAATAAAACAGAACATTCCTAAGCTTGATTCCAACTGCAGAGACCTGAAAATTGTGGCACAAGTTTCTACTCTGCCTGTCCTTTTCCATAACATCTCTTCTGATTATTTATTAGCTTTAGCAGTTTGTGACAACACTAAGTGTGGTGGATGCGATGAAAAAGCCATTCTATTCACAGACGGAAGGTATCTCCAGGTAAAGTTACAAAAAAAAACATGCTCGCTCGTTTTCTTAGAAACTATAGTTGAGATTATGACTGTACTTGTGTTATAAGTAACAAACATTACTCTTACCTGGCTTGGCGTTCTTTGGATCCCAGGAAAGACGATAAAAGAGTTAAAGAACTATTTGATGCATTAGACAAAACGAAAGAAGAGTTTGAGGCTATCGAACGTCCGCTCTTGGATATTGAGTCTCCTTCTAGAACTTCTGCTTCACGCTCACCGTCCCTAAAGATGACGCAGGAGACTCCACTTTCCAATATAGTCCTGAAACAATCTGGTGATGATGATTTGCCAGACAGTAAAAAAGGATCCCCAGTGAAGGAAGAAGACCCGGCAAAGAAACAACTGGAGCTGGAACTAGACGATGGAGAAGAGTTCTTGGCAGATGAAATCAATGACTGGGAATTCGACGCTCTTGATGACACTCTGACTTCAAAAACAAGTAGCTGACCCAAATTTTGCAAAGGTAAGCCACATGAGCTCATGCTTAGCTACAAGATGCAAATATACATTTGTGGATATGTCAGAAGATAAATTACAGTTGATCACGGATATTATATGTCAACTTAATAATATAATGTTGTTGTTGTAGGAGCTGATGGAGAGAGGAAGAGGAGAGTATATCTAATTAATTACTATCTAAACAAAAATGAATCCATAACTTCGAGAGTATAAACCATAAAAAAGGACAATGTAAGTTTCATTCCTTCTTTTCGAATTTCTAATTTGATATATGATCAAGTGTAGATAAATGATATCATAGCCCCCCAATAAGTTTTGTAAATACTCTTTTTTCTGGCACATTTTGTTTTTTTTTTTTTGGTTTTTTTCGTTTCGCCGGAGACTAGAATTACATATTATATATATTCATTTTCTAAAATTATTTTCCTATTTGATACAATAATTTATAAGTAAAGGATATCAATGCATGATGACGGTGATTCATGTTTTGCCTTGAAATATTTTACTAGAAAGAAAGAAAAAAAATATGAGTGCAAGTGTAAGTGTTCTTGGCATATATTGGTTCGAAATTTGAATGGGAAATGCATTCACCGTGTCAGTACGTTCAATGGGATATAAATGCATTTTGTTACCTCACACAAAACAATGTGTTTATTGCTTCTTATTGAACGCACTAACAAAAAAGTTTCAACACTTTTTTTTTTTTGTCGTGCCAATGCAAATGCTAATGCCAACGCCCACCACTTAGAATTATAATGTATAATGTCAAATCTTTTTCATCAAATATACTTCTATTTTATAAATATCATTCACTTTTATAACTATTATTTTCTATGTTTGCACTGAGACACAGCTTGTTTGGCTTCACTTGCATCACAGATACTTGAAGATGTATTTTTATAAAAAAAATGTCAAGACAACTCATGAGATTTTTATTTCGAGTTGATTGACAATTTCTTTTGGTGGAAGCTACAAAAGCTGCCGAATGTGTTTTTGTTGTTATCATTTGGTGTCTTGGCTTAGTCCTTTTTACCTGAATAGTTCGATTTTGCCTTATATTTTAACAATATTTCAAGAGGTTCAAATTCGAATTACGTGGTAGCTACGGATATGAATGCACTCAAAAACATTTTGAAGTCCACTTGTTGTGAGGAGAAGTTAATAAAACTATAAGAAAAGAAAAAACAAGTAAGGTCCACAACTTTTATCAAGTATGGTGGTCTTATTATGGTGTGCATATGTTTGTTTGTTTTTTGACTGAGGTAGAGGCTTCCCACTACTCACTCCATTAAATCATAATTAGTGGCATCTAAATTAATTAAACATTTGCTTACAACTTAATCTAAATCTTATTCCCCACTTTGGCTCTTTGTTTTTTGATCTTTTCAATTCCTTTCTTTACTTATCCAACCCATATATAAGTTAGAGAAACTTAATATTTTGGACTGCGTCTGTCGTTACATTATTTTTAGTTTGTTCACATTGTGAGTGTGAGATATTTAAGGGGGAAAAAAAACTTGAAAGTGTAGTTCTCATCATTCCATATCTTTACCACAACTATGTATAATATATCTGTTAAATCTCAGAAGGAATGCTAAAAATTCTAAAATTCATGCTGGAAAAGAAGATAGAAATTAATTTACAAAACAAAATATATTTTGGAAAAGATAATAATTAGGAAATGGTAGGCATATATATAAATTTACTTTGTGAGGTGTAAAATCAATGATTGAAAAAGAGAAGTTAGAAAACTCTCTAACTCAATCTGCCTTTTTAGGTACTTCGCTGTGTACGACAGAGTTTCCCACTCCAATTCCCTCCATTACCTTTTACCAACTAAGACATCATTTGTACGGAAATTACCAACTAACATATTATTAACTAAACCTTTCTTTGATTACCATGAAATTATATATACTTAAATGTTTTTTGTGTTAGTTGGTTTTATTTAAGATGGTGGTTTTATATTCCATTTGTAAGATTTAACTACCAAATGTTGCAAGTTTAACAAAAAAAAAAGGTAACCCTTTAATATTTTGTAGCCATATAAAGATTTTCTACTTACATACTTTTAGTTAATAACTTAATATATAAAAAGGAATTGGCCAATTTGTCGAATTGTGCATGTCAACTTTACGTATGGACCATTCTATAATCTATATCGTTATAAATCAAAAAGTTTATGTAGTTTATTTTAAGCGATCTTATTCCTAAATTCATTATTCCGTAAAATAAAGAAAAGGAAAGTATAAAATGTTACATGTGATTATATTATGAATAAAGAAAGTGAAAGCGAAAAGACTTGAAAAAATATGTAGAGTAAAATATACGAGTGTGGGGATGATAGTCACAATCCACTTACTCTCTCACACAACCTGCAACAATTATTACACTTTTTGGATTAAAAAGGATAAAACTGTTTTTTTTTTTTTTAATTTTGATATGTGGAAACAAGAATGCTACCAATTTGTTAATTTTTTTTGTTCTTATAAAAAAAATGTGAGTAATAATGTAAGAAAAGATTGTGACTTTTGTCATGTACCGTTTGTGCTCTTTTACCACTTCACGTGACCGTTTGTTATTGTGGCCAATGAGACACGAGGGAAAGGATAATATAACGATTTTTATTTTGTTGTTGCTAAGATTTCAAACTCTTTTATTCAGCATCTTTGGTAGTAGTAGTAGTAGATATTTTTGGTTTCAGTCTTCATGCTGAGTCTTACTGCTGATCAAACCAGAAACCAACAAAGCAAGAAATAAAACCGTTAAGACCGCAGGACTTAACTCAAGCGATATTGTGTGTTGTTGTGGTGCTGAGCGATGCTGTTATTCATGTTTGTTCGTGGATGTTGTATCTAGGTTTAGAGTGAACCCTCAAATTGGAATACTAATTTTGTGTTTTTACAATTAATCATATTTTCTTTTTCAACTTATAATCTTCTTAAGATCTTATACTATGTATCTTAGACGTAACTGAAATATTTTAGGTTTAGTAATAATCTTGGATCACGGTGGACAGTTCAAGTTAACTAGACTTTGAAAATAGTGAAGTTACTAGCAAAATGGGTATTTGATCGAGAGAAGCCAAGTTAATAAAATCGAAAAAACAGTTCAAGGTTTGCGAAGGGCAAAACATAAGTACGAGGAATGGGAACACATAATCTATTGGTGAGTTCAAAATTGATCTACTATACTAACTCATTAGTCGATTTAATTATTTAATAATCATTCGATTGCAATACTAATTCCAAACTCCAATCTATATAACCAGGAGCTTACTTACTTTTTCTTGTCCATATTATCAAACTAATAAATAAGTGTAAATACTTTTTAACGCAATACGTTTTTAAAATTAAAATAAATGTTATATACATGTATGTAAAAAATTATTTAATTGGATATCTATTCATTCAGAGATTTTTTTTTTTTGGGCAAACACATTCAGAGATATTTTCAATCACATAAATTTGTATATTAATAATAAGAGCATACATCTCCATTAAGTATTTTTACTGGCTTACTGTTTCCTCTCTATAATAGGCCATCAAATCAATCATGCATGTAAGTAAGTAAACAATAAAGAAATAACCATTGCATATTCACACGCTCCAACGGTAAACAATTGGGAGATCATATTGATGAACTCCTAGACAAATTGGTGACCCCTATACAAAATCTTTTAAAAGAAAAAATAAAAGCTACTATTACATAATTTGGATTTATTACAAATCATTTTTCTTGTCTACAAAAATTAATGTGATAATGAAAATATTCAACTTATTAAAAAACTGAAAGAAAAAAAAAAGGTGTAGTAGTAGCCACCTAGGCATTTAATTTTTAAATAAACAAAACAATAATAAAGAAAGATGACTTTAAAAGATGCTCTTTCCCTCTTCTCATCAGTTCTCTATCTCAGTCCCTAGAAGTAAGTAAAACCCACAGAGAGAAAATATATATACACTCAGACAGATACATACATACATAATTACTTAAGAAAAGACATGGATTTGCATGAATCAGAATCAAGAACACATGTTATGTCCAACGATGGTGATGATGGTTATATAGACTTGGAAGTCAACCTCTCTTCTTCTTCTTCTTCTTGTCCGTCCTCAAGCTTCTTCAGCTTCAACGTCACCTCTTCGCCGCCGCAAAGCAGAGAGTTCGAGTTCCAAATGTGCTCCTCCGCCGTAGCTCCCGGCGAATCAACCACATCTCCGGCCGACGAGCTTTTCTATAAAGGTCAACTCCTACCTCTTCATCTCCCTCCTCGTCTCAAAATGGTACAAAAGCTTCTTCTCGCTTCCTCCTCCTCCGCCGCGGACGCAACAGATACTCCCATATCTCCACGCGCCGCCGTATCCTCGCCGCGGAGGTTTAGCAGCAGCGAGATCGGGCAAGACGAGCAATGCTACTTCGAGATTTCGACGGAGCTCAAGAGGTTCATCGAGAACAACGAGAACCATCCAGGAAACAGTTGGAGCAAAAAGATCAAACAGTCATCGATTACACAAAAGCTCAAAGCCTCACGCGCTTATATAAGAGCTCTGTTCTCGAAACCAGGCTGCTCAGATTCATCAGAGATCAACCCAAGATTCAAAACTGAACCTTCTAAAACCTCAAGGAAGAAGAACCCATTTGTGAACAGTGAGAATACTCACTTGTTTCATAGAAGATCGTTCTCAGGCGTGATACAGAGACATTCTCAAGCCAAGTGTTCAACTTCTTCTTCTTCCTCTTCCTCTGCGTCGTCGTTGTCTTCTTCGTTCAGTTTTGGATCAAACGGGTCGTTGGATCTGCAGACTCTGATGAGAAACAGCAACGCCAGTGATAACTCCATCGAAGGAGCGATAGAGCATTGTAAGCAATCATTCACAACTAGAAGAAAGAGCAATGTGGCTGAATCTGAGCTCTGTTCTTCAAGAACCTCTGTTTCTACTTGCGGTGACCTTGAAAAAGATTGAGATTCTCAGATCTGGTGACGCTCTCTTCTGATGATTCTCTCATTCCAAAAAGGTTACAACAAAAATTAAAAGGACATAAAAAAAGCAAAAGTTCAAAAAGATAACTTTTTTTCTTCTACTCTGATTTTTTTTGTTTTTTTTTTTTTTACTTTTTGTAATTTTAGATTCTTTTGTATGCTTTTGTTTTAGAAGTTTGCTGAATTCGAGGCTTCTTTTTATGTGTTATAATGTTTAAATTTACTAATTTCAAGGTTCTTGGGTTTAAAACTTTCGTTGTGAACTGATCACTTTTATTTTTATTTTTTTTCAATGTGTTCCAAATTTTGTTAGCCTATCTAATATTCAACGAGCTAGATATAATAATTATTGAATTTTATTATATTTAATTATAAGTAATCAGCTAAGTGAAAAAAAAAAGAAGTCAAAACAAATTAAATACTATAAATCGATTGTCTAGCTACAATTAAATTAGACTTTTTGACCGCCGATATTAGTTATTGGTGAAAGCCAACATACTAGTTTAAGTAAAAGTATTTGTACTAATCATGACAGACCATGAAAAGTAATAGTGATAGTAGTAACTAGTAACCATAATAACATTAATCTTGTTTGACTTTGAACCATTGTTTATATGCACTGATTAGTAGGTGTAGATTTTGTTCCGTCAATATGCGTTTACGAGACATGATATTGCCACAATTGAAAATTAAGTACACATCAAAAAAATTCATCTGGTTGAACCATTGTCAATTCACTAGATCCATTTACAACGATCTCATATTAGTATGCACTAATGCACATTATATATTCGTGCAATGCATACTATATAGTTTCAGTTTGTTGTTGCTATGCTAACAATAGTAATCTCGTGTTGTTCCATGGTAAGCTCCTACGTTTTGCATTTATGTAACCCATCAGCTACTAGAGGAGATCACATGTCACTAGTTTTGGGCATTCATTACCATATATTTGTCCATCAGATAGTAATATTAAATCAATTATAAAGTTATATCAAAAGAAATGGATATAGTAAAGTGAGAAGATACAACTTGGACATATAAGATTTTCTTTTTGTATAAGTGGAATGACTTTGGGTTTTAATATTAAATCCATAATTTTCAACTTTAGTTCGATTTTTTGGATTTAATATTAAGGTTTAAAGGAAAGCTGATGTCACTTGTGGGAATTAAACTAATGAATAGACTATTAGGAAAATCAAAAGAGAACTAATAGATTGTTTAAGTGAAACTGAAGAATGTTAGGAAATTAAACCATTTACTATGGTGTTGGCAACATCATAACAAATTAACAATCTCGAACTTCAAAAGGAAAACACTTTCTAATTTATTTATGTGGTACGTAGCAATTTATTCACTTCACATCACTTTTTGTATATATGTTCATTTAAAGTTTGGGTTTCTCCACTAATTTCAAATTATTATATGTATTTAGGTTTTGGCTTATACATTATGGGTTTTTTTTCCTGCTATATAAATATATTCTTGTTTCTACTAGTTTTTATTGGAGTTTTTATCTTTAACAGTAAACAAAAAGAATAGTATGGATTAATCAAGAACATAGAAAACATAAAACTTGGTGAAACCAAAACAAATTCAAAAACAACTAACAATCTGAAAGAGAGTGATCATACAATTGTTTTTCTTGTGAATTCAATGAACTGAATATACGATAGTGAACATTCAGAATAAATTGTTGAGCTACTAGTTATAAATCACTACATTAATCCAAGTCTCAAATCTACTGTCAACAATTTTACTAATTTGACTGCATTTATGGTTTGCAGTATTCAGATTTCTCATATCTTAATTTGTCGATTTAACCAAAGTTTTAACCTTTTTATCTGGACTGGTCAGACTGTAACTTTTGAGTTAGAATTTTTATTTCGAGCCATAAAAAAAAAAAAAAAACAAAATTTTTTGAGTAGACCCAAAAGAAAAAGGACGAAGCAAACTGAATAAAAGGGACTTTACAGCAATAGTGAGGATCCTCTCTATCTCTCTGAGGTGCCTTTTTTATATGTATTTTAAAACTATAGGTTGTATATTACGTCAAACTCAAAAGAATAATATTTTCCCCAACAAATATGTAATCATAGGGATAGCCATGCAAAAAAATAATATATATATATATAGGTCAATATGTTACCATATAAACATATGTTTCTTTTATTTAAATTGTATAGTAAGTAAAGATAGAAGAAGAATAGCGAAATTAGGCCCATTTTTTTTGGGGTCCAACTTTAACATTCATATAAATCTCATATTGTAACCCCACCAAACAAAAAAAAAAAGGAATAACTCAAAGTGTCTTTTTTAAAAATAAAATATATCAAATATAAAATTCCAATGATGTATGAGCTTCTTTGAAGTTTATCACTATAAGAGATATGGTCCCATTATGATTTATTTGATTGATTCAAAGCCATACATTAGATACTGTAAGATTTTTGGATGATAAATATATTAACTTGTCTGAAATATTTGAGCAGTGAGTGAAAGAGTACATAAATATATTTGTTTAAAGACGGGTTTTTTCTTTTCTGCATTTTGTTTTGGAACCTAGAGTGACAATAACAATACATCTATTTTCTTTTGCTTATTTTAAAGTTGGAAATTTATGTAACTTTACTGTATCTATTCACACATATAGTATTTTAATATTTCATAGATATTGGAATATATATATGTATGAGTAATATATATCAAGTGGTTGTAAATATAGTTTTTGTAATGTTGGTTAAAGTCGAGATTGAGTAGGAAGTATATATATATTATCCATTAGGTGGACACAATTAGTTACGAGTTACAAAATCATTACAGAAGTTATACAAACCTCAAGAACAATCTGCATTCAGAACATTAAGCACTGATGAAAGATAAAAATAAGAAGTAACTACACAGAAATCTTGTAAATTGCTAAGTGGAAAATGTTAATATATGTTTCGGTTATATGATAATGTCGACTTCAACAAGCAGTCTGCACTCCACATTCGTATTTTAGAAACTTTCTTGTATAAATTGTAAAAGAAGAAAATAATTTCTTAACTAAAAATAATAATAACAAAATACAGACAGGATTCACCTTTAGCAAAGAAATACACCTTTTATAAAAAAAGTCATATAGTAGTACTATTTCGATTCGTTAAATAGATTATTATAAATCCGCGTGGAGAAGAAAAAAAAATCTCTGTTGAAAATCTTAAAGAGACAATGGGGAGAATGATGAGTGTCAGCTGCTGCATGAAAGTGTGTAGCTTTCGTTTTCCATGCACCAAAAAGTTAATTAGCTTATAATATGTCATTAGATTTAATTAATTTACATAAAAGTAACGATTATAGTAACTTGTATAACAACTATTAAAAGCATAAACTTAAATTGTTGTTAAAGTGCGCCTGCTAATTATCAACAACAACACACTCAGAACAATAATTAAACAAAGATATACATACGTAGAAAATAAACTCCAAGCTTCGTATGAGACAAGGGAGCTACAAGTTCTGAAAGTTGCAAAGTTCAATCACTCTATTCTAAGAACTAATTAAGAAGGATCAAGATGATTTTCTTTCTACTTATGCACCTTTTGTTTGTAACTTAAACTTTTTTTTTTGTTTGGCTGAGCTTAATGAATTTTGAAATACAATTTTTTTTTCAATCCTTTGCCTTCTGACTGAATATTTTGCTCTTAAAATGTGTTGTCCATTTTTTGTTTTGTTTGCTAGTCTTAGTGGTTTTTAAACAACCTATGAATGATCCAATCCACGATCTAGCCGGTTAAAAACAACCTATGAATGATCCAGTCCAATCCATTTGAGGCTTCGAACTTAGTCATCATGCTAGATTGCTAGTTCGGTGACATTGACATATGAGCATGCCAATCAAACTCAAGTCGGCGAGAATAGTAGATTACTATCGCCTTTTCTAAGTTAACAAATCATTTTTGTTTTATTATTACTTTTTAAAACATATATATATATATATATGAAACGTGTTTTATTACGTTTGGGTAAATCAATATAATTTTGTAACATAAAAGTATTAAAAGATACAATATTTGGAAGTTTAATTAGAGTTATCATCTACAAAAATTTGTATTTATTTCTGTATATAATTAACTCGAAACTTATTTTGTTTTAGAAAAAGGAAAAAAAAAATCTTCCATACTTATTGATCTATTTTTGTAAAAGGCCATCTGAATTTGACTACCAATCTAGTGATCAATATACATGTGCTAGTGTGCTACTAGTTCCATGTCCTCAAGATCGACTGGTCTTAAAATCTAAAATCGGAAACCATAAAATCTAATCATAAAATGATACCATGATTTTATATTATCACTAGCAGTTGACCCGCGCTCCCCGCGGGAGGTTTATAATTTTGTTTCGTTGATTTTTTATTCATATTGTGATATTTTATTATTTTTTTTAATTGATTTTTTAAAAATATTATAATTATTATCTTTCAATACTCAAATTTGGATTAAAAGCATTTGATTCAATTTATGAAATATCATTTTTTTCTTTTTGATCATGTTATAAACTAATATTTCACTTTCATTTTATTTTTCCTCTTTATAACTTTATATATACAATTACATAAATGTTGTTTTAGTTTACCATAAATTTAAATTTTACTTTCATTCTAAAATTCAGTAACATATTTAAAAATATTAAATTATGATCAATATAAAATGAAAGTTGAATTATATTATTACCACTAATAAAAAATTAAAGTATTGTTTTTCTTATTTTAACATTTCATTTTTTACATGATTTATTTTTATTTATTTAAATTTTCTATTAATTAAATAAGTAACATAAATATGCACTAAATGAATGTTTTAAATTTATTTTAATGTTTAAACAAAAATCGCTTAGGTGGCATCATGAGAAGAGAGAAAAAGCTAACTTTATATATATAGATTACTCATGACCACACATTTATAGAAAATATATATTCTGAAAAATGTGAGTTGGCAAAAATAAAATAAAAACTAAGAACAAACATATATATTGTTACACCATTCTAATATTATGAAGATCAGGTCAACTTAAAGAAAGACTATTCGAGTTCTGCGTATGATCAGTAAACTGTTCCCCTCCTAGTAAAGTCCAAAATCGACATGATCTACAACAGGAACCAGAAAATGAAATGAGCTTTTCCACAGTTTCGTTGACCCATCGACGACTAAATCTTGTCAGTCTATTGGTACGATTAAGTTTTTTTTGCTTCTTTTTTTTTACAAAATTCAAACATGTGACAAAGACTTAATGAAACTGCAATAATTATATTTGAGGGATATTCTCAGAAAAGCTAAAAGACTCAAAAAGAGTTATCCTCTGTCTCCAACTAAAATGGAAATAAAGGGAAGAAGATCAAATATGTCTGTAACGTGGAACCCATGCACGTAACTGGTTTTAACTGTTTATGCACTTCTCCATTCTCTAAACAGTAAACTCTAACTACTAAAATCCATCTCAGTACTTATACAAAACATTTCGTATGTTTCTGCTTCTCAATCATCTATTCTCATATGCTTCAACATCAAATACGAGCCACATTCTCGTGTGAATTATTGTTATGTGGGATATTATGTGATGTGCGATGAGAGTCCACAAGTTAATTAACTGGACCTCTTCAGAAATACTGGAAGCAGATAGACGACAGAGAGACAGTGACAAAAAGAGAGAGAGGCAATTCGTAATTAGAAGCAAGGTATATGATCGAGTACTTTTCGGACAACCAAACTTGTCTGTGGATACCTTGTCTTCTTCCCTAATCCGGAAAGCTTTTTTCCACTCTAATGGATTGCTCCTTCTGTTACTGTAGCTTTTGTCTAGAGTCCCGACCCAAACACACCTAACTAGAGAAAAAACATTGAATATGGATTACAATCATAAGATGTCCATTACTTTGTTATCCCTCCAAGCTGGATAACAAACATTGAATATTGCCCATTAGATAAGAATTATAATGTTGACATCTCTAAGTTAGTCAAATCCTATAGAAAAGAGAGTTGGACAAGAACAGATTTATAGTTGCAAAATGAACATATGTAGTGGGGACTACTCTGTTTAACTTAACTTAGATCACGTAATTCAGCGTGACAAAGGACATCTCTTTCTAATTCTATCATTTGGTCTTTAATTTAATAATGCATGTTTGAAACATTCCTCGAGAAGGGATGTGATGGGACAAAAGCAGAAGCCAATGTCTACAGAATTGGTGCCATTTCGGAGAAAAATCCGGTAAACATCATCCAAATGATCAGTTTTACTTTTGTATGTTTTGGGAAAGGACAGAGAGACGACATAGATTAAAAGTAACACGATGTCTAATGTCACATCAGTTTTGCCGAAAATATCATCTTGCAATCAATAAGGCATCTAAAAGAAGAGAACCAACAACGTGCATGAATATAGGAGAGTGATTGAAATGTTTACCAAACAAGTTCTGTACGTTACAATCACAAGTCAAGCAAACCTGCTGCTTTGTGTGCTGTTTGCAAAATAGGTAAGAGATTACAGTTAGCATATGGGCTGTTTGGTTATCTCATCACCTTACTACACTGACAAGAGCAACTTATTATGCAAAAACCAACAAGATTTGCCTCAGTTACCATAATACACACTTAACCTTTCAACCTGATCATAGGTTGAAGCAGCATGCATGCATGCATAACGATATCATATTCAGTTAGATCTCAATTCAATAACATTATCGTCACTCATAACTCCAACGTAGCTCTCTAATGAAACGCGCTAGCAAATATCTAAAACTGAGGATTTAATTTCATCAAATAGAAAAAGAAAGAACAAATGTCAAAACCACGACGCAACCATAGCGGATTAGCGGGGAACATCTCTGCTACACCAATTTGGATCGGCTCCGATGAAGTCTCTCATTCTCTTTGCGGCTCTCTCCGGCTGAAACCTTACACGTGGAAGCCGCAATTAGCCCAGTGGGCTTTAACTAGTACTTAACCCAAATCGTGACTAACCTTCGTATCTAGCTGCAAATACAGCCCATGCTTCGCAAAGCCTTCAGGGATAGTTTTGTTTTGTTTTACAACATCTAAAAGGATTTCAACAATGGTACATAGTAACACAATATTTGACTCAATTTAAGATAAAACTAGAAAATATTAGGGATAGTTGAGGAAAAAAAGGAAATAAATCATATTGTTTAGGTTTTAGTCTTTTAGAGTTAAGGTTTGGTTAAGGTTCAGGTTTAGACTTTAGTTTTTAATGTTTGAGGTTTTGAATTTTTTAGATTTTAGACTGTTTTGAACTATTTTTTTTTAACTTTAATATAATGTAGTGAGAAATTAAAGGTTAAAGCCTGGATACAGCCCTCACTTTGTTTTGTACATCCAACGCAGAATATTCCTCGTGTTTCCAATTGCGTCAGATCTCAATAAACAATCCAAAATTAGTTAATTAGTGAAAAAATATGAGAAGAAGATAGACAAATTATGGTAATCGTCAAAATTTCTCTGACCGGCTCTAACATTTTAGCATCACGTTGTCAATTTATAACGAAAGCTCCATTATTACTCTTTTCTCAACATTATATCTGTGTGTTTTTCGACCGTTACTCTCTCTGACACAGTCAACAGTGTTTCATTTTATCAAATATATAAACAAAAAATAGACAAAAACAAATATAAGTAAAGAAGAGTGAAGTAAGATTTGGAATAAGAAGACAAAAGCCTCGTGAAAGGATGATGCCCCACGGTCCACGCCCAACATCTTCATCCAGTGACAGTGACTCAGTGTGAGCATGCAATTTATATTTGTAAGTATCAAAAACACTTACTTAAAAATGCTTTAGGAGATTATGTGTATCTTTTTTTTATAGCATTGGTCTCAGATAGTATGCTATAAGCTTTTACTTTCTTAGTTGGTATAGTTAATATATATTTTGTGAGGGGAGAAATGCCCTAACTAATGCAAATTATATAAGTGCCAACCCAAAAAAAAAAAAGGTACACCTTCTAAACTCCCACGTGAAAAGTAATTTACTATCCCAAGTTGTGGTTCGGACTAAGATCATATCATCATGACATGAACTGAAACTAGTTAACCCTCGAGTACTTATATATATGTAGCATAGTAAGTGTGCAATAATTATGAAGTTGAATAATTAACTCTCCGCGCCTGACAACTCTACATATTAATTCAAGTGAACACCATTTCAACAAACAATTAAAGGAGTCCACATAAAAAGTTTACATGTTTATAATATAGTAATTGTCAAAGAAAGATAGAACTACCAAAAAATATGAAAAAATCTAGAAACCTTCTAACTTTGAAACAATGGATTCTTTGGTTTTATTGTAAAGCTATGTTTTCCAAAACATATTTGATTTGTAGTTTTGATATCAAGGGATCCAATGATATGGTTAAGACTTGAAAGGTATAGTTTGTGTGATCCGTGATTGGTATCCGTCCAAAATTCAATTATATATATAGTCTTCCATTGTTTCTTTTCATATTTGTAACCATGCATGTCTCTTAGACTTTCACGCATAGTTTCTTTTATAAAAAAAAGGTCCTGATAACATATACCATAGGGGAAAAATAGTTTTAGATTTTTTTTTGACAACATCGATCATTTGATTATTGCTTTGTTTACATAACTCGATGAAAATAAATTTGGGGAGAAATTTTGCATAGATTTTTTAATATATATATATATATGTAAGATTAAATTACAAACGCCACATTGACAACTTATTACATATAGGGACAAATAACTCTTTATCATATGAGCGTTACACTCTCTTAACTCTCTTTGTCTTTATTCCAATCGAGTTCTCTCTCTGTATACGAGTAATATAACATCCTCAATCATAAACATATTACCATTCTTATCAAGATTTGCTCACACACAAAGCTTACTTTGTGTCTTTTTCTTTGGTTTCTTACTGTCACTTCTTCCGAGAGCTCCCTCATTCTCCATATAATGAAGGGACGTATGTTCTGCGCTTCGCAAGCATCGACAGCCATATGTTCAAGCATGGACCACGTTCACAAACCAAACAACACCGTTGACGATGAACGAAGCAGCGGCAGAGCTATAGACCGACACAACCCTATCATTAAAGATCCCAGGAGATCATTCACCGACGACTTCATCAAACTACCCGCCGCTTCCGCCGAAGACGGAGAGGTCAGTAACAAAAAGATAGAGATCTATAAAGGCAGGAGGAGCTTTACTGGCCGGAGAAGCACCGGCGGTGGCGGTGGAGGCGGAGCAGCGGCGTTGCTGAAGCTTATCACCAGTGACATCAGCCTAGCGAGGAAGAGTTTCAGCTGTGTTGCGAGACCCGCATGTGACTTTATCAATACCCCTGTGGGTTCTACAAGGTTTCTTTTGGGATCTGACCCGGAAACTATTTCCGGGTCAGCTGGTCAGGATCCGGCTAAGACGGTAGAAGCTCTAGTGACTCCTGCTGGTGAAGACAAAACGTTGACGGAGAAGAAGGCTACTACTTGTGGTGGTGGTTCAGACCAGGTAAGTTGTTTTTTGTTGTTGCCATGATATATATATGAGTGGCATAAATACAAAATAAATGGTGAAAATTAAGAGTGTGATCATGATTGGGGTTGCATTTTTCTGAAGCAGCAGGTCGTTGTTCTCAAAGTGTCTCTCCATTGCAGAGGCTGTGAAGGCAAAGTTAGGAAACACTTGTCAAGAATGCAAGGTGATTATGCCAGTTAGTAAAATTGATTAATTTTCAAAATGTTCCGGTCTAGAATATATATATATATATATATATATATATATATGTGAACAATATACAAAATGTATTATTAGCTCGGATTTGATTAAGAAAAATATCAAATTAGAGAATGGATTCGATTCCAATTTACTCTAGGCTCACTTTGATTTTGATTATTTTGTCCATAACAGAGCCGGTCTGGTCTATTATTTTGCAAACCGGTTTTGGTCAAAAGCTGGTTTATAAGTAGTGATATTTGATATCTTCGTAGGTGTGACATCCTTCAACATAGATTTTGCTGCAAAGAAAGTGACTGTGACCGGAGATATCACTCCCTTGGAAATATTGGATAGCATCTCAAAGGTTAAAAATGCCCAATTTTGGACAACTCCATCAATTCCAAAGACAAACGTGGACACTCAAAATCCTTAATTCACTCCTACTCTCTTTTTTCTTGTTTTATTTTTTATTTTGTGTACTACTACTAAGCATGTTTGTAAAATAAATGGTAAAGTTTCAAAACCTTACTGCCATAAGAGCCCCTCTTGGTAGGTTCCATCTTGAGACTATGCATCTTCTCATATCCAATCACCTCGTCCTAAGATTCTTAAACTTGTTATTTGTTAATATTACATGCTTGTGTTTTCCACAAATGCTTTAGACTAAGTATTACTTGTAGAATAGTACTATGTAACAGTTGTAGAATATTACTATGTAATAATAGACTTAGAATAAAACAAACAGACTTTTCGCTTTTAAATCTGCTATATATAATGCTATGAGTTCATATGTCAACAACACTCTTCTACAAATCAAGAGCGTAATAAAGAGCTTTAAGAAGCTTCTCTTCAAACCCACCTGAGCTTTACAAATTTTGAACGTATAACAATCCTAGTCACTATTATGTAAAATAAGGAGCTCAAGAAAGATTACATGCACCAATAGAACAGTCACAAGTTAAGGGCTAAAGTCACAAGTTCTTATAGGCCTTTGCTCATAACTGACGAGACAGCTCCGCATTATTCACCATTGTTAGAGCAACTCCAATGGTTTAGAAACATTGGTTGTTTCTAAACCATTTATGTTATATTAATAATGTAATAGTACACACTTAGAAACTTAGAAAAGTACATAATTTTTATGAAGTCCAATGGTAAAGCTGTTAAGAGATTCTAAAAATTTGAAATTTTAAAATATGTGTATTATACATAGCTTGATAGTCACTCAATTATTACAAAAACTAACTTGACTCTAGCATCACAAAACTTGTTTCCCAACACTTCATGTCACAACACTTCATTTCAAGCTTCTTCCCAACAAGACATCAATGTATGCAAGCTGAAAAAGAAACAAATAACAAAGTTGTGTTATACATAAGAAGAAACAACCACATTAAACGGATTCAAACAATTGAGAACTCATAGAATGGTTTCAGTACACACCAAACATTGGTCGGGTTCATTACACAGCAAACACACCAGCAAGCAAACTGATTCCCAGCTAGCACATTACACATCAAGCACACGAAACATTACACTTCAAGCACACCAGCAAGCAAACTGATGCTTTGGTTCAAACTTGAAATCAGAGCACATTTATCACATTACACAACAAGCACATTTAGAACTTTAAAACATATAAAAACTGATTCATTCATTCAAAGTTCAAACATAACATATGATTATCAAACATTAATACTACCAACATCAGATCAACATATTTTACAAGCAAAATCAGATCTACAAAGCCGAAATAGATCAAGATCAATACAAACAAAATGAGATCAAGATCATAACCGAAACTTAACAACACACAAACATAAACATATACTCATTCATGCATTAGACAACATGTCATTCATTAATTTGTCTTTCAAAGCCACTTCCATTTCAGAAAGTGGCTCTGTTTTGGCCAAAAGACTGTCTAGCAACTTGCTGTTCATCAGCTCCTTCTTCTCTTTGAAATCCTTCTGTTTTATCTCCCACATAGCTTGAAAGTCCTCAAGAGCCTTGCCTTCTTTAACCACTGTGGTTGGTTGGCTCACAGCCACTTTGCCTTTGGCTTTTGCTGATGCTTTTGCTGCCTTAATACCACCAGGCCTTGCTTCATTCTCTTCAGAGCTCACTGGAAAAGAGCTTGATGACTGTGAAGTCATATCATCATACTTTCTTCTCTTTAATGCTCTCTTATCTGTAGTTGATGAATAGCTACACCACTTTTGATCATACCTAAGCTCCCTCCAAGCATGTTCTAAGGTGAACTTCACCTTGTAATCATTGTGGTAGATATCATAAGCCAAATTCATAACATCATTATCACCTTGGCCACTGGATTTCTGTTTTGATGCAGTCTCAAAACTACCAACAAACTTACAAACCTGCTCGTTGATCTTGTGCCACCTTTGTTTACAGAGATTGGGACCTCTCTTTTCCACACCAACCAGCTTGGGACTTGCAGCATAGTAAGCTGCAATTCGATCCCAAAAGGCATTGCCTTTCTGCTCATTCCCAACGATGACATCTTTACTGGTATTGAGCCACGCACTGATCAGCACTGTGTCTTCAATGTGTGACCATTTCCTTCTTTCTTTCTTCTCCTTAGGCTGAGCTTCATCTTGGCTTGGATCTTCCCAACTACCAAACTGAATTGGTTGTTCAAAACTCCCAAAGATCAGAGGTTGATGACTCTCTACACCAGCTGAAGACACAAACTGGTTTGGGTGTAGACTCTCATTCCCAGCTGAAGAACCAAACTGGTTTGGGTGTACACTCTCATTCCCAACTGAAGAACCAAACTGGATTGGGTGTTGACTCGGATTCCTAGCTGAAGAACCAAACTGGTTGGGGTTTTGACTGTTTAAGAGGTTTAGATATCCAAAAGATTCACCAACTGAATCCATAACTGGTGGGGTTTGAAGGTATGAAAGTATGATGATATGAGGAGAAGGAATGGGAGATCAAAGGAGAAAGAGAATGAAAGAAACTGAGACTGGTTTAAAGTGAGAAGGAATGAAAACACAGAGAAGAAAGAGATAGAAGCATATATAAAAGGTGAAAGTAGAAGAACTAGTTAGTGGTTAGTGTTGTTACTTATTGTTAGCAATCAATGACTAACCCTAGCAAGTATTAACCACAGAGAGAAATAATCGATTCTAAGTCAAGTACACATAGAAGCAAGTACACACAGAAGCAAATACATACATAAGTATGATGTAGACACACAAAGAGCAATACACAGAGAAGCATTTATCACAATGCAAACAGGTTCAAAGTGAACAGCTAGCTACAAAACATATTCAAAGTGAACTGGTAGCTACAAAACAGATTCAAAGTGAACAGGTAGCTACAAAATAGATTCAAATTCAACAGCTAATGAAGCATTTATCAGAAACATTTATTACTAAAAACCAGCCACCTAACAACCCATTGAACTTATATCTTTACCTAGTCAAAAGCTATGAAAACATTGATATAAACAAAAGCTAACAACAAGTCAGATGAATTACCTTCCTTCATTGGTGGAATGTTCCATGTTTAGCTTCTCCATTGAATTATATCTTGCTTCGATGCCTCACCAATTAACCTCACAAATACACACACAAGACATATATGATCAAATTCATGCAGTTCAAGAACAATTCAAGTATATAGTTGAAGAACAGAACAGTTCAATTAACCTCACAAATACATACTCAAGTATAACATAAACGATTGACAAAGGTAGCCAAGTTTTCAATCAGACAACCAAAACTTACATAAATTACATGACAGAAACACCGCAGAAACGATTTCAATAAGACAAACAAAACTTATTCAACTTCGCAACCAAAACAGAGAAACGAAATCTTTACTTCTAGACTAACACACAACCAAAATCGATTTCAATCATCAATAAAAACGAAGAAAAAACTATTTATTGATTATAAAACCCCTAATTGCGCTAACATTGATGAACCCTAATTTTCTGACTACAAATCCCAATTCGAAAACCCTAATTCATGACGCCAAATCCCAATCACACCTTAATAACCCTAATTCATGAAGCTATACAAAAAAAAAATAGAGATAATCGTACCAGAAGGAGATTTGAGGATTGTTTCACCAAACACTCTGATTCTCATCAACACTCTCTCTGATTTGAGGTTGGATCAGTCCGATTTGATTACCCAAACTCGACGATTGTGACTAATTTCGATTGATCTGAAGATTACTGTGGTGAAAGAGCAGTTTCTTTCATCAAATCAGACGGATCGAGATCGGGGAAACTGGTTTCTGGTTTGCATGTTCTTCGTTTTAGAGAGAGAGAGAGAGAGAGAAACGAGCGAAAGAAATGAAAAACCAAACCTATTTTTTTTCCTTTTTGTTAAAAAATTATACCCACTCACACACTAACACGTTGCATCTCTTAACCATTTCTAAAACCTCTCACATTAGATACGTTTCTATAGTTTTTGTGTATTTTTGATTTATTTTTAACCAATAATATGTTAAAAACTTCTTAACATACTCACTTACATACACTAATGGAGATGGTCTTATCCTCCTAGAAAATGGATAAATCATTCATCATTAATCACATTTAGTAAGTATAAAATAAAGAAATAAAAAGCAGACAATGACACATAGGGCACAACTCTACTCACAGTGGTTTCACGAGATTTTGCATAAGACTTTTTCATTGCATTATCATATTCATCGTGAGAGAGCCTGCTTTTTATAAAATCGTGTGGAATATACATCGTACACTCATAGGCAGGACAGAATAACAGGACTTTACCATCAGCAATTACTTTATGGTTGATGTGTACTTACAAAAAAAAAAAAAAAAAAAAAACACAAGTTAAGATCATTAAAATAGAGTGACAAAAAAGAAAATTAATCATTTAGATAAAAATTTTTTGGCAATACCTAATATGCATCTATTGCATAGGTAATGACCACATCCAAGGTTCTGACACACTTCTCTATTCCAACAAGATCTACAACCAACCTGAAGACGAACAACAACTTATTTTAACTATCTTATGTGATGTCAACAAATATTAAAAATACCAAAATGGCCAAAACTGTATAAAAACATACCACTTGGTAATTATGTTTTGAATTGCAAATTATCTTCTTCGAGTCTCTTTCGTAGTCATCAGATAACAAGTAATTTGAAGTAAACTTTTTCTCATCCCTAGACAAATTCACAATGTACTATTCAGTGACAAAGAACCAAGTATAAAAAAAACTCAATAGCAGAAATAATGGGGATATAAATACATACCAATCATACTTAAGGAGGAGAGTCGTAGCTTTGTCTCTAGAGATTCTAATTTGTGACACAAGCCTCGAAATTGAAGCATCGGGCTCTGCCTCTTCAACTGGTACCAAATCCATAAACATATCTGCCTGAGAAAAAAGAGGATTGTGAGATTGCTTCCTCTTAAGTCTCGTTAATCAAACACTCTCCATATATACCACAGACTGAGAAAACACAGGATGGAACAAATCAAAACCAAACCCATCCCAAGATCGAGTAAACAAAACACTTTGAATTAGATAAAAACGAATTGGTTAAACTTTCCGATGCTTCACTTAAATCCGAATTGATTAAAAATAACTACCCAGAAAATGCATAAACTAACTCTCCTTTTCCCAAGAAAACTTCTCTCGACCTCTCACAGTTCATCTCTCTGTTTCAATATGCCTAAGAAACTGATTAAACAAGGAATAATATGAACGCTCTGGGTCTTTAGTAAACCCTTTAACAATGAAACCAAGAAAAAGCAATGCAGAAACGATCTTGAGTCTCCTCTTTATTTCTCGTTACGTACGTACCTCTCTGTTTTTTCTTTCTCTCTGTTTCCAACGCGTAAGGAATCGATTGAAAAAGGAAGAAGACGCAGAAGCTTTGGGTTTTTAAACTCTTCAATAGTGAAAATACAGAAACGATAAGGGAGTATGTATAAACAAAGAAAACGAATGCAGAAACGATCTTGAGTCTCCTCTTTATTTCTCGTTAATTACGTACGTACCTCTCTGTTTCTTCTTTCTCTCTGTTCCAACGCGTAAGGAATCGATGGAAGAAGGAAAAAGACGCAGAAGCTTTGGGTCTTTAACCTCTTCAATAGTGAAAATACAGGAACGTTAAGGGAGTATGTATAAACAAAGAAACCGAATGCAGAAACGATCTTGACTTCTCCTCTTTACGTACCTCTCTCAACTTCTTTCTCTGTTTTAGCGTGTGAAGAATCGATTATAGAAGTGAGAATACGAAACGCCTGGCTCTTCAAAAACCCTTAAGTAGTAAAAATGCAAAATCCAACGATCTTGAGTTTCTTTCTCTGTTTCAATATGAAGCTTTGTTTAGAGTCGTAACTGTAAAAACAAACTCGAACGTGACTACACACGCGTGACCAATGAGAAATTACAGATTATTCTGATTTAACTTGAGTGTCTGGCTTATAAACTACAACATAATGTTACTTTAAATATTTTATTTCGCATATTCTACTACTATGGTCATGGTGTCTTTTAACTTCTAAAGTTCTGTTTTCGAATTAATGTCGAGATAGAAAATCATCATTTGATACATCTTAATATCTTTATTTAAGAAAATCCTCGCTATGGGTCTAACTTATTTTTATTTTGTTTTATTTTTCATGAGATGTATTTATCAAAGTTTTCGGAAGTAGAGTTATATGGTTTTAGTTTTACCGTTCACTATTATGGTGTTCTTCATCAGAACTTCAACCTTTTCATTACAAACCTGCAAGCTCTCCTCAGTCTTTTCTATGGTCCTATTTAAAATAGAGTAGAAGTGTTGTATATTATTAGGGTAGAGAGTAGTAATGTACAAATATATATACACAATACAGAGAGGATATATTATTAGGGTAGAGAGTAATATACAAATATATATACACAATTTAGAGAGGATATTGGGGTTATACTAATTAAATATATATCCTTTACACTATCAAATACTATAAATTAATAATTGTATAGATATATATATATATACATGTAGAAATATGGCTAGTGAAATTTGATTTTTGTATTGTTTGTTTTTCCTTGAATTAATATTAATTTTTATTTTACTCCATCAAAAACTTTTGTGGTTATCTTTCTTACTTGTATCTGATTATAGAAAATTTCTGATTATAACATTTTTTAAATATAAGTATTTTTAATTAAATTAATCACATCTCTCTAAAAATTTAGGGGGAATTTCAAAAATACCCCTTTTCATATTCCTCTTTTTAAAAATACCCCCTTTTCAAACTTTATCAAAAAACCCACTAAAAATGTTGAAATTTATCCAAATATGTGTGTAACCTTATAAATATATACACAAATTACCTTTATATGTGTATAAAAATTTATATACCTTTCATAAATAGCGTAAAAATAAATTATAAAAAGCTTATAAAAACCTTATAAAAACCGTATAAATCCTTTTAAAAACCTTTTAAAAACCTTATAAAACTTATAAAAACGATTTAAAACTATCTAAAACATTTTAAAATATTTGTATCGAATCTCCCAGTAATAGTTATTATATAGAAGTACCTTATAAACTATATAAAACTTTATAATTTTTTATATTTAAAAATGGATATTTTTGAAAATGGATAGATAAAGGGGGTATTTTTAGAAAAGGGTACACCAAAAGGAGTATTTTTCAAAAATTCTCAAAAATTTATCGGTAAATTAATACCTATATTAATCAACAAAATATTTTAATTCTAACATTATTAATTTGTAGAAGTCTAGTACTACCGCCAATTCAAGATAGTCAAAAATAAAATAGTGGATTCAAAAAGGATCTCCGTCAGCTAAGATTTGATAGAACAAATCACTAAAAATATTATTATTATTTATTTTATATTTTAACCATATCATATTTGTTTCCTGTTAAATTTTTTTTTTTTTGAGATTTGACTTTATCCAAATAAAAATAATACATGTTGAAAAACTTAGAATATGTGTGCATAGTTATGATCTATTAACACTAGATTATTGTCTCTGTTTGGAACATATATAATGCGTATAGAGTAATTATAGTATTATTAATAATAAAAACATTATATTATTGAAAGCTTTTAGATATAATAAAATAACTGACAAAAAATAGAATATATGATATACTATATTGAAAGCTTTTAGATATGTTCGAAGAAATTAATATAACTATTAATTTATCTATTAATTTATGATATTAATAGATTATATATAGTTTCGCTCAGACAGAAGTCAGAAAAAGCACAAAAGCATGCAAGCAACAAAGATGGTTGAAGAAGAAAAAAACACAAACTGGATCTACGTGTCCGAATTACTGGAAGAAATATTCCTCCGACTGCCCTCGAAATCAATTCTGAAGTTCAAAACCGTCTCAAAACAATGGAGATCAATCCTGGAATCGAAGATATTCGTAGAAAGGCGTATGAATATTGTGAAGACCAGGAAAATCATCGCTGCTTACAACTGCGACTGTGGCGACCGGCCGAGAATCATCCGCCAGGCACGGCTCGACGAAGCGGACGACGAAGAGATCGTATATATACACTTCGGCGACTCACAACTCTGGAACGTTTGGGACGGACGGCCCTTGATGACTTGCGACGGTTTGGTCTGCATAGTTGAACCAGAGTCTATCATCGTTTTGAACCCCTCGACCGGACAACTCCTGCGGTTCCCTTCTGCCCCAGATCCTTCCTCCCGATTTATAAACGGTAGTACGTAACGTTATACTACTTCTTTATTTTAAATTTTGGCTGTCGAGACATGTAGAAACTAGTGTTGTTACTACTTTCAGGAGAAGGGTCAGATTTCTTTTGGGGAAACTGGGTCATGGGATTTGGTAGAGACAAAGTTACGGGGAGCTATAAAGTAGCCAAAATGTGCTTTTATCCTACGGAGGGAGGATGCGATGTTCTTGATGTTGAAAGTGGTGAATGGAGGAACCTGAGGCTTTATCCTTATGTGGTCCAAGTGTCAAAACTATCCGTGTGTGTGAGTGGATCCATCTATTGGTTATCCACCGCATCGTATAAAATTGGAAGGGGTTACAAAATCCTAGCCTTGGATCTTCACAAACAAGAGTTTCATTACATCTCTGTTCCGGATAAGTGGGTCTCGCGAACTACCCATATCGCTAACCTGACCGTCTAACCATGTCCGATACGGTTCGTGGTACCACACTAGAGATATTTAGCATGGATGCACACCAGGAAATGTGGAGCAAGGCTTACTCCATAAATCTAGCTGCTCTATATGGTTTAAAGATAGAGCGGTCATTGTGCTCAATGTCGTTCGCGCCTCTGGCTGTTTCCAAGCAGGGGAATCTTTTCTTCTATAACGATTGCAAGTGCTTGTTTCTTTATTACCCAGAGACACATGAGATTCGTTGTCTCTCCTCCGATGCATCTGTTATATCTTCTTACCACGAGAACTTGATCCCACTTCGGTCTGAGTTTGGACATCAGCCGGATCCAGAATCTAATAAAATCAGGACATCTAGCTGCAGATTTCTTACCAAGCATCCGGGTCAGACTTAGAGACCGACCCCATAGATTCTGTTGACCACTCTAGTTATAATTTATATAATTCGATAACTTTCTAACACTTGTCTATGGTAGTCTCTACTATTATTATATTTTTTTTTTAATTTAAAACTGGCCCTTCTCCCTAATTGGGACAAATTATTTTTATGGATATGTTCGGCAAGGTTCACACCAAACTCATAAGCTATACGAATGCAGGAAGAGGCTGAAAGAGAGAAGAAACAAGCGTTAAACTACAAAAGAGAGGCTATTTTCTCCTCTCATTCATACCAGACTATATGCTATTCCCAAGCAAAACAAGAGTTGCCAACAACACTTGATATTAACTTCCAACTGAGAAGACAAGAGACAACAACTTGTTAACATTAAAAGAACAAGTACGCAAGCAATGCCTAATCATTATAAACCAAATCATAGACTACTCTTGATTTCACTACTCTCTTATAACTTCAGAATCTTATAGACTTTGTGCAAAGAATTGAGAGCAGCAACTTGACAATGGCTCGTGAGTCGTCACATCTCAAAAAAAAAAAACACTGCAAGAAATTCAAGATTCCAGTATTGAGTATTCAACAAATGCTACAACACATGATCTTGATATCAATTCACTCTGAAACTACCTACTACAATCATCAAACAACCGAAAACCCAACAAAATCACATTCAAGCCGAATACCACCAAGCATTACCATTTTGTAAGACAATCATCATTAGCCAGTTAACTCTTTGATCCAGCCATCTCTCGCTGTGCCTTCTCGGCAAAGAGCTTAGTAGCAACCATATTATCCATAAAATACTCTCTGTATGGATGATTCTTGGGGACAAGTCTCCTGAACTTCTCAAACTGTTTCTCCGCCTCATCTTGCTTCTTCAACACTGTGTATATAATCCCCTGACATAGATACGGCCTGAAGTCTCTCGGCTCTTCCTTCACTAGCTCACCATACAGCTTCAATGCTTCGTTATGCTTCCCTTCAACAACCCGAATTTGCGCCACTAGAAGCTTGAAGTCCCTCAAGTCCTTACGATTCTTCTCTTTCTTGCACCTCACCATCGCCTCCTCAATTCTCTTCTCCATCGCATTCAAATCAGAACCAGAATCTGAATAAACCATAACTAGGCCGTGATAAGCCTCGACACGAAGCGGATCCTTAGCTATAATCTCCTCGAATCCAGCTTTAGCAGAATCTAAATCTCCACTGTAACTAAAGATATTAGCTTTCAAAATTGGCCATTCCTTCTCCTCTGGTTCCAGTTCAATCAACCTATCAATCAATTCTATTGCTTCTGGAAGCTTCCGAGATTTGATCTTTATCTCCATCAAACCACGTAGAACTTCCACATCTTCAGGTTGAGAAACAAGATGCTCTTCGAGCGATCTCTCTACATCTTGATAAGAATAATCCTCGTTACCCTGTTCGAGAGATTCCACAGATGGCGTCGCCGTGACAGGGGCGGCAATCGCCGGCGAAGGTTTGAGCTGGAGATTCACAAGGAACAACGCTGCTGCAGTAGTGACGGTGACGCAGGTGGATTTGAGGACTGAGAGCCTCGGCTCTTGAGATTTCGATGATGAAGCTTTGATAGAAGCGGATTTGAAGGACGGAGTTGATCTGGGTAAGGATCTGAAAGAGAAGGATGAAGAATTTTTCGGGAGAGATGAAGAGAAGTGAGTGAAAGAGAGGTGATTTGGTTGCTGACGAAGCTGTAGCTTCCCTAGAGACTCCATTATTGCAGCGAGAGAGAGAGAGAGAGATAACCCCTAAAAACCCTACAGTGAGATTTGGAGAAGAAGAAGATCAAAGCAGCCTTCGAGTTCGAATACGTTGTTAGATACGTCACCGTTGGGTCAACAATTTGGGCCTTTATTGGGCCGGAACTAGAAGAGGAAACATATCTCTCAGACTCGCACAAATCAAAACGCTAATCTCTTTCCTTTGTGACCAAAAATTGATCATTTAGTGATGCAAAATCTCAATCCATGATCAACTGCGGTGAACATGTTTCATTTGCCTTGAACGTCCTTTTTATAAAGCAAAACGTTGATATCAGTGAACCAACACTGGTAAGGATATTTGATTGTCGTTTAAATTTCATTTGAGAGATCTTGTCCATAAGATTTTATATTTTTTTCTTATAGTTTGATGAGGTTTCCGAGAGCAAAGACTATCAAGAACTTGCTTTGTCTACATAATCTATATGTTGTTGGGTGGAGAATACTCTTACATGACTCTACGATCAATATGACTCTTGATCTTGCACAAAGGGATTCCATTGAACCTCACACAAGGGATTCATTTTCATTACTCAAAAGTCAAAACACATTCCCACTGGGGCATATTGTGAAAATCTAAAACTACATTATTTAAGAACCAACAATATGGTTTCACAACGATAAATTCCTAGATTGAGTATATAAGCTCATTAAAACATAATGATAATCGGAAGGATAGAGGACAGAGTATGCTAATTCTTCCATGAACAAGAAAAATTCTGCAGATAACAAGGATAGATAAAAGAAAACCGACGAAATGGAACTGATTGAGGCAGCATGCAAACCATTGAATGACAGAGACATGTCTACAAGCTTACTTGTACTCAAATGATGGCACCGGAGGAGCATCAAAACTCTCTAACACCTCTGTTTTGCTTCCACTGCCTGGTTGCACCTCCTCATTTTTCTTACCAAAAAGCCCTCCAAACCATGATGATGATGATGACGAAGCTGTACTCTGGTTTTGACTCTCTGACATCGTCTGAGAGTGATTCTGCATCTGCCCCATTTGCATTCCAGGCATTCCTTGCATTCCGGGCATTCCTTGCATCCCGGGCATTCCTTGCATTCCAGGCATAGGCTCCTCCATCATCATATTCTGAGGCTGAGCCAGTAGCTTGTTCAACATGATCCCAGCTCCTTCAATCAAAGCAAGCAAAACCCCTCCAAAAGCAGCTGATCTTGAAGCAGCGCCGACCCCTTGTCGCATGGACAGAAACCCTCCAGTAGCAGCACCTGCAATGATAGAGTTCCACGGATCCTCCTTCTGCCTTAAGTAGACCATGGAGCAATCAAATGTCGAGAATAAACCTCCCCAAACAGCAAAACTGCCTCCAACACGAGGAGCATTCATGCTGACGGCTTGTGCTCCTCCAACAAAGCGACTACCTTTGGGAGAGTTGTAAGTCCCTTTAATGAAATGAAAGGCAGCTCCTCCAACAGCTCCCATACCAAAAGCACCACCGAGATCATCAAGGATACGGTCAGGGCAAGGCTCTCTAGATGTCTCTGGTGTTCCCATTAATTTAGCCCACCAATAGATGCCTCAGGCAATGATTGTATCAACCCTGCGAGCAAGAGAATCAAAACGAAGATTGATTCATCAAAAACTAGTATGAAAATTGAGAAAGATAGATTGGAAATTTCATCATTTCATCGTCCATTCTGAGAAATTAGGGTTTCTAAGTCACTGCGATCGATAAATAGATCCCATAATTCCGATAAAATACTGACTATCTACAATAGAACGAAGAAGATTAAGGGTTTATCAAAGCTCAATACTTTACGATCGACACAAACCCCCTTTTAAAAAGGGGAGACTTTGTGATTAGAAATGAATCCACCGGAAATAAGAAAGCACTGATGTTGATATTAAGAGTAAAAATCGAAGAAGCATACCTGAGAGAGACTACGAGGAATCAATCGGCGGGTGAGCCGACGAGAAGTTTTGAGAGAGAGCGAAAAAATGATGGAGGCGCGACGGAGAGAGAGAAGAGAAAGAAGACACAGCGCGTGAAGGTTTTTTATTAGGGTTGTTTGGTAGAAAAAACAAATACAACATTTCACATTTGTATATGTTTTTTTTTTTTGTCATCTTTATATGTTTTTTTTTTAATACAACATTTGTACATGTTTTTTTTTCTGTATATACGAATTTATTAAATCTGAATACAGTGAAAATGGCTACTCTTCTAATGAATTTTGTTGCTTTGGTGTATTCATAAATGTGCATAATTTTGAAGTGTGCTTATAACTATAACTATGTAAACTAACCAATAATTTAAATTCTATAACACTTTGGTTAAATTCAACAAATCAATTTATAAAGTTAGTTAACCGTTAGGATAGCTGACCGTTAATAGATAAAATGTATGTATTTTACAAAACGATGACGTCTCGTTTAAATCTTTTCCCTCGCAAAAAAAGAACTATTTATACTGATAGTTGTAACGGTAACATGAATTGTCATAGCATATTTAGTATTTAAAATATTGAATTAAAGGTTTATAACTCATTTTTATTATATGCTTCAACCGCATTATCTAATTTTCTGGCGCGAAAAAACAAAATCGATATGTTCAAACAAATTTCTTTGTGCTTTTGGTATGAACAGTATTTTGTTAGTTTTCATATCAATAGATGAGATGTACTAGAATTTGTACCTAATAAATTCTATTGCATTCTCTAAAATTACATCATATCTTCAAAAAAAATCTAAATAATACAAATATTAGAATTATATAAAGATGATAAATACATAAAATTATAATAAAATCCATTTACAATACTTGACAATCTATTAATAGCTTATGTAAGTAATTGAATACTCTAAGATTCAATAACAAATTGCTTTCCTGTTTTCATTTCCTTTTTCTCTGATTTTATCAAGTAAATGATAATGGTGAAGGTAAGGATCATTTTTGATCACTTTCAAAAACCAAAAAAGTTGTAGTGATACCAAAAAAAAACTGAAAAATACTTTATACGACTTTGAATATTTGCTACCTTTTAGTTTAACTTTCGAAATTCGAATTTGGAACCACCCACCACATTTCTTCTCTCTGCTTCTTCAACTAGGCTCCGAGCCCCCGAGGTCACAGTCTCTCAACGGTTACTTAGCCTAATTCTTGTTTTTTTCCCTCAAACTTGAAATCAATTTCTCATTCCGATCTCGACGATCCCTACATCTTTTTCGATTAGGCTCTGTTTCTGTAAGTTGAATTGTAATTTAGGATTCTGAATCAAAAGCTTTCTCTCAATTGATCATTGACATCGCTTTTACATTTTTATCTCAATTCAATATGGAATTCTATAGTTTGATTTGTATCTGCTTTTTTTGGTTGAGATCGAAGATCAGTGAGAGATGTCGTTTACGCCAGAGGTTTCGAGGAAAAGCGGAGTAGGAGTGATCCCGTCACCTGCGCCGTTTCTGACTCCTCGTCTTGAGAGAAGGCGACCTGATTCGTTCTCTAGCCGTCTCGATAGAGATAAAGAGGTTAATGTTCAGGTGATTCTACGGTGCAGACCATTGAGTGAAGAGGAGCAGAAATCTAATGTTCCTAGAGCGATCTCTTGTAATGAGATGAGAAGAGAAGTCAATGTTCTTCACAGTGTTGCTAATAAGCAAGTGGACCGTCTTTTCAATTTCGACAAGGTTTGGATTTTTATATTCTTATGTTCTGTCCTTGTTCTCTTTTCTCCTTGATGTTTTTGTGTTGAAGATTGGATTGGCTTAGTTTTGGTCTCTGATGGTGTTGAATGTGTTTTTTTTTTTCTGTTCAAGGTTTTTGGTCCTAAATCGCAACAACGGTCTATATATGATCAAGCCATTGCACCTATTGTTCATGAAGTCTTGGAAGGTTTTAGCTGTACTGTGTTTGCGTATGGGCAAACAGGAACCGGAAAGACTTACACAATGGAAGGCGGGATGAGGAAAAAGGTATATAAAAGTTCCTCTTGTGAGTGTCTCGTTTTGATTTTTCATGTCTCTGCTAGTTGTTTTAGATTCATGTTTCTGTTGTAGGGAGGGGATTTGCCTGCGGAGGCTGGGGTGATTCCAAGAGCTGTTCGACATATTTTCGATACTCTTGAGGCCCAAAATGCTGATTACAATATGAAAGTAACATTCTTGGAACTTTACAATGAAGAGGTTACTGACTTGTTAGCTCAAGATGACTCCTCAAGATCTTCTGAGGATAAGCAGAAGAAGCCCATTTCTTTGTTGGAGGATGGGAAGGGTTCTGTTGTATTAAGGGGTCTTGAAGAAGAATTTGTGTACAGCGCTAGTGATATATATGCTCTTCTTGAACGTGGCTCATCCAAAAGGCGCACTGCAGATACTTTGTTGAATAAGCGAAGTAGTCGCTCTCATTCAGTTTTTACTATCACTGTCCACATTAAGGAAGAGTCTATGGGAGAAGAAGAGCTAATCAAATGTGGCAAGCTTAACCTTGTGGATCTAGCGGGATCTGAGAATATTTCACGATCAGGAGCTCGGGATGGCCGTGCAAGAGAAGCTGGAGAGATTAACAAGAGCTTGCTCACACTAGGTCGTGTCATTAATGCCCTTGTCGAACATTCTTCCCATATACCTTACAGGTACTTGCCCTGTTCTACAACTATATATACGAGTCTACTGTGATTATATTTGTGTGTTAAGTTTGGATTTTCATCTTTGCAGGGATAGTAAGCTAACAAGGCTTTTACGGGATTCTCTAGGAGGAAAGACAAAAACTTGTATCATTGCAACAATCTCTCCATCTGCTCATTCCCTGGAAGAAACTTTAAGTACTTTAGATTATGCCTATCGTGCCAAGAACATCAAGAACAAACCTGAGGTTTCGTTTATGCTACCGTCTCTCATTTTTGTTAATCAAAGTACCATTAGATTGTATTCTTCTAACCAAACGTGTCTCTGCAGGCAAACCAGAAATTATCCAAGGCTGTGTTGCTTAAAGACCTTTACCTGGAACTTGAGAGAAGGAATAAAGGTTTACACATACAAACATCATTCTGTCAATATTCTCCACATTCTCTTTTTCTATATTATCAAGAGAGGTACTGGATTAGGTATAATTTTTGTACAATCGATGCAGATATAAGAGCGGCAAGAGATAAAAATGGTGTTTACATTGCACAAGAAAGATATGCACAGGAAGAAGCTGAAAAGAAGGTATGTTCAAAGGAAGAAACTTAAATTCTATACTCATTTCATGCTAGGCTGACTGATTCTTTTGTTTCAGGCGAGAATCGAGAGAATAGATCAGTTGGAAAATGAATTAACTCTCAGTGAAAGTGTACTTTTGCCTCGCCTTTTCTTTTTAGCTTTTAGAAACTGAACTAATTTTCTCCTGTTAGACCTTAAGTTGCTTCTCTAATGCAGGAAAATTCCAAGTTCCGCGACCTTTACGAGTCTGAGAAAGAGAACTTACTGGAAGTAGAAAGTGACCTTAAGGAATGCAAGGTGATACAAACTTAAGTGATTTACTCGCTAAATTATTCATGTTCAGTGAGAATTTTCTTGAAATTTCAATCATTCATGATCCAGAGAAACCTGGATAATAGTAACAAGGAACTGCTTGATCTTAAAGAGAATTTTATCCAAGTTACCTCAAAGTTAAAAGAAAAAGAATTTATCATCTCGAGAATGAAAGTCTCAGGTAACAGTTCTAACTCATAAAGAAATTTAAGTCCTTCCCCTTTCTTGGATAAGTTTTACTGATATTTTCTTGGACAGAGACTTCTTTGATCGACCATGCAAAGGGGATGCGTTCTGATTTGCAGCATGCTTCAGATGATATAACTTTGTTGTTCACAAGATTAGGTACTTCTTCTTTCATATTTTTATGGTTGAAAAGAAGATATGCCAAGTGCTGATTTTTCTTGTTTCTGCAGACCAAAAAGACAAGCTGGAATCCGAAAACCAGAGCATGCTTCTAAAATTTGGTTCACAGCTTGATCAAAACCTGAAAGATCTGCATAGAACAATTCTTGGATCAGTCTCTCAGCAACAGCAACACTTAAGAACTATGGAAGAGCATACTCACTCATTTCTTGCTCATAAATATGATGTAAGAAAAAGGACCACACTTATGTCAGTTCACTTTTTGCCTAGGACCTTATGATCACACTAGTGGTTGATTTACACATGCAGGCAACACGCGATCTGGAATCAAGAATTGGGAAAACAGCAGACACATATACTTCAGGAATAGCAGCCTTGAAGGAGCTATCTGAAATGCTACACAAGAAGGCCTCCTCTGATCTGGAGAAAACGAACTCCTCTATAGTATCACAAATAGAGGCTGTTGAGAAAGTATGATTAAAATCGAGCTATGAAATAATATTTCACCTCTTGCTGTGTTTCTATATCTCATCATTTGTAATAAATCAAATGCCTTTTACTTTTCAGTTTCTCACTACATCAGCAACAGAGGCTTCTGCAGTCGCTCAGGACATCCACAATTCACTAAATGATCAGAAGAAGCTCTTAGCACTAGCTGCAAGACAACAAGAGCAGGTGCTGTAAAATTATTTGCTGGTTTCTTGTTAGTTTAATTATTTTCTAAAAATTTAACTGTTTTTTCCGACTTATCCAGGGCTTAATCAGAAGCATGAGATCTGCACAAGAAATTTCCAATTCGACTTCAACCATGTTCAGTAACATCTACAACCAAGCCCACAACTTGGTGGAAACCCTTAGAGCAAGCCAAGCAGAAAAATCAAGACAGCTTGATGCTTTTGAAATGAAGTTTAAGGTGAGCTAAACTCTTAAAGACTTCAACTGGATATGTTCTGAGAGGTTTGCACACTACTCATAATCTTTACTAAAAACAGGAAGAGGCTGAAAGAGAGGAGAAGCAAGCCTTAAATGATATCAGTCTGATATTATCAAAGTTAACTTCAAAGAAAACTACAATGGTGAGTCTTTAACCATTAATAACCCCACTAGGCTTTAATTATTCATCTGTTGAATCAAATTTATAGACTGATGCTTTGCATGTGTCTAGATCTCTGATGCATCAAGCAATATCCGGGAACACGACATACATGAAGAGAAGAGGTTGTATGAACAAATGTCTGGTATGCAGCAAGTCTCAGTTGGCGCAAAGGAGGAATTGTGTGACTATCTAAAGAAAGCGAAAACCCACTTCACGGAAAACACAATAGCTTCAGCTGAGTCTATCACAGTTATGGACAGTTACCTTGAAGATTGGTATGAGTTCAATCTCCCCACTCTTTCGGTTCAAACGTCTCAGTTTACATTCTATCTTCTCATACAACCATTGGATTTATTGCAGCTTGGGAAGGGCCAATGATTCTAAAGAGTTGTGGGAGACCACTGCAACAGGCATAAAGAACCTAAACACGAAGTATCAACAAGAACTTACAGTCACAATGGAGTAAGTTTTTCCGTTCTGTATCCATGCTTCTCTCTGTTTCCATATCATTTCACTGAATAAAAATCTCTACATACAGGGACATGGCAAAAGAAAATGAGAGGGGGCACGATGAATTAACATCCACATTTTCCTCAATGGATGCTAACTTTGTGACTAGGACTAATGAACTTCACGCAGCTGTTAATGGTAACCATCCCTACAGAAAAATTATTTTCTTGGCCTCTTGAAGAAAACGTTCTAATCCTTGGTTTTACAGACTCATTGATGCAAGACCGTGAAAACAAAGAAACAGCAGATGCCATAGTTCAGACTTGCATGAACCAGGTCACATTATTGCAAGAGAGTCATGGACAAGTCGTATCAAACATCAGAAACAAAGCGGAACAGTCTCTCATAAAAGACTATCAGGTACTTAAGCAGTCATAACAACATAAACTTGGAAAACACTAAAAACTCTACAATGTGATCTTATATGTGTATATAATTAACAGCAAAGCTTTTGATACAATGACCAGGTTGATCAGCACAAGAACGAAACACCAAGTAAACAATCCATAACTGTGCCAAGCCTGGCTTCGATTGAGGAGATGAGGACTTTGTTTTCACAGAATACTCTCAGCGAAGATAACACAAGTCTGGAGAAAAGATCAACAAAACAGGGACAGGACGAAGCTAACAACAGAACTCCATTCTTGGAAGTAAACATGTGAGTGATTAGACACACAAAAAAAAAAAAAAAATAGGCATCAAGCTCTAGCAGTTAAGTTCATTAACTAGATGAGTTTAGAAGATCGAGAGAGTGTGTAAAAGGTTGTTATGTTACTAATCCGCAAACTTATGTTGTCATGTCATGGATGATAATCTGGTTATATTTTTACATAAAAACCGGTATCTGGTTAAATTGGTTAGTTTTTCTCATTTGAGTCAACCAAATATGAAAAAGAAAGAAACCAAAACTTTCTCATTGCGTTTTACAAGAAAACATAATAAAGTCAAGAAGAAGAGCACATCACATATATGTCTCTAATTTACCACTTTTTTGGCTTTGACTTGCTCTTTCGTAAATCACAACTGCTTGTCGTCAAGAATCCGTCACTGGTGACGATCGTAATACCATCTGACTGGTCTATTGTATCAAAAAGGCTCTAGGTTGGTTTCTAGACTTATAGTGCATGTGTTTGACCGTATTGATTTTTCTCTTCTCATTGTATTTTTGCTTTGCGCAAGTTGGAAGATTTATTAGTGTTTTCTTGACTATACAATATAATATGAATTATTTAGAGATATTACTTATTTAGAACTGTATTCCCAATCATTGGTCTAAAACTAAAAATATACATCGATGGTTAGGTGTTAGTAATTTATAAAGTAATAACTGTGTGGCAAGCAAGTCCATGAGAAACCAAGTTGCTAGATGTATTCTCCTGTGTTGTTGTCAGTGTGTACATTTGTTGACTCTGCTACCTTTTGTCAGATTCACATTTTGGAAGTTTCTGAGAAGTGAGAAACTATGCTATTGCATCACCCGAAAAGACGATATTATCCTTGTTGTTCAACCCTCGTGTGTATGTATTTGTATGCATTTCAGCACTCTTGTGCCGGCGGTCGGAAAGGGTGGTATTGAAAATGTCAATTTTAATTTTGTTACAAGTCAAACAAGCCACACTGCTAGTTGTTGTTGTGTTAGAATATTAGTTTAGACGACTTCTTTTGGTCAAACTACTAGAAAGTCCAACTTTTTGTAGGTGTTGTTGCTCTTATATATATTACACATTATAATTCTAAGTTCTCAACCTTCATATTACAAATTCTCTCTATCCAGGTTTCCTTTTTAACAAGCAAACACTCCAACTTTTTTACTCTTTCTTTTTTTTGTTCGCGAGACCCTCGCAACTATTAATTAACTTTTGCTTTCTTAATCCTCAAAGTCTTACCCAACCGAAAGAAAAAAAAAAGAAGTATGAAGAGAGTTAGATCTGATTTCGAAGAATCCATCAAGAATCTAGACATTGCCAAATGTCTGATGATACTAGCGCAAACCTCCATGGCTAATCAGATTAGTTTGAACCAGAACCAACATACCGAGAGCCATACAAGCAACCGATTCGAATGCAAAACGTGTAACAAGAGATTTTCTTCGTTTCAAGCCCTTGGTGGTCATCGGGCAAGTCATAAGAAGCCGAAGCTCACTACCGTTGACGTTGAGCAGAAAGATGTGAAACATCTTAGCTACAATTACAAAGGAAATCATTCGCACGAGTGTTCAATATGCGGTCAAAGTTTTGGGACAGGACAGGCTTTAGGTGGTCACATGAGACGGCATAGGTCAAGCATAAAGGTCGAGCCATCGTTCATCTGTCCCGTGATTCCTACCATGCCTGTTTTGAAACGATGCAGCAGTAGCAAGAGGGTTTTGAGTTTGGATTTGAATCTAACTCCCTTAGAGAATGATCTTGAATATATTTTTGGGAAGACATTTTTCCCAAACATAGATATGAAGTTCGTTCTTTAGTTTTTTTTTTTTTTTGTTTCTTATACTTTCTCTCGATCATTTGTATTGCAATTCCCATTCTTTTAATTCTTTAAACGTTTATGTCAAAAAACTTCATGGTATATATAGGTTCGTGACTTCGTTCTTGATTATCATACACACAAAAAAAAAAAAAAAAAAAAAACTAAATTATGAATATCCATTCCTGGAACAAGTACAACATTAGCGGGCCAAAAGTTGGGCCTCAGTTTTAGGAATTGTGATATTACTCGGCCGATGTAAAAAATATATATATGTTAAAATATTAAGACGTTGTCATTTCACAAATTTGCTTAATATGGTAGTAATGAAAATGTGTAGTACGCATAATTTAGACTGGTGATTTTATTTCTTGTAATAAATGATACATAAGCGGATGTTAAATGTATTAGGTTTTTCTAATAATAATAATATCGTATATTTATTTATAAGTAAGTTTGGAAAATTTGTATAAACGTTCAAGAAAACATATATATCAACATACACATTAATAAGTTCAAGAAGCTCAATAATCATTATAAATATAGTTTAAATTCGATATTTGTCAAATTTAAACAAGTTTTGTTGTGAAATCTTGAAATACCAATAGTGATAATACTGTATTAGTAACTTGAGCTGCTTCATACTGAGGAGAAGTAAGAAGTTTGAATAAAAATTTGGTTCACTTTTGGACAAATTAAGAACTCCTAATCAATAATAATAACAAAATATGAACAACTTAGCAACAAGAAAAGTGGATACACATTCATAACAAATGAGGAGAACCATTGTTTGTTTTTTCTTATTTTTGACTACAAGCTAGGAGAAACAGTGTAATTTTGTCTCTCACTAGTCACAAGCCTTATCAACTAATATTTTGTAATTTAAAATCAAGTTAAATTTTAATGTTGTAGTTATCCTTTGCACTTAAAAACTTATGGATTAACGAAATCCCTAAGCAAACGAATATATAGAGAAACCCAAATTAAATAACAATGGCCTTACGTAGCTTAATACATACAGTATGTATACCAAAATTCGAAAAGCTCTTATAAATTGAAACACATAGCAACGACTACATAAGACTAATCCACAGGTCCTATAGACGATCACTCAATCAGAAGCTTCCCAAACAACTCATCGACACTCTTTATATATTGACTTCTACAAAAAAAAAAAAAATATGAACCCTTTTTGCCATCCAATTATATAACCTGAAAAATATTCATTACTAATTTAAATCATTATAAATTTATATATTATCCGAGGGTAATGTATAAATTGACAAACAAAAACTATATATCAAGACCAGATGCGAAGAGTACAAAACCTAGAGGGTTAGGGTTAGGATTCTTGTTTTGTTCAGAAAACGCAAGGCGAATTCGATGGATGATGGGTTTGGAGGTCCGAATCCAAATCTGTAATTTTGTTTGAAGGATTTATACATATGGGATATCAAAATCCCAAAGTTAATAAATTTGGATAATTTTGACGGCCATCTCAGATTGGAGGACTATGGTGCTTCCTGTACATTTGGAATACACTGATGAGGATGATGAGGATGAAGATGGGCCAAGTTTTTATCCTCATATAAGACGCAGTGTGGACGAAGAGAAGATCTCGGCGGAGGAAGAGTATCGCATCATGGCGGAACAAGTCAAGGAGTCCAAGGTTTAATTACTATCTACGTCTTTATCTTTCCATTTTTGTATGCAATATTTTGGTAAAATGTAGCTAGAGTTAAAAAGAAAGCCAGAGTTTAGTCACTCAATTTTTTTTTATCTGTTTGGTTGAGATTTTTAAGTTTTAGGGATTTGACATCGATTTCACCAAGTTCCGCTGCGTTTTCAACTACGTACCTCTGGATCTCGATTACGACGGCGTGGTTGGCGGACCAGGCGGACCAGAAACCACCAGAGAGTTTATGGACAGGATGTGTCGGGAATCCTTAGAGATATTCAATCAACGTGACAGTACAGAATATGAATTTGTCAAGTTTATCAAAGCCAACCATCACTTTGCTGCTGGCATCATGTTTCTCGTTACCTTTGAAGGTAAGTTGCTCTCCGATGATGTCTCAAAACAGTTCCAAGCCAAGTTCTGCGTGTGCGATACTCTCGTCGATCTTATCTCATGCGAACTCAAACCTCTGAAAGAACAGGGTAACTCTATTCCGATCCTTCACAACTATCTCTTAGTTAAAAAGAGGCCTCGATGATTGGTCTATCTTTGTCAGTTAGATCAGGTTTTAATATTGTATTTTGGATTTGTGTTTTGGTAGCTCACTCCATTGAAGCTGCGGAGAAAGAAAGTCCCAAGAAACCAAGGTATATATCTTGTCTTCTTAACTGAGTGTTTCAGACGCAAGCACTCCTCTGATATCTGACCTCGGTCTTATGTTATGTAATGACACTTATTAGTACTACTTATGCTATTGATCTGTTTCTTGAAAACTTTAACTTAAATGAGTTCAGAGACTCTATGTTTCTCAAAATATTTTAAAGTATGTTTTAATTAGTTACAAGTACGAATTCAAGTTCGTTGAGGCTGCTACTCCATGGGTTAGTCTCGCCCATATCACATTGCACGACTTGTCAGCCTCTTTGTCAAGAGAACCATTGGCTCCTCCAGCGATGTAATTCTTTTTCTATGAAAAAACATCGCAGATATAAGGAGAGCTATATAAGAAGATATATATATATATATATATATATATATATGTAAAACTGGTCTATTGCTGAGATCAATATTTAAAACTGGTCATATATAATATTTGTATTTGGATTTTTTTGTTTTGTCAGTTCAGTGAATTTAGTACTACTAATCAATGTAGTTAATGAGGTGCAACGGTTAAGAATACATTCACTAGAAGCTTTAGGCGCCGAGTTTGATTCCCTTTTGCACCCACTAAAATATTTTGTTAGGTCCGCCACTGCTAGGGTTGGGGTTTTATTTCTTGTTAAATTGATATCCACATGTATTCGAAAAGCTCTAATAAATTCAAACACTCAATCATATGTGGATTAGACTAAGGCATGTAAGAGCAATTCACATTTCACATAGACGATTACTCAATCCGAAGCTTCCCAAAACAACTCATCAGACACGCTTTTCTATACTTTTACAAAAAAATATGAAGCCTTTTTGCCATCCAATTATTTAACCTGAAAAATATTCATTACTACTAATTTAAATCATTATACATGCATGTATATTTCCGAGGGTATGTATGGACAAACAAAAACTGTATGACCATATTCGAAGGGTACGTACTAGGGTTCTTGTTAACGCAAGGCGAATTCGATGGATCATGATTTTCCAGGTACAAATCCAAAATCTGTAATTTTGTTTGAAGGATTTATAGATATGGGATATCAAAAGCCCTAACTTAATTTACGGCCATCTCAGATTGGAGGACTATTGTGCATCCTGTACATTTGAGATACAAAGATGAGGATGAAGATGGGCCAAGGTTTTATCCTCATATAAGACGCAGTGCGGACGAAGAGAAGATCTCGGCCGAGGAAGAGTATCGCATCATGGTGGCACAAGTCAAGGAGTCCAAGGTTTAATCACTAGCTACCTCTTTATCTTTTCATTTTTGCATATAATATATTTTGGTATAATCTTTCTAGAGTGAAAGAAAGCCAGAGTTTAGTCTCTCAATTTCTTTTATCCGTTTGGTTGAGATTTTTATTTTTTTAGGGATTTGACATCGATTTCACCAAGTTCCGCTGCGTTTTCAACTACGAACCTCTTGATCTCGATGACGAAGACATGGTTGGGGGACCAGGCGGACCAGAAACCACCAGAGAGTTTATAGACAGGATGTGTCGGGAATCCTTAGAGATATTCAATGAAACTAATAGTACAGAATATGAATTTGTCAAGTTTATCAAAGCCAACCATCACTTTGCTGCTGGCATCATGTTTCTCGTTACCTTTCAAGGTAAGCTGCTCTCCGATGATGTCTCAAAACAGTTCCAAGCCAAGTTCTGCTTGTGTGCTTCTCTCGTCGATTTTTTCTCATGCGAACTCAGACCTCTGAAAAAACAGGGTAACTCTATTCCTTCACAACTATCTCTTAATTAGTTAAATATAGGTCTATCTTTTTCGGTTACATCAGGTTTTGAATATTGTATTTGGATTTGTGTTTTGGTAGCTCACTACATTGAAGCTGGGGAGAAAGAAAGAAGAAACCAAGGTATAAATATCTTTGTTTTCTTTTTTACTTTGATACTAGTCTGTTTTTACTTTATTTGTCTCCTCAAGGTTTTTCTATACTGTGCTGAATGTTTATTTTATTTTATTTTATTGATATCCTCAGATTGATGCAGGAGGAGTCATCTAATGTGACTAGGTGGTGATCAGAGGTAACCACTCTTGTGATCATTGTCATAATATAACGACGCTTCTACTACTTTTACTATGTTCCCTCGGTTCGTTTCTTGTTTTCAGAGTCCCAAGTTCTGATCTCTTAATTTGTTGTTCAAACAGCTTATTTAATTAAGAGTTACCTAGCTAGTGCAGCCTTTATTTTAACATCACACTTTTAAACTATTAAATATTGACTGTGAATGTGCGAATTGGATTTCGTCATATATGTATGTTGGTTGGTCTTCACTTGTAAGCTCCTATTTTGATAGAACAATGATTGTTAATAGTGTTATCACTCTTTTGCGAACAAACATGGTTTAATTTGTGCTAGCACGTACGCTAATAGTTGACAAACAAAATTTACACTAATTAAGTTGACTTCAGAACCAAAAGCTTAACTTTGCGTGTTGAAGAAAAAGTCAAAGGTCTTCTATTTTGGAGCACGCAATTAATTGCCGATTTAATTAGCGACCAATTAAAAAAGAGAATATTAATAACATGTGATAGCCACCACCAATTCTCATCGACCACTATACTATACCATCACATGGTCCACATTATATAGTTTACCAAATATATTGATGCGAACAAGTACAAATATATAAAAGACAAACATCTAACATATCACATAAATGCATGCGCGGCTTCAAACATCATCAATTATTGTAGAATGTGTAAGTTCGATGTATCGGGTTTGTTTCTGAAAACTTGGTGACTTTATTGAAGGCTTATGATTTAATTAAGTACCCACTGGTTTTAGCATATATTATGCATGTAGAGATGTTGATCCATGCATGTATATGAGAACTCTCACTTTTTCATCAAATTTCGATATAAATCTCGATCGCTACGAGAGATAATCGTATAAGTATAGCTAGCCAACTTATGTTAACACATAGGCCATAGCCAAACATGGATTCTTCATCGTGTACGCATGATATGAGATATTTCTCAGCATCGTGTCTATTCGTATATATGCATAATGCATATTCTCCACTTACTAATCTGTCACATGCTCGTTATTGCTCATCTCTATTGGCTAGTAATTGGTTAGTTTTGTGTGTGACACCACTAGAATCGTATAATCATAAACAATACATAAATTCCTTTTTTGGATGCATGAAATGCTCAACTCTATTGATTCATGAATCACGTATGCCACGTACGTCGATATATATCAATACTTACTACTAGCTAGAAGCCTAGAATGAATAGGTCTTATTAACAAATACACGGAATATCCCACTTAATTCAACAAATCATTGGTTAAATACTTAATTACTTCACTAATAATATTTAATTAATACTTACATACACTTATTTGTCTATATACTGCATAGTTTAGGTCGGTGGTGGTGCTTTCCAAAATTTTAGGACAGTAGCAAAGATGGAAATCAATCCCAACGAACCCGATGGTCCAAATTCGATTAATTGTCTGCATTAGAGATCGTAAAAGCATTTATTTATTGGTCTAAGTGGGTTGTTTAGTCATCAAAATAATTAAATTATTGAGATTAATGCAATGATCTTATATTAACATTATATATAATCTTAGTGAATTAATATCAATATAATGCTTGATTATGCTAATCATAAGAGTGTTTAAATCATACTCTGCTTGGCATGACGTGCATTTCATGTGATTCTCGTGAATGTATAAATGGACTTAATTACGCAATTGCTTAGCTAGTTACTATTATACGAATGTCATGTCAATTAAAAATTCACTGAAACTTCTATTTCAAAATATTAATTACTGGCCATGGATTATATATATGTCATATAAATGTGCTAAATAAATTGCTCTATATATGCATACTTGGAATGTCTCAACTCTCAACAGGTACTGTTGTTTTAGTTACAAAAGTTTTATGGAATTAAATTAAACTAGCTTCGACTACGTACCCAAATCATCAAGTCCAAGCATTTATTTGCAATTGCTTCCAAGTTCCAACCATAACCACACTCATAGCAATGGAGGTCCTACCACAATCACACTATTTAATTAGTATGAAATATGTGACAACTAAAACTAATAATCTTCAATAATATATCACTTATATGTTGAACCATAAGTTAATGAAGTAAAAGTTGCAACTTATCATTCTAGAACGTTTTATGAACAACGCATTTACTTAAACTAATAATTTTATAGTTTATATATTTAGCCTTGCATGTTAGTTCATATGTTTATTCATTGATTATGATTCCTTTCTAACTTAGTAGTTTCTTGCTTTTTATAATTTACTTTTTCTACACAAAATAGTTAATTCAAAATTTTGGCTAAAAATAAATATTATTTTATTAAATCTATAAACATGACCTATTTGCTAACTAATACAAGTTTCACTAAATATTAGTATATTATTTATATTTTAATTAAATTTTCATAGTTTTTTCACGTTTTGTTTCACAAATTTAAGTGTGATTTTCAAGGCTAAATGCTTTTTTTCTAGTAAAAACTTCAAGGGAAACAAAAGTGAACTAGAGTCTTAGAAAAAAACTAATATTGAACAAACGGCTAATTAAATAGTTAACAGATGGAAACTTCTATAAAGAATAACGTGGAGTAGAATTAAAATCATACTCATAATAGAATGAGAGCTATATTAATCAAGATTCACGCAGATAAAGGGGCATAATTAAGAAATGTGGGTCACTCACTCACTTGCTTGCCAAAGCTGGCCATATGATGAGACCACTTTCTAGGAGAGTAGTGGTACCAACTTCCCCTCTCTTTACAATATTAAGAATCCAAAATCATTGGTCTCTCAACTCTATCATCAAAAGAAACATTCATTAATTAGTGCTTTTTTACAATTAATTTTGAATTTTCTTTTAAAATAATGAGCTTTACCAAAAGTGTTATACGGAGCCGTAAATTTGCAATGAACATTTAAAAGCATTAGACTTATAATCATTTTTCAAAAAGACAGAAGAGAGCGGTCTTTTTTTTTTTTTTTTTGGGCAAACAGAAGAGAGAGTCGTGCGAGTTTTTTTTTCCGAATGATAATAATATCTTTTGCTATTTTTATTTTAAAGAATGAATCCTTTGCTATTTTCATTTTTTTTGACAGTAAAAAAACTATTTATGTGTGTTTTAATAACATTTCCGATATCCCATTTCTAACTAAGTGCATGTATACGTAAAACATATACTTATCATAAGATAACTCAAAGACATAACTGGACGCAAAACTAGACTTATCATAAGATAACACAAAGACATAATACATAAGACTTATCATATGCTATTTTAGAGCTTGTGTTTACAATGTCACAAAATAATTAGATTCTGAATTCGATATCTCATATCCACTTTGTTTTTTCTTCTGCAAAATATGATCATGCATGGCCATTTTTTTTTTACATACTTCTCATCACAGGCACTCATTATTGTTTTTCCATTCTTCCTTTATAAAAAATATAGATCGGACATGTGCATCTATTTGGGAACTTAACTTTTTGCAAGTGAGTTTAATTATTAGAACACTTGATTGTAGTCACTAATCACTAATCATATCGTTACAACTCTAATAATTGGACAATAAACTTTCGTTCTTTAGCCTTTTTCTGATTTTTATTCTCCTTTTGTAGATTAACTAACCAAACCCACTTTTATTTGTTCCATTCCATCTCAAACGCTTTTTTCGATATATATATATAATTAACACTATTCTTCCAATCATATATTCTAATACTGTCAGGATTTTGTGGATACAGTAAAACCTCTATAAATTAATACTCGATAAATTAATAATCTCTATAAATTAATAAATTTCTCCGGTCCCAAGTTGGGACCAGTGTAATTTTAGACACATTTCGATAAAATAATAAGATAATAATTTTTTTGAAAATCCTTTGTAAATATATGGTCCCATCAATATTATAAATTAATAATTAGGTAAAATTTTCAAAATATATGTATATATAGACACATTATTTTTTGTTAGAGTTTATTTCTAATATTTTACTATATAACAAATTGTTAGAATTCTCTTTCAAGAGATAATAATTATTATTTTCTTTGTTAATGATTATATAAAATACTAATTATCATGATGAAATCTTATTTTTAAATATTTTATTAAAAAACTTTCCAAATTAGGAAAATCTCAATATAAATTAATAATTATTAATTTATCGATAAATTAAAACCTCTATAAATTAATAGATTTTCATGGTCCCAACATTATTAATTTATAGAGGTTTTACTGTATAATAAAATAAACCATATAGATTTGGTAGTGGATCTTAATGAAAAACTGCATCGCTCTTAATTAGAAATTGATCGAGCAAGAATCGTCTGAATAAACCAGTTGGGTTTTACAGTTTCTTTAGATGTGGCGACACGGTGATAACACTAACAAAAATTATTATCCTATAAATCTTGATACATGAATATGATCAGCATAATTAATTAACCTTTATCTTGTTTTCTATTGACAAATTTCTTTGTAAAAAGGCTATAACTGTCATTTAATTCGATAAAAAATTATAATATGCTACAAAATCATGTCAACTACGATTTGCTTTCAATAATATATACATGAACTCCAGTTTAGTTACATGATCAGGTTTACTGACTTTACAAACGAAAAAGTTCTTTTTGTGATATTGATATATATGATAGACAGACTGTTTTAAGTTTAAACATGCATGATTAAGTTAACATCTTAATATTTCATATATACTGTCTGTTGTCGCTGTTTAGT